AACTGAATAAGATTAAGATGCTCATTGGATTATCTTAGCATCAAAATATCAATAACCTAATCTGTAACACTTATTAGTTTGATTATTATCACTTTATCCAAATAGTGATTTGGTTAATTGTTGAGATATTATTATTAGTTGTCAACATTTATCACTTTCATTTTGATTGAGACAAGGGAATCAATTGATTACGTTTTATGTAATTTAACCAATTCGATGATATAAATGATTGGATTGCTTTTACAATTAAAGTAAATTGTATGCATGTTATATGCACTCTATGTTTTTCATTAATTTCAAATCAACAATCAATTCAATCTCAGCATGATGATGACGGTGAATCAAGTAATATAAATTTTTATCCAAATATTTACATAGTATTTGAGTTTTTGTTTTAATCATTTAATGAATGTATCATGAACTTTACAATTTCACTAACAATTTACTAATAAACAATTTTCATGGTCTGCAATTGAATTGATTGAAAATTCAATCAAGTCATGATGAATTCAGTTGCACATTCAATTGAGTTTTAGCAAAATGATATTCATTTAGCATCACCACTTTTTGTTAAATATCAACATTTTCAACTGAATATTTATCATGCTTATCAAACGGATTATCTGAAATGTTCCTATGAAAATTCATCCTCATCCGTATCCAGAATTTATCTTTGTATATTATCATCATTATCATCAACACTTTGAAACCTTAACTATCATTATTTTATCATTTCTTTGTGATTTAAATGATGATTGTGATAACAATTGAAAAGTTCATCATCTTCAAGGCTTGAGGATCATGAAAAAAATGAGAGATAACTTGAAATTATCATGGAATAACAATGAAAAAATGTCTTTGGATATTAATTCATATTTTTATCATCTCCTCTCTCTCTCTCTTTATCTCTCTTCCCTCCCTTTTTCATCATAAGAAATTTGAAAATAATGATCATAAGAAATGATAAAATCCAGGTAAACATTTTCCTCCACTATCAGAATCTAATCAGTTTTAAAGGTAAATTGAACTTTCTGAATCTAAAGTTTTCCCACAGAATCCGATTCCTATGTAACAATTAGGTTGTTGATCTTACCTTTCACATTGATATTATCATCCTCATCTTAAACATCATTAATACATTGTGACTAGTTGATTACAATCAGCAGCAATCGTGACAATCAAACTAAAAGTGTTGATCAATCACCTTTTTTTTTATATAAAAAAGCTTCAATTTGAATACTTGAAACTTGAATTTTTCAAGGTGTTGATGTTTTAAATTGATTGTTCTCGATTAACTAATTTCTTATGATTTCAATTAACCATGATCACTATTAATTATACTCGTTTACAATTGATATTTGAAACATTGTATCTTATTTATTGTTAATGGTACAAGTTTTTTATTTGGCTTAATCATTTTATTTTATTTGACAACAAGTTAATCACTTGATTAAACTAAATGTACTAACATGATTAATCAGTAACTGTATCATAAATAATGGTTGTTGTATTGATCACAATTTAAGGAAAATCTCAACATGAGATAGTCTCTTAATTTCAAGTTTAAAATTTGAATTGAATCGAGAAAAAAATAATAATGATCACCTTAATTGTCAGGTAATTTCATGATAGTTTAAAGACTTACGATTACTTATTTAAACTCCCAATCATTTATAACTCCTACTTATATCTTGTCATTTTAATTCATTTATGTTCATTCAATTAATTGTAACAATTTAGTTATAAGTTTCTTTGGCTAATCCTAAGTGATATATTGTTTCATATTAGAGTCGTTGGTTAATTAGTAACAATTTAATCCACTTTTCTTAGCAAAATTCATTCTCTCTTAATTTAATCGCTCTTGAAATTGATACAATTAGTGTGTTAATTGTTTGTTAGTTGTTCACGAAAGTAAGTTAATTGTTAATCAAGGATTCTAAGATGTATTTACAAATCTTTAATGGTTGATTAGTTAATGATCAATGTTAAACAATTAAATCATTGACTTTTGAAGGTTCTCTTTGTAATAATAGTATCAAAAAGATGAATAGTGTTTTCTTAATTGTTTACAATGAGAAGAGCAGATTTTTATGTTAATTAAATTATCACAATTGAATTAAATGTTGAACAATAACGACCAAACCTTAATGATGATAACTTTGGGTAATATAACAATCAAAATTTTAACCATTAAATTACATCAAAAAAAGTTCTAATCTTGTATCTATATTTAAATTAGCATTTCAAGGATTCGAGGTTAATTGTAATCCAAACAATTAACCCGAAAGTTTCCAAGCTACATCAAAGATGAAAACTTTGATTGTTTGATTAGATTCGGATCAGTTTGAATCATATTTCCTAAGCTTCCGTGATTTTGTAAGCTTTCATGATGAACAATATGATTAAATCATGATGCTGATGGAAAATGATTCATGACGATTAAGATGACGATGATTATTATTAAAAAAAATTCCTTCAAACTCTTTGCCTGGTCATCTGAACAGGTAGACAAGCAATTGTGATAAAATTTTACCTTTTTCTCATCATTTCTCTGGTCATCATCAAGGTAAACCCATTATTGAGATTCACACCGGTCAATTTTGACCATGACTGACCAATGTAAAGTTGATCATTCTTTCACATTTATCAAAAGCAACAGGTAACCAACATGATTATTATCAACCTGTTTTCAAGTTACTTTCACTGAGACTTTTGTTAGTCATGGTCACCACCAATAATAGTCATTATCATCATATTAATCATCATCTTGACCATCATCATCATCATCAACAATATGCTTACAAATTAATTTAAGGTCATCAGCATTTACGATTACAATTATACTGCAACAATATGAACAATTATTAAATTGTTTACTGGTAATCATTTACTATATTTTTCATTCATTGATTATATTTTGTGATTGCTTAATATCGTTAACGTTATTAACTTTTTTGTTTAATTGTTGTGAGTTTAACGACAATTTAATTATCATTTTAACCGTTACTCAATTCAAGGTAAAAGCATCACAATTGATTAATCATGAACCAACTAGAGACTGAATTTGAATTCATTAGAGGAAACATATTCTTGTCGTTTAGTAAACCTTTAATTGTTAATATAATGATTAGATTAACGATGTCAACCAATCAATTTGTATTGAAAGTTAACTATTGCCCTTAGAAATAATATTGATGATTAACTAATCATGATTAACTAATAATAATGAAAAAAGAATTGATAGTAAAAAAAATAATTCGTGGGAAAGTTATCATTAAACAAAAAGTTTGAGAATAATTCCAATAGGAAAAACAAAAGCGAAAAGTAAAACTGGTTGATGATTAAGTTTAATTGTGATTAAACGGATTTCACTATCAATTTGATTACCGTTTACGAAAATTTTACTTTCATCATCATCATCATCGTTAATGATGATTGTAATTTCATTATCATCATCATCACAACCGGTTCCATGATAGAAATGAACATTTTCAATTCTTTCTGATAGTTTACTTTAAATCATTTGTAATAATAATCATGGTTGACCCTAAGCATCCGGTCTCAATCTTGATGATAATGATGATAACTTTGCTTCAGGTGAGATAACCGTCCGAGAGAGCAAGAGAGAGAGAGAGAGAGAGAGAGAGAGAGAGAGAAATGGCCGACATCATTACAATGGATTAAAATGATTGTGATGAAATGAGAAATTGTTGAGAAAAAAATGATTTCTTTCTGTGGTCATTTTTTACATCTATTTCCATCAGAATTGGATGTAATTTGATTGTTGATTGTTTAGCTATTGTTATTAAATTGTTATCCTTTCCATCATGATTAACTTTCATATGATAAATGTTATTTTTATTTATCATGCAATCAACTTTTTCTCGTTGATTGTTGTTGAGTAAAAAGAATGCCAAACAAATTTCATTAACTTTCCGATAATTAACTTGTTAATTGTGTTGGTGTATTTGAATTAACCTGATGAAAGTTAATTAAATCCAATAGATTAAATTCATTGGTCATTAATCATAAACCAATTACACAAATGAACTGTCATTTTTTTTGTAAATTGTTTATCTTGTAATTAATAACCAACATGATGATATCAAACTACTATTGTATTAGCTCTTGTTGATTACTGAGCTTGGATTTTGAGATGAATTTAACTCTGGATCAATTGAACTTATTGATCCATGATTAAATTGTTAAGGTTACAATGATTAAGGTCCATTGACATTGATTGTTAAGTGTCTGGCCAGTGTTAACATGAAACATTTTTTTTCATCAACCAACATGTTAATAGTTGACAAACTCACCTGAAAAAAAACCGAAACTTACCTGGATATCATATGTTATCAATGCGAATCCTTTGTGTTGTATTTGCTTCAATAATCATGATGATAATCAAGAAATTCAAAAGATAAACACCAGAATCTGATTTATAAATATTCTGGTTACCATGAAAATTTCACCTTTCCAATGAAGTTTTTTGAGCTTCTGAATTTTTCATATCCTCCAATAATTAACATATTATTTTAATATAATAATCAACTTAATTACCACCATTAAGTTAATCATGAATCTTTCTTTTTCTGTGTTTACCTTGATTGTTGTATTAACTAAATTACTATTATTAAATTAATCTGCATTTCCAGTGGATGTTTATTATTATTGTTAAATTACCAACAATCTAACTGTTGATTAGTCACGATAATTTTAATCACAATCTGCTTCAGATGTTTTCATTTCTAATCCAACAATTTATTGTTGATTAGTTGATTGTTGCCATTATTTTAACTTTTCACCAGCAAATATAATAGTAAATTGTTATTCCTTTACAAGGTTAAATTGTTACTTTTCAATTAGATATAAATTTCAACCATTTTAATTGAATTAACAAACAAACTTTTCTAATTGTTGGACTATCTGAAGTACATTTTAAAGTTAATTTGATATTATCACCTTGTTAATTAGCATGTTGATTAAGATTTAAGTCTTAATTGTGATTCAATGAGTTTTTTTATTGTTATTTAAATTATTGTTAGAAATTTTTACAAAAAAAGTTAAATACATTTGTTGATTGTTGTTTACTTAGTTGTAAACAATTTAAAACTATTGTACAGATCGGTAATGTGGGTTTTTGAATTGTGTGTTGGAAAAAAAAACAAATAATTAAATTTGATTGTCAATTAATTTTCCAATGGTTACTTTAATTGTCAATGTTAACCATTCATCATCAATTGTTTGTATCTAATTGTGATTTAACCATGAAAATTATTGTTTACATTTCATTTGTATTGGTCAGTCTTATATGTTGACCTTACATCCTCTTCCTATTCATCTTTTATCATAAATTGTATCATTTTTTTTGCTTTGTCAAGATGATTTATTTTGTTAATTGTTATAACAATTACAGATCTTGTTGAAATGTTACTTACGTAACCCAATATGTTGATGATGTTTTTTTGTTGATTATCAACAAATCAACAAGTGATTGATTTTTAAGGTATTTCTGATGATTCGCGAAAGAGGAAGATGATGATTAAAATTGACAGTAAGATGGAAGACAAATTGATAAATTGCTGTTGGTATCTTGAAGATAAATGATTAGTTGATGAGAATGATGATGAGCTAGGCAATTATTATGATGACTTTGATGATGAACATGATGACGATATTGATTGACCGGTAAAAAGTTCATTATGTCGTTGACCACACTTAAAATCAACAAAGGAGGGAAAAAAGTTGATGATAAATATATAAAAGATATTGGTCAGCAAAAAAAGGTCAACTAGAGTTGATTGTGGTCAAGTTTTTAATTGTTATTCATTAATTATCGTTTATCTGTATTTTCCATTCATTGGATTTGCCAACAATTGATTTTTACCAACATATACATCAACTTGATTATCTTTCCAACCGTTTGCTGGATGATGATGAGGTGCATTTCCATTGGTCATTTTGGCCATCATTGGTCCATTTACCCATTGGTCAGAATCGTATTCTGTTAATGAATGAATGGAAGATGTTGAGTTAAGACGATTACAACTTTTACTTTTCTTTTTGTTAGACGAGGAGGAAAAATGGTGCCTTGAATTGTCACCATTACCTCCACCATTATGATATGCTACAGCATTGGTACCTGGGTGAACTGATAATGATGATTTTGATAGTTCGTTATGAGGTAAACTTGCATTACCAAAGCGTCCAACAGCTGATGCAGTTGAATAAGAACGATGTGATTGTCCATCACCAGTTGGCCGAGGTCCAGCAACAACACCGCCTCCCTTATTACCACCATATCCATTTGGTACCAATGAATAGTTTGAAATGTGTGAACGATTATCATCATGAAGTGGGATATTATGAAGTGATCCATTAAGGGGATGATGGTGAACAGCTGACGCTGAAGTACCATCAAGATGATACATACGAGCTCGAGGTATGGAACGAGCTGAATACATTGAAACGGTTTCCCATTCATTATCTGGTTTCATTGGACCTGCGAGAGGAGGTGGTAAGGAGGGAAGTGATTTTTTCTTATCCTTCCCATAGCAGCAAGTGAAAAGTATCACTGCAATTACAACTAACGCACAAATTGCCGCTGTTGCACCGATAACAAGTTTATCTAGATCAGCGATCTTGGTTCGATCTCTGCGAATCTCTTGGCACAGTGAGGAGGGTATTTCATGAACTCCATGGGACCGATAAACTTCAGCTGGAACAACACAGACAATTATACATTCACCTGAAGGCACATGGGGTAGGACATATCGACGAGCCGATTTACCCAATTTGGCTCCTTTTTTGTACTCCTTCGAACCAAAAAATCGGTACAATATTTGGAAACCATTGGTATAATCTTCCAATAGTGTTTCCCATTCAAGAACTATTGATGATTCCCATCTATAAGCAGCTAACAAACGGATATCCGGTATTTCCGTTTCATTGGGTGGAGAGGGATTAAGAGATGAGGATGAAGGTGCTTGTTGTTTAACCGACAATGAATTAGATGCGATTGATGAAACACTTGATGGTGAAAGTAAATTGTTAGAATCAACTCCGGACGATGAAACATAATTAGCTGAATCATCTAAATCAGTGTCAGGTGACCAATCTACTGGTAATCGTCGTGATGATTTAGATAAACTAGAATTCACATTAACAAGTGATGATGATGATGTTATTATATTAACAGAATTTGTAGTAGTTGTGGTTGTTGCTTGTGTCGATGATGATAAAGGTAAACTCACTGTTGACACTTCGATAGATGGTGAACTTGATGATAAAGGTGCTGGTGAAGATGTGGTTGATTGTGAATCGTTTTGTGTTGTTTCATTTGCACAATTTAAATCTGATTCGGTTAATTGAAGGAAATTACGATTCTTTAATTTACTTGGTTCCCCACAGAATTGAGGGTATCGTTCACGAGACGATACCTGTAGGTCATATTTGCGAACCCACTGGACAACCCAACGAAGTTGACAATCACAAATTAAACTTTTTCCTTAAATTGTTGAGAAACAAATGAAAAGGAAAAAATTAGTTAACTATTCACAATATTGTTTATTTATTTATTTTCCTCATTAACTTTACTTTGTATTGTTAACAAGGTTTTGAAAAAATTCTGGTTACAAAAATTAACCAACTGAAGCAAAATTAAAGTTAATCAACAGGAAAACTAACGAAATAGGAATCAAGGTTAAATTGTGATTGATTGACTGATTAATCTGATTGATTACCTTTACTTGATGATACATATGATTTAACCCAAACACAATCAACAATGTTGATTATACCGGAAATTTAATCTAAAATCATAATCACAATCAAAAACTATTGAAAAAATTGTGTTACTTTTTTTTCAATTGTAATCATTTGATTGTTTGCTCAATTATTAGACGAATAGTAAATGTTAATTGTTTGTTTAATGTATTAATACTTAAATTATTACGATTCTTTCTTATAATTACATTGACCTAATCAAAAGTTGAATAACATTTTACTATTAATATTAATATCTCAAGACTAATAATAATATTATATCTCATAGGGAAAACAATATAGCCTAAGGGAATATCTTTCACCCTCTGTTATTATTTTAATATCATTTTATAATTGACTTTGATTATTTTATCATTTCTCTTTTTTTGTTTCTTCATGATGATGATTCTAATCACTATTATTATCATTTTCAACTTGACTACAATTAACATTGATTGTTTTGGTAGCATCATGGCAGAAATTTACCTTTCTGATAAATGTATTCAACTAATGTGTTTCCATGAACAAAAAAAAAGGTAACACGATCAAGAGTGTATCAAGTTTACAATTAACTTTCACTCTTGATTACTTAAATTACTGAGTTAATCAACTAATTAACTTACCACCAAGACTGAGTCCTCTTAAAGTTGAATTGAGATGTTTAAAAGGTTGAAGTGATAATGTTGACATTGGATTACCATCAAGAGCAAGAAGCGTTAACAAGGTATTTTTGTGAAAAGCATCTTCCGGAATAGATTCAATTATATTAAATCCAAGGTCCAAAACCTAAAATTGTTGAACAATTTAAACAGCAACAATTAAGTGAAAGTTTGATGATAACTATGATATAAAAAAAAGACAAGGATCTAGAGTGTAAAACAAACACACAATGGAATCAACAATTGAAAACAAAAGTTGATCTCCTTTTCTTAACCCACACACACACCTTGAGCATCCTCATCACTTTTGTGATATATATATACAAAGGTATCTAAAGGATAACAATACAAGAAAAAACAATTATCTCCATCTCAACCTGTTGACTCTTTTTTTCTTGTTGATTTCTTCAAATCAACTCTTGATTTTAATTGTGTTTTCTCTGTGCAATTACAATTGAATAGGATTTTTTTTTCTCGGTCACTGAAATTTGTACGATAAAAAACAACCACTCACACTTTTACAATTGCATTTGCAAAACCTAATCATCTTGAATTATCAAGTGAACCTCAAGTTTAATTACATTTTAAGTTTACATTTACAATTAACCTTAACCATTAGCACACATGCTTTTTGTTATGAGTTCGTGTTTGAGGTGAAATTACAGGTAAAAGTTTTCCAAAGACCTTGAGTTGGTCATCATCTTAAGCCTCATCATCATCATCATCATCATCATCATCATCTTACTGTAGATTAAGCTTAGTCACTCATCATCATTTTCCTCTGCAATATAATTAAATATTGATGCTTAGATTAACCTTTAACACATGATATTTTACACGAATCAATCTTATATGTATTCACTCATTTTAAGACATTAGCATCCTCATCATCCTCATCATCCTTTCATCTCTTTCCTTTTTCTTCATCTTTAAATGAGATTCCAGTTTATCCTCTGTTGTTTTCATTTATATAATTTATTATTTTTATATGAATAATTTTCAAAAAAAAAGTAGCATTTGTTTTGGTTTATTTATCTTCATCATCTTATCCTCATCATTATGAAAATTTGAGCAATTATAAGACTATCACCAGCACCTCATGTGTATCTACCTGCCAGGAAATTCACTGTTAGACTTTGATTGTAATTTTAATAATTACGATGTGATTGTGATTAAGATTATCATATTATACACTCATTGATCATCATCATCATCACCATCTAATCATTATAATGATTATTCATGATTAGTTAAATTAACTTTTAAACTATGGTGACTAGTTAATGATTCTTGTAACTGTATTAATAATTACCAACACCCAATTTATTTTAATTTGATTCATATTTTAATCATAATCATGTATCATAACAAGATGTTTGGTTAAAATAAATTACAACAATCAACATAACATACACACACCTAATTTTATACTTTTGTTGGTTAACCAATCGTTTTAATTGTCTTCAGAATAATTAAGAAAAAGTTTCGTTAATTTAGTTTCAATTGTTTTTTTTCTATGTATTTGATTTTGTGTGTATTCACAATTGATTGATTCTGGTAACAATTTATTGATCACGATGTCACTTATGTACAAACGTCACAATTTAAATTGTTAACATCAGAAAACAATATTAATTACAATAAGGAACAAGGAAATTTAATTTCAAATGCTAGTCGATTGATTGATTAGTCAATCAATAATAATTGTTATTAATATTAATATAATCACGTCTATGGAAATTAAAATTGTTCAATTGTTATTTGTTATCCTTTTTTTGTTGTTGTTGATTGTTTGGATTAAGAAGTTGATTAACAACCAGTAACAATTTAAGAATTAATTTCAGGGTAAGTTCAGTGAGCTAAGGTAAAGATTCAGGTTTCAAATGATAATAAACATGATTAACATTGACTTTGAGAAAAGTAAATTACTGAGTGAATTTAAATTAATCAAATTTACTAATTTAATCATCTAAACTGTTTGATTTAAAAATTGAATCATAATTTAAATCTAAGAAAAGTAAAAGTGAACAATTTAAACATGATGATTGTTGTTGATTTTTGTTTGATCAGAAATGATCAAATATCAGAAAATCATATATATAAAAAAACAAGAATTACCTGAAGGAAAACAATTAGATTTGATTTAACAACAAGATGACCAGATGATAATAATGGTCAATGGTCAATAGTGTCTTGACCTTTACCTTGACCATCAAGTCATATTGTCAACGGTACGTCAACAACAATCAACGATCAGTAAACAATTAAGATTCAATGTAACATGAGAAAAGTGGACTCGGTTTTGTTTTGCAAGTTGAAAAATCAACAACATCAGAAAACCTTTGACCTTACAAATGGAATAAAAAAAGAAAAGAAAATTTTTTCTTCTTTTTTTTTCTTGAGGAAATGATTATATGATTTTATGCTTTCCTTACCATCAGCTTATTATTGACCATGATTACTGGACAATGAATGATGGGTAGTGATGATTTTCTCAGGTAAATCAGAAGCAGTTTCTTTATAAACAATTTATTTCTCTATTGTTATTGATTATCAACCAATGGTCAAGATATTGAATTATTTTCGGGCTTGGGAAATACACTAAATTGTAAAGGTCTGGGAGAGGATTAGAAATGATTATCAGAATGAAAGAGTTAACAACTCACAGTTATTGAATTGTTGATTTCTAATCATGAATTAAATTGTTGGCGGATTTTAACCTGCACATCTAAACACTTTCTCTCTATTTGATTTGTAACGTACAAACTTAGTTTTTGGTTTCAAGTTCAATTTACTATTAACTTTGATTAGAGATGATTGTTGATGAACAACAATCAACAAGTAATAATAAGCTGATAATAAATGTTGTTGTTGAGGGAGTAAAATTGAAATGGATTAAGAGGATCGTGGGTTGAGAAAAGGTAAACCGAAATTGGAGTTCGGACAAATTAACGGATTGATTGACCGTATCAGGAGATGAAATTTTTGTTTTCTCATTTGTGTGTTATCATTATGATGATGACGGAGTTAAGGATGATGATGATGATGATTGTTTAGAATTGGATTATATTAGGAGTATAAACTTACCCGTAGTTCGGTGAGAGATGAAATGGCTTGTGAAGGAAATGTTTTTATCTGATTATTGAGTAAACTCAATGAACTTAGCGAATCGTTTACTCCCAAAAAGGCTTCGTCGTCGATTGTTTTGATCTTATTTCGTTCTAAGCTTAAAGCTGTTAACGTTTGAAGATTGGCAAATTGTCGTGGTGGTAAAGATGTTAATCGATTCTGGGCTAAATCGAGAAACGCTAATGCGGTTAAATTGTCGATCGCTGTTGGAATAACTTTGACACTGGTTCCTTTAAGGTTAAGGTGTTTAAGATGTGGTTCCAATCCTTGGAAAGCAAATTGGTCTATTGTATCTAAACGATTATCGGCTAATTTAAGAGTTACCAGTTGATTAGAGATAAATGCTGATGGTGGAATTGATGTTATATTGTTTACAGATAAATCAAGTGTTCTTAAGGCTGTCAGGGTGGAAAGTGATTTAATTGGGATCTCTGAGAGTATATTATCGGGTAAACTGAGTTTAACTAATTTATCTTCGAGACCAGAAAAAGCTTCGGGTTCAATTATGGCCAATCGACTTTTAGAAATGTGTAAATTGGTTATGTCCAAACCAGAAAATGTTCCCTTGACCAAGGAACCATTGGTCGTGGCATTGTTTACATATAAATCGTAGACTGGTGTTGATTTATTTACCGATGAATGTAAGGCCTCCAATAGACGAGTAAAATTAACGGGTGAACATTGGATTGATAATTTTTGAACATTTGAATAACTACAAACACAAGAAGGATAAAGGTCAGTGTAAGTTGTATTGGACCACGGACACTGGCCTGAAACGATTGCCGGTAAAATTGTTAGAATGGTGATTATTGTAAACACAGTTTGAGATGAGTAAAAGTTGATGGGATGATTATTGATTGAGAACAATTTTTTAGTTGTAAATGGCAACATGATGAAAAAAAATATCGAATGAGTTTCAAATGATTTAGATAAATTAATTAACAATGAACGAATAAAAAAAAATGTTAATCTCTTATAAATGTCATATTAAAATGATACTAAATCAGGTAAACTCTACATGGAGAGAGAAAGAGTTAAACTTTTAAATAGTGAAGAGATTTGAAATTGTTAGAATTTAATTCTAACCCTTGATTGTCAAACTAAGAAATCACTAATTAAGAAAGGGAGTGAAAATGTTTGATTACAATTAGTGAATGAGAATAATTTTCTCAATGAAAGTCAAAGAGTATCAACAACATGAAAGAGGAAAAATAAGTTAACAAGACAACGAATGAAAAGAAACTGACTCAGGTGAGATTAGAAAGAAAACTTTTTCATCTCCTTCTCTCTCTCTCTCTCTCTCTCTCCTCATCATCATCATCATCTCTCTCTTTTTTATATTAGAAAGAAAAAGCCGAATCTTTTTCCCTCTTCTTTTTTCTTTCTTTTTTTAACAAACTGGTTTTCTTTTCTCTTCCCATTTTCTCTTACTCATTCTCTCTTTCTTTCTCTCTCACCTATTCTCACAATATTATACATGAGAATACTTTTCATCATCCAAAGGTATAAATAAGAGATACAACTAATATCTTCTTAGACCTAAAAGTCTCTCTCTCTCTCTCTCCATCATTGGTACTATGCTTTTTTCTGTTAGTAAACAACAGAAATACCAAGACATGGATTTCTAATGTAATAGTTTGTATTTTCTAACAATACATTGGTTATTTACAAAGGAAGAAAAATATTCTCATCATCATCTCTCTGGTCATGATTATGCATGTTCCTTGTTTACCCAATTCTACTCTCTCGATTTCTCTTTCTCTTTCTCTTTCTCTTTCTGTACGTGTTTACCTTTTGTACATAAATGAAAGAGAACCATTTAAATGGTTCAAATATTTTATTCTCAATGGAAGATAAAATACTTTGAGATTTTTGTCCTACAAATAATAGTAGAAAAAAGTTATTTACTATTGTCACCATTCTTAATCTCTATCATCACCAGCCGATTTTATATCTACCTGGATTCTGTTTCTTTCTTCTGAGAAAACACTTTTTCTCTCCAATTTACCTGAACCATTTTCTTTATTTCTTTTTTTTATTATCCTTTTTTTTTGGATCTTTTTTCTGTTTTTTTCTTTTCACTGTCACTTTAACGTAGCGATACTTAATCCATGGGATAACCAGCGATTTCTATGTTGGCAAAACAATTGAATCTTGATTAGGATTAATTACCTTAATCTCTTACCACCCACTTGACCTCCATTCACCTTCATCTGCTTGTGTGTTGGTCAGTTGCTATTTTTGTGGTTCCTCCTTTACTTTAGCGCTCATTTCCTGTGCTCGTCCATTGGTTTGGTTTAGTTTTTTTCTTCTTTTTCTTTTCAGCAACATGTTTCTCTATCATCATCATCATCCATGTAATTATCTCTCTCTCAAGGTGTGTCCTGTCATTGGCAAGGCCACTAATCATTAGGATAATCAAAGGTCTAATTACTGACGCCTTGATCATTTCACTTTCTCTTGGATCAGATTTTTTTTCTACTTCACTTTCTGCTATTAACCTTTCACCCTTGATTACTAAATTGCCTTTAATTGTTAATTTTAGCTCACTAAATTGCTCACTAAATCAATCGACTGATTCACCTGATAATTTACTACAATTTACATGTAATTAGTTGATTGTAATTTAGCTTGTGTGTTCTGATGCCTCTCGTGTTTTTTGTTACAAATTTAATCTTGGATTACCAATTGATTACCAATTAACTTGTCCATCTAATTGTGATTTGTTATCACAATTAATTGCTATCGCCTCTTTAATTATTCATTATTTTAGTTTTTTTTCACAATTTGGTTTACCAATCAAATTGATTGTTACTAATTAACTGTTTACTAATTGTGATATTTTTAATGTACTTACATGTACATTGATTTACGATGATACCTTTTTTAACAACTACAATTAACTGATTGTTATATTAATCATGTTAATATTATTCAAGGTTTTCATCTTTAACACAGCTTGATATTGATCTTATTGGATTAAGATTTAGATTAAATTTGTTATAAGCTTAAGATGGAATCAAAAATTGAACAATCAGATAAGTTAATTAACTTAAACAACAATTGAAACAATTATCAACCTTGAAAGTGATTTAAATTTGTTGCTATTGTTTTCAATTAAGAGGTAACAAGTTATTTAGATGTAAATGATTAACTAACAATTAAATTGGAAACTCTTATATGTATATAACAATTACGATAGAAATCAAAGTTAATCAAATCAATCCAAATGAGGAAAAATATTCACAATGGACACTTGACCAATCATCACAATCTATCTGTCATTGTTTTTAATTGTTGTCTCTTTAGAGAGACAGACAATATTACCTGGTTGATAGATTATCTTAATCAACAATGAGAACAATTAACACCAGATTAACAATGAAAAGTTCTTACCTGTTGATAGATTTTTTTTTTCTTCTATCACTTATTCTGGTTGTTGATTCCATGAAGAATCATCTCCGGTGTAAGTTTTCCCAGTCTCTTGGATAGACAATCAACCGGAATAACGGATTAGCTATCAATCCATAATCAGTATTGAAACAAAAAGTAAAACATGTTGACAGTTTCAAAGTGATTGACAAAACAGTTTGACAAAACTTTTTTTTCTCTCTCAGATTGTTGATCTTAATTTCGCTTCCTAATCATCACAATTTAGATTCTAATTGTAAGTTTAATGACTTTGTTACAAAGTTTATCTTCTTGGTTTGTTAATCCATGTTAAATCACCATGATTGATTTGTCTTAATTATATTCTGATACTCATGTTAATCCAATAGTTAAATGATCAACCCTTAATTTTGACCTTTCCAAGTTTCAAATTAATCAAAATTTATCATTTACAATCAATTGATTATTGATTTACTATTAGTTTGTTTATTAGTTTACCAGTGTAAACATTTTCATTGTCCATTAATCTTACTTACTGGTCAATAGGGTTGATTGTAAATTTTTGATTCTCAATTACATTTTTCTCTCTCAATGTAATTAACTTTATTTTAATCAGTGTAAACACTTGACCCACCTCATGTTGCCCTTGAAAAGATACTTGACCATTTCCGGTTATTCTGATTTATTTTCATAATCACGATCATGTTAATTACATTATGAATTCTTATATATTTCATATTGATAATCAAAGTGTTATGTTAATTGTTGAAACATTGAACATGAACCTTTCTTTATATTCACGATTCTGATCTGAATTGTTGAATATTAATCAAGTTGTTTATTTACAGTTAATCAACAATCTATCATCTGTTTGCCTTTAATCATGATCATAATTAACTTTTCCATGGTATATGGTAACAATTTAATCAAAGTATCATTTCTTGTCTACTCATAATTTCATTTAATTGTTGATTTATTAATAGATTAAAGGTCTAAATTAAAGTAATTTGATTCTTTTGAGAAAAAAAAGTTAATCATTATTCTGTAATTAACATCATCACTTGTTAATCTGATTTACTCTTAGTTGATTAATTTTCACAAGTTCAATTAACTTTCTTCACAATTTTCTGGTCTAAATTGTTCACGAATGTTAAATTATCAACAATTAAGAATCGTCTTGATCAGATTAACATACAATCATATTGTTAAGAGTCTTAAATTAAGGAAACAGTTAATACAATTTCCAGTTTATCCTAAAATTATCACAAATTTAGTTGATTTAGTTGTATGATCAATCATTTTAATCAAATACTTTGATTGATTAACTAAATGCCAACTAATCAATTTGATTTCTCCACACAAAAGATACATTAATTAACCCTATCCACTAATTGTTGATCTCATTGATCCCTTATAATCAATTTACAACTAAATTATTTTCACTCTAATCAACTATTATAAATCAATTAATCTGTAATAATTTGAAACAATCTAATATTTTATCATTTAAATTGAATTTTTAATTATGATCATAAATACAATTTGATGATTTAAGTCACTATCAGGGAGTTAATTAGTAACTTTAATTGTCCACTCATCTTGTGGCCAACTCTTGGGCCTGTAAATTGTTGTTGATGTTGGTTGACAATCAAATCCAATATTAATTGTTTCCAAATGTTTGTTAAACAAAATGGGTTGATCATTGAATTTAATTTTCCGCCAAAAATTAAACCAATTATCAACCTTTTTTACATTATAATAATAATTTTTATCCTCATAATTAACATTGTGAACAATTAAGGATCTACCAATTGGTTTACGTTGATTGTTATTGTCATTCAATTGATTGGTGGTAACAGTTGATGATGATTTAAACAATTTGAACCATTTCCCTTGATTGTTGTTTGTATTATTATTGTTATTCACTTCTGGTTGATTATCTTCATCTTCAATTGATTCTTCATCATTTTCTGACCGATGTCCATCTTGATCACTTTTTTCATCTTCCTTATTGTTTGGACACCAACAACAACCAACAATCACAACAATTATAATTGTTGATGCTGATGAGACAACAGTTACCGTTGCAATCTTACCTGGTGTCAATGTATTACCACATGTTGACCGGCGAGTGACCACTTCCTTACAGACCATTTTACCACCACCACCCTGGTTGTTATTCAATTCCGGTTCACCCTGACTGTTGATTATACTCACTCGCCTCAGAATTGTATCAATTTTATCATGAACAGGGAATTCAGCTGATTGTAAACACAATTCATAAGCGATTCCATCTTGAAGTGATGAGATAACAAAATTAATATCTTTAAATCCAGTGATTAACAATCTAGAATAATTAATTATCTCGGATATGAATCGCAATTTAACATAAAGAGTCCCGAATTGACGTACTCTCAATGTCCACTCTGTAGGCAAGTAATGGTCAACTGGGTTAATCTTTAATTGTGATGACTTATTGTGATGATTAATGACTTGTAATCTCCAATTAACTTTGATTGTTGTCTCATTTATCTCGAGTGATTGTAATATGGTTATTAGATTTTCCCGGCTAATTTTTTCTTGATTGTTGATTAATTGTGATGACGATAAGATCCCATTGATTATTGATGTTGAATTAAGATTTGACTGTCGTTTGATCCGATTGCTTAATTGTTGACTCTTCAACTTGTCTATCACCTCACAATTAACCATTAAACTACCATAGATGAAAATATAGTTAATTGTGATTAAAAATGTTGATTTGATTGACATTTTTAACTTTCCGTTGTCCTTTCATTTGAAGTATTATGTTTTCAATTCTGTTGATTTAATTGTTGATTGTGATAATTAGTTGTCTTTGATTAAATTGTTACATTTTTATTCAAATCAAATCGTTGTTTTTCATGTTAATTGTCACAATTTTCATCTCTAATTATGATAAACTAGAAAACAATTAAAATGTTCATCTTTTCAATAGTTATGACAAATGATTAAGGAAATTGTTAATTAATTGTTTCATCTTTCTCCTTGTTCAATTTAATTGTGATTTTAATTAAAATCACAATGATTTAGGTCAAAATTACAATCAAGTTTAATTGTTTGGTTACAAAGTTGATTACAAATTGTCAAAGGAACTTAAAAGTTTACAATTAACTTAATCAACTATTTAATCTTTGCGTGTTGTTAATTGTCATTATCAAAGTATTTTTAACCAACAATCAACTTTAATTAGCAAATCATAAAGAGTAATTAGATTTAAATTGTTGTTTTCCATCCAATCCAAACAAATACAGAATAATCAAAGTCAATCCATTTAACTGAATTAACTGATTTGATTGTTGGTTAAATTTTTCTACCGGAAACTTTACCTTTAATTGTTATTACAATTGAAAATTAAATTAAGTAGCAACTAACAGCATGTAATCAAATCACTTTCCTTTCAACAATCAATTTAACAGTTACAATCAATTTTATTAAACGCTGATGATGTTCATTATTATTATCATTTCAAGTTTAACAATCAATTCAAGGTTAAATTGTTGTTATTAATTTAGATCCAGTCTTTGATGATGGTAATGATTAAGTTATTATTATCAAAAAAACCTTAATTGTGACCATTGATTGATTTTTCCTTAATAAAAATCAACCGTTGATCAAATATAGTTGTTAAATCAACAATTTAAATGTTAACTCAATAAACAACAATAAACTATTGTATTAAATTGTTGAGATAATTTTATTCACAATCAGTTTAATTATTAATCTGGTGAAAAATTTCACTGAATCACTTCCGTAATTAGTTAATTACTATTCAATTGTAACTTTATTATATTTTTCTTGATCTTTTACTGTTTGTATTTTGAATATTTTTACATAATCAGTTAATCACAAATTCAGTGATTAAAAAAAAGTCATAATTAAATCTCCCACTGTGTCTGATTAGTATAATTACTTGGGAATTTTTAATCTTAATCACTTTGACAATTAAACCATGAACACGATTATTGGTTGATTGTTAAGTTCATTGTACAATAATCACTAATCATAACTGATTATTGTTTCAATTTCTTGTATTGATTATCTTAATCTCATGATTGATTTAGTTAGTTAATCAATAACATCTAATCCTTGGGTCACTATTTAACCTTTTGATTACCAGATAATTAATTTTTCATCTTAATCATTTGATTTTATAATTAAATCAATCATAATTTAGCTGACAGAATTAAATTTCAATCAAAAGTGGTTTTCAGCCAAAATGTTGACCAATTATCACATTCAATAATAATAGAATCATATAATTTGTGTATTTAATTAACTTACAACAATCGGACTGGTTGTATATGATTAATTATCCCTTAATTGTTTAATTAACTTCTTGATTGTGAAAGGAAATTGATTCATACATGTAGCGCCATCTATTTTTCTGACGACAAAACCAAAGAAATGATTTAATTTTGTTCATTTAGATTTGTGATTAAAGTTAATTGAGTTTCTGTTTTTTGACAATTGTTTTAAGAACTAAATTTCTGTGACAATTAACAAACTGATAGTTTAGATAATTAAGATTATCTTGTGAAATTGACTCAAAATAGTGATTAAAGATTCACTTACCTGTTAGGCCTAAGGTTTTTTTCTTGGTCAACATTAACTCACTTGATTAACTGATTGTTTCAACTGATTAACATGAATTTTGAACATATTTAAAGGATGAATGTAAATACATTGTTTAATAACAATTAAATGATCATCTTTTTGATTTTATTAGTAACAATTAACTGTTTCCTTTTGAGAATCTTCAAGTTTCCTCCTGATTTGATGATGATCAATAATCACTAATCACTAATCACTAATCATTAACTATTAATTATTTTCTGATGAATATTGGTAATGATGATCAACTAAATTAATAGAGATTTTATTTTCTCTCAATATTAACACAATAATAATTCACTAATGATAATCAATTTGTTGTTAAAAATCAATTTTGATTCATGTTGCTTTGTTTTCACATTGAGAGTTAAAATCAACAAAATCATAATCATAATCAAAGTAACACAATTAATTTCAAGGTAATCAACTCATATTTAAAAAATAAGATACAAAATGGTCAAGCAATTTGATGATAATCAAAAACAACAGCATCAACCTAAGACTAAATAATATAAACTTTAAGCAATTAATAATCTCATAACTGAATTAAATCAATAGTAATTAACCTTCAATGTTACTAAATCAACCTTAAATTGTTATATATCAACAATTGTTTCTTGTTATACTAAATTGTTAACAATATATTTCGCTATTATATTATTATGAATATGAAAAAAAAATTTCAAGGATCGTAAAGTTAATCAACAATTTAACTAAATAACAATTTACAACTTACCCTGTAATTTAAACCAATGATAATAAGATGTTATTTCCCATAGACAAGATATTAAATTGTAATTTAATAACAGTCCAACAATTTAACGATAAACTTTTCCAGAATTAACAATCTAGACCTGAACTACAATTCTAATTGTTATCTTCTATTAAACTGGATTAACCATTTAATTTTAAATAGTCAACTTTTCCAATGGTAATTTAGTTTCTTATACTTGACCTGATTTCTTATTTCCCAACAATTTAAATTATAATACACGATTGATTCTAATTGTTACAATTTACCTTTGCAAATTTGCAAAGTTTTTCTCGTTGATTTGATTGATTTTGTTAATTGTTTCACGATTGAATCATTTGATCCATTCTAATTGTTGTTCATTTTTAATTGTCCTCAGTTTGGAAATTGTTTCACCCGATCTTTCAACTTGTCTATTAAATCAAAAGCTCCAGGTAAGATACTGCAAATAATTAGTTAATTGTTGCAAATTAAGTTTAATTACCAGGTGATAAATATGATTATTTAAATTGTTGTTGTTTCCTAGACAGTTTAATCATCTTTACAATCATCGTGACTAGTTAATTGTCGTGTATCAATACAATGTTTCTGTTTGTCTCAAGTGGTAATTTAACTTAATTAAGTTTCACTTTTAATGATTTAATTAATCTTCTAGTACATAATTACAATTACATCTTAATTTGATCCAATTATCAATTTAATCTAATCAATATCTTAACATATAAAACGAAAACTGATTAAGTTGTTAAAACTTTTAAAGACACAATGATTTACTCTTTAATGATTTAGTTAATTTATTCCTACAATTTAAATTGTTCATTAATTTGTTCACCTTCTCAGTTGTTGATTTACTCTTTCCCATGTAAATTGTTATTATTAATTCGTGATAACTTAATTTATCTACATATTAATATGGCTCTTAATTGTAATTGTTTCGTTTTCTTAACAATCATTTATCTTAATCATCATCATGTAGATGTTAAATTGTTGCATCCAACAGAAAAGGAAGCGAGAAATTATCACTCAAAGTGATTCAGGAAGAAAAATAATAACCAGAAATGATAATGGAGATGAAAATAATTCTGAGGATGAATTTTTTGATGCAATTGAAGATGAAGATGAATTCAATCAAGGTAAGGCTGAGAATTAACTTGCTACAACAATTAACTAATCATGATAATTGTTATTATTTTATCTTGTATTGAATAGGAGGAAAACGATCATTACTTCAGGCCGAAGGTCGATCTCACCAATTAAATGGATTAACACTCATTTCCAACGATGAACCTTTGTTTGTACCAATAACTCAAGATCCAGCGCCGATGACGGAAGACATGATGATGGAACAAGTTCAGATTCTTGCTCAATTAGGAACCACAACGGAAGGAGCTGCCCTTAGGGCTCGAATGCAATCGGCTCAATTAATCTCTGATATGGAAGCTTTCAAATCGGCTAATCCGGGTTGTATGTTGGAAGATTTTGTTCGTTGGCATTCACCGAGAGATTTTATTCTAGAAGATGATCAATCATCATCTTCTTCTTCTTCATCTCGAGGTAAATTATCGGCACGAATGGAAACACCAGGTAACATGTGGAGAGAAGTCTGGGAATCGGCCAAACCCGTTCCAGTGGTTCGACAAAAGGTTCTGTTTGATTATACCAAAGAAGCGGAAAAAGTTTTACACTCATTTGCATCTCTTACCTGTACCGGTTTAATTAATTACCTGGCTCCTTGTTTAATCCACTGTGGTACAAGTCAATTAATCAATCGAATTGAAACTTTAGGCTATACTGAATCAGAATTAGCGATTAATTTAACGGATTTAACAAGAAATTGTTCATCGGGTGATTATGATAAATGTTTAACGATCTTGGGTAATCTGGAAACTCGTTTGGTAAAAATTGAAACGTTAAGACGATTGTTGAACATGGCAGCGGAATTATCATCATCATCATCATCATCCACTGATGAGATAACTAGTGAGACAATCTCATTATCACCAACATCATCTATTTGGAATATGCTTAATCCTTTAATCTTGGGATTAACTCAAGAAAAGGAGATGGAAGTTGCTGGTGGATCAAAGGGTATTCTTGGTAAATTGCTGGTTAAATTGTTCACGGAATCAAGTCGAGCTCTTTATGAGGAGCAAACCACAGTCGGCGAAAGGGCTGTTCGGGTTTACGATAAATCTGACCTTCCACCTCCACTGGCCAAGGAATACGTACTTCGAACTACCTGTCCAAGGCCTTCGGTCACTTCCAAACCTTTACCTCAACGGATGTTTGCTTTAATCACTCCAAATGAATTCAGAGTCTCCGGTGCTTTCTGTCAGGATACATTGTTCAGATAATTAAATTAAATCAACAATTAACTTTACCTTTAAAGTTAATCATTTGTCTCTAATCAAGATTTATATTGTTTCCTATGAAAAAGTTTATATTTTATAATCATTTTGAATTTTCATCAACTACAAGTTATTCTGATCAACGAATTGGCTTTTAAGTGTTTAATCAACTGATTAATTAATTTACTATTTTCTATCACTAATCAAATCTTGATTATCTTTTCTTTTGTTGGTTAATCATCAAAATTCATTAATCAAATGTACATTGACTTTGTAATTGAAACGTTAAAGGTTAATGCACATACTTTTACAATTAATGATAATCATTTGATTTAATTGCAACAATTAAATAAGTTACACTTTCTAATGATGATGATAATTGTACACACACACAGGAACATGAAACTTTAAGTTAATCACAATTAACTTCAATCGTGTTTACGTTTTAATTAAAATTAAATAAAAACAACAAACTTTTTGTTCACTTGATTATTTGATTTATCCAAACAATTAAATTGTTACTATGTTGAGTTTTTTTGTTATTTAATTTCATTGATGATAAATTAATTCACTTCTCTATGTTTAGATTATTAAATATTTATGAACAATTAACATTTGATTGTTAATTGTTTTCTGATATTGGATTTGATATGAAAAATAAGAGCTAATTTTAAATTGTAATCAGGATAATTATTAGATCTTAAATTGTAATTAACTTGATCTTGAATGTATCATTTAATTTGAAAGGAAAGGTTAATTTGGATTTTAAATTGTTAATCAATTTCTGGCTTCTTGTCTTAAATCAATTGATTAACTCATTAATTGAATAGTTAAAAGCATCAAAGATAATCAGTTAATATTCAATTCCTTGTTTGTTTTGTTTAATTAATCAAAAAATTAAATTAAAACTGATTAAACTGTCAGATTAATGATTAAATTTCAATTTTTTTCCTCCTTTCATTTGATTACGATTGTTGAAATTAACGCTGATTTCATAATTGTCTTGATTATCTAATCAGTAATTAACTATACTGATATTTGTTAGAAACTCTTATGATAATTAATTACAATTAAGATCTGTTTTCAGGCTTTTCAACAATCAGTCTGATTTGATTTGGAATCAATAATTAGTTGATTGTGATCTCTTTCCAACAGACTCTTAATTGAACTAAATTTACTGGTGAAGATATTGATTACTGAAACCTCTTGAAAAGCTAAATCATTGAAATCAGAATCAGCAATTAAACTTAACCAATCAATCCGTTTACTTGAATAAACTCGCTCAACAATTTAACTTTAACTTGGTTAACAGTTTAATCAAAGTGTTTTAATAGTCCAAATTGTTAATTTGATTCCACAAAATTAAAATCAACTTTTCACCACAATCAACATAGAAACCGAAAGGTAAGACAATTAACATCAAACCTAATCCAATCCAATTGTCCAAATCCAAATAATCTAAAGTGAAACATTAAATTAGAGAATCTAAATTGCTAAATCACGTTCCATGATCTCTTTTAATTGCCCAACAATCAAAAACATAAGAAAATGTATTAGAAGGGAAACAAAATTCCTCCAACAATCAACTGATTTAATCGCAAAGGCAAAGAACTAAAATTGCCCAAGACTATCAAATAGATTGAATTTCACAACAATTAACTGTAAACCATTGGGAAAAGAAAAAAATTACGAAATCAAATTAAAATTAGAAATTAACAAAAAATCAGTAAGATAATTTTTAGAAAACCGATCAGCTGTTGACAGAGAGAAAAAAGAAAGTGAATGTTATTGTCTTTCTTTCTGTTTGTTTGTTTACTTTTTTTTTTCTTTCCAAAAGTGATTAGGTAATTTTAATTACTCAACAATTTAGACTTTAAAATGGATTAGGAAATCGATGTGATCATCCAATTAGAGATGAACAACTGATTAATTGCGTAACTTTGTTTGTGTCCCTTGAGTTTTAACCCAAATATATAAGAATTGGTTTTCTTTTCATTTCTAATCAGTTGCTCTGTAATTTTCTTGTCAACCACAATTTAATTAGTTCCTATTATCACAGGTAATTGTTTCTTTCTCCACCCTAATCAATATCTATGTTTATCTTTTTACTTGTTGAAACCTTTTAATTTGCTCCATTAATTGTGATCTTCATGTGCTAATTGTGATCATCTAATTTTCATCCTTTTCTCTTATACTTTTTAACAGATTTTCTCGATTGTACTTTACATCGGACCATTTAGATAATCAATCCACTACTAATTAATTCGTGATCAAACTAGTTACCTTTTCCTGAGAAATCACCATGGCTTTGAATGTTGAAGTTGAACCATCACCCAATTGGAACCACGAGAAAAAAGTGTGAATCTATTTACTTACCATGTGAGATTCAATTGTGATTTGATTGTTTCTTTTTTTTCTGTTTTCTCTCCTTCATTTAGTTGTTCTTGGAACCTTATGATTATATTACATCGAGAACTGGTAAACAAATTAGAACCCGATTGATTAGAGTAAGTTTTTTTCTCTTCACGTGTTTAAGGTGTGTCGGTACAATGGTACAGAGATTAATTGATCTGTTCTTAATTGTATCTTGCTCTCTCTCTCTCACTTTCTCTCAGGCTTTCAATGAATGGCTTCAGGTTCCTGAGGAGGTTCTCGTAAAGATTGGAGAGATTATTGAATTGTTACACAATTCCAGTATTCTAATTGATGATATTGAAGATGATTCAACCTTGAGAAGAGGAATACCTGTAGCTCATAATGTCTATGGACTTGCGACAACAATTAACTGTGCCAATTACATTTACTTTTTAGCCTTACACAAAATCATCACTGAATTACCTCATGATGAAGTAACTGAAGCAGTTAAAATCTACACTCAGCAAATGTTGGAATTACATAGAGGACAAGGTTAGATTGATTTCGACTATAATCTTAATGGTTCAACAATTAATCGATTGTTTTTTTTCTCTCTCTGATTAGGTTTGGAAATTTATTGGAGAGATAGTTTCGTTTGTCCATCTGAAGCTGAATACACTGAAATGATTAGCCTGAAAACCGGTGGTCTTTTTGGTCTCGGTGTTAAATTGATGCAATTGTTTAGTAAAAACAAACAGGATTTAACTCAGATGATTTTCCTATTAGGTGTAATTTTTCAAATTCGTGATGATTACAATAACCTAACGTCCAGGGAATACTCTGAAAATAAGAGCTACTGTGAGGATTTGTCGGAGGGAAAATTTTCCTTCCCTGTGGTTCATGCGATCAAAAGTTATCCCGATAAAACTACAATTGCGAGTAAGTTAATTATCCCAATTGGATGATAACAATTGTTTATTTTTAATGTATTTCTCTTTGTTTCCTGTTTATTATCAGATATTGTCCGAAAACGTCCTAAAGAAAGTGGAATGAAAAAGTTAGCTGTTGATGTGCTTGAGGAATTGGGTTCATTTAAATATACCAGGGAGACTCTTGAACGATACGATAAACAAGCTCGTGAAGAGTGTGAAAAACTTGGTGGTAATGATTTAGTCATGAAAGTTTTGGAATTTTTGAAAATCAAACCTGAGAAAAAGCCAAAGAAAAAATCCAAAAAACGTGAACCAGAACCAGAATCTGAATCAGAAGAAGATGAAGAGGAAAAAGCGAGTTCATCGGGTCTTTTTTAATTCCAATTTGATTCCAATCTTAAATTGAGCTCTCTCCACTTTGTTATTCTAACAATCAGCTAATTCACCAATTCTAATTTCCAAGTCAATTGTAACCAAATTGAAGACCAATTATTTCCATCTCATGGGAGAGTTTTAAATTTCCATGCAATTGTTTACCAATAAATGTTGAAAATTCATTCTAACAATTAATCAATTGTCTTTCAAATTCAATTAATTCATTCACAATTTAAGTTTGCCATTGCCTTTAAATGATTAATTAGTTAAACTTGACTAAATAATACAATGAATTAATAATGTAATAAGAGTCCGTCAGGTCAACAGGTTCATTTGCGATTGTGGTTTTTTCCCCAATTGATTAATTTAATAAATCAACAATCTTACTCTTGTTAGTAAAAGTGACACTTTGTGACAAGACAAATTAGTGCTCATTTAATGGTAATATATGAAAGAAAAGTCCAAGATTGGACTAATCAACTGTCCACACTTTTCGTCCATCTAATTGAGTTACAGTTTGATTGTTTTTACCCTCAGGGTCTTCATTACCAATCGTGTCCCTTAGCAGTAAAAAGTATCTTCATATAATCAGAGAAACAATTATTTGAACAATTAAGTCAATTAACCTAACCTAATCAATAACTAATCAAATAACCTAAAAGTGAACATGTTGACCTCATGGAGATCTTGAGACTTACCGACCAGATTTCATCAGAATTTTTCATTTTCGGTCAATGATTATAATTAGCACTCGAATTTGAATCAATTAGCAACACTGAATCGTTGTTTATATATATATATTTATATTTAATTTTTTTTTGGGTTTATTTGTACAAGTTTTTCATGTTGCTTGTTAATTTTTTGTGTCTTTCAGCATTTTCCGCGAGAATTAAGATGACGATGATGGAAAATCAGAGAGTGAGAAAGGGGAAGGTGGAAAAGATAAACATTTTTTTGTTGTTTCCTTGATCATTAAATTACTTTAAGTTGATTGTTGTAAACATTATCACCATATTGAAGGAAAGGGGCAATGAGGGCATAAGGTCTTAGATAAATGAGCAATTTTCATCACAAAATGAGTCAGAATTAATAATAATATAACCGTAATGACTTGTATTTTTTTTTGCTTTGTTTCAATTTCTATTATTATTTTTCTCCTAGAAATCCCTAATTATGTTTTTGACTTTGTTTGTGTTGAAAAGTGCTCGTGTTGAGGTCAGAGAATGAGAATTCATTCAGTTGATATGAATGAATCAGAAACAGAGAGATTACAACAAGTTTGTGGAAAGATTAGGAAAAGGAGAAGAGTTAAACATTCGAATAGCAGAAAATCTCAAAAAAAAAGGACTAATATGAAAGAACATACAATCAAATCAATGAAAAAAATTCCATCCCCGGAAAAGCAAAATTCATCGAAAATGATATAAAGTATGCATAAGACTCGACAATCAAGGAAGATGAAAGGATCAGTTGATTCTAACACTATCTGGGTAATTAACATCTAAATTAATTCAATAGTTTAAAGGGAAAGAGGGTATTGGTCAAGAAGGGGTGAAGGGTTTACAATGGTCAATAGGGTTGTTCAAAAAAAAGAAGGAAAATTGAAATTCAAAGTGGTAACGATTTGATTTTCGTTGATCCGGTTTCCATTGTCATTGATTAACATGCTTTGTAAGAGCTGTGAGATAGTCTTACTGAGTCTTTTGTCTTTATGGTAATTCGAAAATAAGGTCATGTCATAGTTCGCCAAAAGAAGAAACTCGTTCAGAAGCACTGAGAGATAAAGAAAAAAGAGAAAAATCAACTGGATCATAATAAAGGTCCCCAAAAACAACCAGTGGAAGATATCGAGATAGAAAGTGAAGCTTGAGATGAATTAGGATGTAATGGGGAGTATATTTTTGATTTGCTGTATTTTTTGTGACTGGTGGCATTTGTTGGCTTAGATTTTGAATTTGCCTCCGTCTCCTTCGGAAACAAATCGTTTTCGGCCTCTGAAAGAAGATAAACATCAATAAAAAATGATTAGAGAATTGCTAATTAATAAAATAAAACAGATAATAGTTTTACCTTGAAGGCATAGCTTTGACTATTTCGGTTGGTATGAAGCCCAATGCAACAGCCTTGTTAACAAATTTCTCCAAAATTTGATAAGCAAGGGGAACGTCGATGCAGATATCAGGCATTTCCTCGTAAACACGATTAAAGCCCTGTAATTAATGTTGATAAACAGAATTAATCAATTGATCAATGTTAATAAACTTGTTATGTTGGATAATGTTATGCTGCTGAGTAAAGAATGATCATTATTTAGATTCAACTATTGATTCAACAGTTGAATATAAATTTGAATAACAATCGTAATACTAATTTGATTAAACAACTAATTTAAACCACTTTTTAATAGTCAAGAAAATAACTTAATGGTTAATTATGCCATCGAGTGTTACGTTTTTATTTCTTGCAATAGTGATGATTGCCAATCAATTTTGATTACGGGTTTACTTACATTTTTGAGTTGATCGACGGTGACAACTACTGCATCGGTTAAAGATTTGAGCAGTTTGAGGATTAGATCGCCGACATTGTCACTCATGTCCTCAATAGCCATGGTTATGGCTTCATAAACGAATTCGTGGTAAAAATGAGGAACTTCAAGTTCCATGAGACATCGAGTGGCTTCATCAATGTCTTGTGATGAGACGTACTCTCGGAGGAGAAGTTGAATCTTACGAATGAGATATTTCACTGGCCTCATGCCACCACTAACACCCCAAACACTGTCCAATTTCACCAAACCATGCTTCATATTAAGCAGAGAACTGGCATGTTCCATAGCTTGCCGAGCATTTTCATCATTGGCCACGTAGCTTTGAACAAATTTGGGAGGAATACAATCATCAGCAACTGCTCTTGCAATGAAATTACCAAGAACCTAAATTAATTGAATAAAAATAGTTGAAAAAAGAGAAAAAGAAAAAAAAGTTCAACTATTGTTATTCATAAATGAAAAGAGAAATCATATGATGAACTACTGTTGAGAAAATAACTAATGAAAGTATCACGTTTGAAGGATGAAGAAAAAAAACTGATGTAACAGAATTAAATTCATTAATCTGAGTAATAGCCTTTGGCTATAGATTTGAAGTTGAATAAACAAGAGAAACAGTGTTCAGCCTTCAGGAGATGGAGGTAAACAAAGTAAACAAAGATAGCCGGTTAATGATAATCATTTTGTAAGATCAACTGGATTATCCGGTTAGAGAAACGGATTAAGGTAAAAAAAGATGGATAAATGTGGATAACTAACCGTAGCTGCCTGAGGTGTATCAAGTATCATGTCTGAAAGACTTTGGAGGAGAACTTCAAATCCACGCTCATAATCTTCTTCAAGGAGAAGTCTCGCATAGAGATCAGAAATTAGAACTGAAGCCATTTCTCTGTGAGAAGCTTTTCGTTCCATTGCAACGGAAACAATAATGACAAGAACTTGATGGAAGTGTTCACCCAAATTGAGTTCTTCCAATGATATTGCCACTTCTTCCGTGTCACCATGTTCAAAGTATTCATGAATTATCGGTTTAACATATTTTTCAATTTCATTCTCTTCAAGAGGTGGAGTGATAACATCTAATTTGCAGTTTTCTTCAGTCTCAGAATCGTAGTTAGGATCATGGGGATCCTCAAGTCCACGTTCAACTCCAACAAGTTCAGATCCAAGTCTTCCCCATGTACCTTTACCACCAGCACCACCTTAATAGTGGAATCAATTATAAAGAGAATAAGAAAACTTTAGTTATTAGTGAACAAATTCAGTCAACAAAATCCAAAAGAGAAAAAGAAAAGTGTAATCTAAAGAGTTAAACATAAAAACAACACTATCATTATCTACAACATGTAACTAAATTATTTGGAATATAATATTTGTTAACAATATCATGTGATGATTTCACTGAAATTCAGTCAAATATGACGACGGAGCAAGAGTAGAAAGTGGGAGTATGGGAAAGGAAAGAGGAGAAATATATTGAGAGTGACCTTGAAAAAGAAACAGCAAACAAACAACCGATCAATCGAAATTAAGAGAAAGCTATTTCAGTAAAAGATTGTGCAATAAGACAGAGAAACAAAAAGAAAGACAGAAAAAGTTGGAAAGAAAGTTAGACAGAGAAGAATTAAAAGAATAGAAAGAAACTTAAAGAAAGACCGAGAAAATTGGCGAAAGGTGAAAAGACAGTGAGGAGAAAAACACAGAGACTCTTTCATTTATTCTCTCTTTCTCTTGCCATCTCCATTATTCTCTCTTCCTGAATAACAAAAACATCAGTTGTCTCTCTACTAAATGAAACGGGGAAAAAAACATGGAGACTGTATGGAGAAAGAGAAAGAGAAAAAAATAGAGAAAAATAAAAAAAACAATTGAAAACAACAATACGATTTGATTAATAACACTATCAAAAACTGTTCCATTGAAGGCTAATGCCCTGGCAATTTGAACAACTTGTTGTCAAGTGAATTAAAAGAAAAAATATCAAATTAACCTGAAGAAAAAATCAGCAACAAGCTACTCCAGATATTTGAGAAACTAGACCAAGACAAAGAGAACCAGTAATAGAAGTCAAGACAAACTCAGAGAGTAACAACAAGGTAAATAAAGAGAAAAACAAGATTAGAAAGAATCTCATCATCATCATTATCATCATCATGAAGATTCAATGAATTAACATAGATAAAAACAACAACAACAACAATAGCAAAAAGAAGCAGAAGAAAGTAAAGAGACTAACCAGAAAAAAAGAAAAGAACAAAGGAAAAAGAAATAATTGTTGAAAGAAAGTGAGAATCAACCAGGTTAGAATGATAATCAAAGATTAATAAAAACTGGGAAAAAACAGGCGACAACAGGTGATAATTGAACAAAAGATTAAGGACAAAAAGCGAAAATAAAATTAACAACAACAACAACAGTTAGAAAGAGAAATAAATAGAAAATAAAAACATAGAATTTTTGTCTACGTGACTTTACCTTTCTTAGGCAAACCTCGTCCATACCTTCCTCTGGACCGTCGACTGTTTTTTGATTTTAGTTTCAATTCGTTAAGAACTACGGCATTAGGAGCTGAAGACATGGTGATATTGTCGAATAATATTTAAAGAAATTAAAGTTGATTGTATTTTGTCGAGAAAGAAAAAGAGAGGAAAAAGAGAGACACAACAAACAGCAAAAGAAACAAAAGTGAATTAACGATCTAAATTCTACTCTCAATGTTATCCAATGTTCTTTTCATATGTGCTGCCATCTCTTTGTTCGAATTTAAACTAATTGTTTTTCTTTGTCGCAAAAGAAAATTGATTAACTTTCCTAATTAATTGTTCTCAATGTAAGTATTAGCTTTCTTTCCAATAATTTACGTGATGATTTAGTTGTAGGGTTGATTGTTGGAAGAATAAAATATTCAAAAGTTAAACCGTTGAAACTTATTGGAGATTTGAATATTAAATTGGTTGGACAGTCGATTGTTAAATTATCTTGAGGTTAATGATTAACAAAGAGTGAGAAATCTGCTAATTAATTTACATTTTTTACTTTATTTCATTGATTGTAATAAAGGTAAGTCCGATTTGTTAGAAAGGTAAACAATTGATTACGAGTAAAATATTTGATTCAAATATTTGGAACATGAATAAATATAATTGTTTAAATTGTTCCGCTTTCATCTTGATTAAAATTGATGTGACAATTAATATGATTTTGGACACATAATTGAATTTTTAGATGATTTTTAACTGATAAAAGGAAACAAAGGAAAAGGAAACAGATGAACAATTAAACAGATACAATTAACTTGTCTTTGTTTAAAGATTTGTTGGTGAACTTTGATTTTCCATTGGATCCAAATGGTCAATAAGGTTTAACACAAACACCATCAGCTGATTGTTGAATGGTTGACCGATAAGGTGAGATATTAGTATATAAACCAGGAACCCCCCTGTCGACACCACAAAGATCCCAAGCACCAGAAACAACACCAACCAAATACCAACGATTATTTTGTGGATTCTTGTACATTAAAGGTCCACCCGAATCTCCCGAACAAGCATCACCTCCGGTTCGTGTATTTAAAGCACAAATGTGATTCTCATGAACTGGTTGGATATTGAATCTAAAATAAGTCGGTAAATTGTTCTTCTTGATAACATAATTATACTTCATCTCATTACATGTTGATTCTGACGGAGAAAAGAGAGATGGAAAAGTTTCGAATAAGTTATTCAAATTCGAACGGATCAGAATTTTCGTTTTCGTTTTCTTTTTGTTCACTTACTTGGAATATAATTTACATCAACTTCCCTTAGTACTTGACTTCCAGCTCCGGTTGAGTCGATATTACCCCAGCCAGCGACACTTAATGTCCGATAGTTTTGGTCATCTGATGAGGGAATACAAATTGGTGAGACTGTATCTGTGTATCGAACGGCCTCTTTTAGTCGTAAAATGGCGATGTCATAGTCCATCGGTGCGGTTGAGGTATAACGAACATCGTAAATATATTCATCGACGGCTAAGGCTCTTTTCTGGTCGCGATTTTTGTCCAAAATGCCAAGATAAACTTGAGTGTTCGAGGGTTGGTTCAGATTGCCATTGGAATCAAATAGACAGTGAGCTGCGGTCACTACATGTTGATTGTCCACCAATGAACCACCACATTGTGAATACGATGAACTGCCCGGTCGAGTGAATCTATTGGGAGAATTGGTGATTTATTGAATTTTCACGAAAAACTGATCAACAATTAGCGAAAAAGAAATTACCTAATGTGAGCAATCCATGGAAATTTATGTGTTTGAGTTACGGATCCTTTGAAAATTCGAGTTCGAATTCCTTCAAGTCCACAATCTAAACCACCGACAATTAAGAGAAATAATCAACTCAAATCGAATCTAATTAACTTAATTTACTTACCACATTGTGAATGAACGTAATTAACTGAGATTAAAAGTATAACTGTTATGGTGATTTTCATCCTGATTAACGGAACAAGTTAATTGTTATGAAAATAAGGAGAGTGTGTTGATTAACTTGATCAACCGAATTGAAACTTTCAATGTTAACTAATTAATCTTTAACTGTACACAACTGGCTAAGTTAATTTACTGTTTCATCAAACTAATTGCTTGATTGTTTTGTTCTATTGCGACGTTAATTACTAGATCAATCTCCAATTCCAAGTATAAGTTTAGTCTTGGAACTTAATTCATTTATTATCAATCAATGATTCTCACTGAGGGAGAGAGAGAGAGATCAAATTAACTTGATGAATGTTGATAATTTAACCTCAATGATATCGCAGAATTAATTTTAATCACAATTGAAAGTCAATCGTTCACCTATCATTTAACTTGAACAATTTAAAATAAGAATTAAAAACAATAACTGTTAACAACAATCTATTAATAAGCAATTCTGTCAAAATTAACAATTCTAGTTGATTAAAAGGATGAGTTAATTAAAATTAAATTGTTCATCATTTTGATTGTTTTCTCTTTCGTTAAATTGATATTTCGAGCCAAGTAATCAATAAATAATAACGAAATCAAATCAAATATATAAAAAACAGAAACAATTGAATTCCAAGGTTAATTATGATTAATCATTTTAATTATTACACGAGGAATAATTTAGTTAGCAGCTTTTATTGATTCAACAATCAACTAATTATTTCTATTTATCACTCCAATTGATTAGTATATTAATAAACTTAATTGTTACCAATTGACTTGAGTGTAAAGTTTTTACGATTGTTGAACTACCGGTTAATTAAGGTTCATTTTGTTTAATTGTTTCATTTTCATTGACTCTGAACTTTTCATTTTCTTCATTGGTTAACAATCAATGGTCAACAACATTGTTAACTTTAATTGTTTGATCAATTTTTCCTTTTTAAAGGTGAGTAATTAACTGATTGGTCATATTATTATTTTGTCTCTTGGGTGGTTGATTAATTGTTGATTCTGCTGATTGTTAGTTTGTCGTTGATTATAGTGTCCCATTAATCAAAAATCTGAATTGTGTGATTAATTTAACCCTTTATCATGATTAAATCACCTGAATGTGAAAATGATTACAGTTAATTGTATACTCTGTTTATAATATAAGCCCCGGTTAATTGTCAATCAATTCAAATCATTTGATTGGTTTAAATTATATTCTTGATATTGATTTTACAATCGGTAAACTTGATCGTTGATGCTGAAAAATTTATCATACAATCAACTTGAAAATTGAACAATTAAAATAATAACAAAATATGGTTGAATTGAGTTTTAGTCTCTTGGCTTGATTGTATTTAGAAACCTTTCTTGTGTTGTTTGGGTGCAATTAATAATTTAACTGGTTTACATAATTCAATGATTAAACTTTCTTCTGGTTTAGCTCGGATTCCCGATCCCGTTTTAGAAGCCCAAGTTTGTGAAATGCCAAGATAAGAGGCCGATTCCCTGAAATCGGCCACAATACTGACACTTACATGACATGGCTCCGTCCAAACAGAATGTGACAAGTAAATGTTGGTCAGTAGTCGATAATTATGATGTTCAGTATTACTATTATTGTCCAAAATTCTGAAATCGCTTAATTTAGGAAGGATAAAGCTATTTGTTTGATCGGGTGAGTGAATCTATTGTGACAAAAATAAGAAAATTAAAGTTAAGAATGAGACTCAACAGCAAATCAGAACAAATTTCAATTTAAACTCACCATAAGTCGTATGGTTTTTGTATCTTTTATATTATAAATAATTGCATCTAATCGTACGGTTAAAATTAATCCAGCGGTGAATTTAAGTGGATTATCTGATCGTCCATTGGGTTCGTTAATGATGGCATTTGATTTTCGTAAATGTTTTAAATATTCAATTGTACTTCCAGAGACAAGTTGAGTCTGCGAATTGAAATCAAATTCAAGGCAATTTGTTAAAAGATAATTATAATTGGATGAATATGATTAGGGAACAAAAATACTAACCAAATCAACCGCTTGACTTATGAGCTTAGGTGATGATAGGAAAAGAGGTTGAAGAGCTCGAGCAACTGAACCGGGTTTTGGTGAACTCAATTTGTTTACTTCTTGGATCATTTCTTTGGTTAGAGGATCGGGTTCCATACCATTTAGTTTGAGATGACTTTGTAAAGCTTTTACTTCCTCGAGAAAAGCATCACATAGAGTTAGAGCTGATTGATTACTTCCATGGATAACTGCAATTAACTGGAGGGCCAAGGCTTTAACTCGAGTTTGTAGAATCAGGAAAAGGTGGAAAGGATCAAGTCCATGAAATTGGTGAATCAGACAGAAAGTTGTTTGTAAGATTTGTTGGAGTGATGAACGAAATGAATTTGATTGTAATGGTGAAAGAAGGAAAGTATTGATCCAATTGTTGTTCGATAGAATCTGCAAAAAATTAGTCAAATAAAAAGAAAATTAATAAAATTGTATCCATTGGTTGTCTAATCTTTGATTGTTAAATCATATCGGTTGATACCTTGCGTAGTGACATTTGACATTTTAAGTATTGTTTTAAGAAATCGGATGCATGGGACATTGAGGTTCGATTTCACCAAAGTTTTCCAAATCGCTAAAGATAATTGAAATTAAAGAAATTAATGTAAATTCGATTAAGATTTAGTTTATAAGCTTTTCTTACCCTATCGATAACTCTATCACAGCAGCTTGAGTTTCTAAGGAAACTGATGGAGATGACATAATGTTACGAATACGTTCAAATATCGCTGAGAGAAAGCTCATCGCTGATTCTGAGACATTTTCGGAAAGTTGAGACGAATGTCGTCTCATCTCTAGGCCACTATCAATGTCCGGTATATGAGGAACTTCCTGGGGATATGAATATCTTAGGTAAGAATAATGTTTGAAGGTGTGAGGCTGAAATAGAGTTGTAATGGATGGACAAAGAGCTGCAGCATTGAAGACCAATATGAGAACGGAAATGTAAGCATCATCTTCCAATGAAGGTTCTGGAAGGTCCAAGTAAGGATGGATCATCAGTAATTCATGGACGATAGGGTCAACTAGGTGAGGATGATTGGAACCCAATTTTTGAAAACATTTCCAAAGAGAGTTTTTGTCCTCCGGGTATCGTCGTAAATTGTCCAAAAGCTTATCAATACAAGATTTAAGTGACAATTTAGAAGATAATTTACAATTACCAAGCATATCGTGAAGAGCTTCTCTAATATCCATCGTCATATCTTCCAAAACGCCTAAAATAATATCTATCTGGTCATCTCGAAGGGTAATATTCTGTTGACCAATGCGACTTAAACATTGAATTGCTTTTAAGCGGATATCTTCAATTTCATCGTTAAACATGTCAACAATAAAATCTAATGATTGTTGAGCAAAAGCAGGAAATGAAATCGCCAATTTACAGAGAGACTCAAGGGAAGCCATTCGAACCTCTGTCGATAAGGATAAAAGAAAGTAAAAGATTAGGCTTAAGAAATACCGAAAATACTTATCACCACAAAATGGGATTTAAAGGAAAAAAATGGCTGATTTATGGTTATTTTGTTCTCGGCATTTATAATTATAATTATTACCTAGAAATTCATCTTCCAGTCCATGAATAAAAGCTCCACATGCACCGATATCCATTAGATTTATAGCTTCAGGATCTAATTCCTCTTGAGGTGCATCGTCAGCCCATTTTTTTCCACTTGACCATTCACCTGATTTAAAGTTTTCACGACTTCGTTCATGAGCTGATCTTTTTTTCTGGTAAAGTGAAATTTGTAAGTAAAATTACAAAGGATTAAAAGAGATTTTAACAATGGCAAGTTTAAAATGTTTACCCTTAGATTGGACATTAATTTTTTGTCTAAAGTTTGCTCAAGAAAATCGGGTGAGACATCAGTGAAATTACCAAGAAGAGAAGCAGCTTGAACTCGAACTCTAATTGAAAGATCATTCATCATGGAACACAATTTAGCGAAAGCATCATCAACCAAGCGAATTTGCTCATCGCCCTTTTCCACGCAAACTAAGCTGTAAAAGAGAAAAGATGAAATAGATTAGTATCATAAATCAAGAGAAATATCAATTAACTTACCAATCAGCATAACTATGACTTAAAACCTCAATTAACTTTATTGAAGCCATTCGACAATCTTCATAATCATCAGTTAAACCTTCACAGAATTCACAATATAAGCTAATATCAAGTTTAGCACCTCGTTGATGTAAACTATAAAGTGAATTAAGTGCTGCTGATCTAACTCGAGGATCAAAATAATGACTAAACTCTCGGAGGATTTTAACAATAGCAAGAAATTCACTTTGCATCTCAGTGGTTAATAAAGTTGAATCACTTGGTCCAACATCACTGGCAACAGGAGCAAGATGAGCCAACATGGCCAATGAATGACGCTTAATCAAATTACTTGAATGGGTTAAGAGTAAATGTTTACTGGCATTAATTAGTTTAACAAATAAATCCCAATTACCAGAATATGGATGAGATGTAACCAGTTTAAGAAGAGAAGTCAATATTTCACCGATAACAAGCTTTTCCTTTGTAGTTCCAAGAAGAGGTAAATATTCCTCTACGATCGAGGCTAACTTATTGTCATCCATGATTCTAAAATGAGAAGCACAAATCAAATCTCCAAAGCTGATAACCAATCGATCAATCAAAACAATTAAATCACAAAATTGAAACCAAAACAAAGATGAAAAATTTTTTAGAAACTCGATCACAATGTTTACATTTCAGTTGAATAGTTGAGAATAAAAATAAAAGGGGTCACTAAGATTCACTTTCTTTTCTATTTAATTGATATTCTCTTTCTTTGTTTAACTAATTATCTACAAAATCAATAAACAATAATCAAATGAAATCAACAATTAACCAATCAACTAATTAACTGGAACATGAAAGTTCATCTATTAATCAACAATCAGAATTGAGAGAAAATCAGAATTTCCAAAAGCGGTTAATTTAAACTTCGCTAGTTAACAAATTGGAAATAAAATATTCCAATTGTGTTAATTACTCTATTGTATTAAATTAAAAAGAATGAGTTAATTAATTTGTTCTAAGGAATTAATTTTTAATTAGAATTGATTAGATAGCGAATTTAAGGAAAAAAGAAAAATTCTTTTCTAAATTAAATTTACCGCCTTTAATTTTTTTCTCTTTCATTGGCTAACGGGATCTGGTTAATTTTCGTCCGGTTATTTAATAACCGACAGATCATAAGATCTCAAGCTTTTTAATTGTCTCTTTTTTAATTTAGTTTAATTGTAAGTGTTTTCGTTTTCATCACTTTATTTAAATATTTAATTATTGTTCTTTGTCCTGTTTGCTTGCTTATTTGTTCTCCATTTAATTTAGTCTCTTGATTGTTGGAGAAAAATTTGTTAGAATAATTTTGCTTTTATCTTTTAAAAGTATTTGGATCTAAATACTGAAACGGATAATTGAAAGTGTTGGTTCTTGTGTCTTGGTCTGTAATGTGTACGTGTATCTTGATTGGTACAGTAATAAGTTAATTGTTACAATTAATTGTATTTGTTCACATCACCATGTTTCTTAGTAATATTTTCCAAGTTATTGTAATTTGTGTCTATTTAAGATGCATCAAAGCGGTTGAGTTAACCTTCGAATTACCAGATAATGCTAAGCAATGTTTCCATGAAGACATTACCCAAGGAACTAAATCTACCGTTGAATTTCAGGTAACTTTCTGTTCTATTTTTCTATGTTTTTCTATCAATTTTCTTCCATCTTTTTGTATCTTTTTCCAATGTTAATATTTCCCATTTCTATTTTAATACAACCTTTGGAAGTAGGTCGTTTGAAAATAATTGTTTTCTCTTTAAACATCTAATCTGAAATACTTTTTCTTTTATTATTTTTCGTTTGTCTTCAGGTTGTTACTGGTGGACAATATGATGTTGACATGACGTTAACTGGACCAAGAGATGAGACTCTCTATCAAGGAGTTAAAAAACAGTTTGACACTTTCACGTGGACACCTCAACACTCTGGAGTGTATACAATCTGTTTTAGCAATGAATTTTCAACATTTAGTCATAAATTAGTTTATTTTGATTTCCAAGTTGGTGAGGAACCTCCGCTTCCAGGTACTGGAGAACATCAAACTGCATTAACAAAGGTAATTCGATCATTTTAACTGTTTTCTTTTAATTTCGAACATTTTTATCATTTGATACTAATTCTTCTGTTTCTTTTCTATTCTTTGTTCTCTTTCTCCATGGTTCTTTTCAATGTTCTTCAGATGGAATCATCAACTGTAAATATTCACAACAGTCTCAACACAATAATCGATGCTCAAACTCACTATCGTCTTAATGAGGCTAAAGGAAGCAAGAGAGCCGTAGATCTGAAAAATCGTGTTACTTATTGGTCATCTGCAGAAGCTTTTCTTGTCTTCGTAATTAGCATTGGTCAAGTGATGATATTGAAAAATTTTTTCACCGACACAAAAACTAGGAATACAATTTAATACCCAACTCGAAAAGCTGAGATTATTATATGAGAAACAAAAAGGTATTAAATCAATTATTGGTAATTTCGCCACAAATTTATTTAATTATTTACTCGTTTGCATTTTTATCACATACACAAAACCAACCATAAACTACAAGGATCATCTTAAGCTGGCTGTGATTTATCAATGGATTTATGTTTCAAATAAAATCTGTCACAACCTCTTTCGATTGAAATTGTAATTGTCAATTTGATAAACACAATTTGTAATAACAATTAACTGAAACCATCAAGTGTGAGAAAAAAAAGGTTAATGCGCGATAAATAGTTCTGAGTGAGATAAATCAGGTTCCACTTTTTTGGCTCCAAAATCTCAGCAGAATTGATCAGCTAAACGAATCAAGTTGTAATTATATTCGTCTAACAGTTTAATTCATGGTAATCAGGGAATATAAACTCTTCATGTTTTAATTGTAACTTGAGATTAATCTTTTTGTTATTCTTTGTAAAGGTGATTGACTTTATAAATTTACTTCTTATGAAATTGATTCATAGATCAGGAAACGGCCAATTTAATGAATTGTTTTTGATTCTGTTTGCTAGAGGAAAAGAGAAAGAATTGTATTAATTATAAGCAAAAAAGAAAATGTAAATCAATGGATCATCAATACTCCACGCAAATGGTAATGAGAGTGAAAGAAAACCATTCAAAGGAAATGGATTAAGTAGTTCGGAAAAAGAATTGAAACGAAAATCATCATGTTCTTTGATGACCTTAATTCTAATTGGAAAATTTTTGAAAATGAAAATTAATGAAAGAGAATCGAAAGAGCATTTGACAGAAGAAAAAGTTGATGCAAACATCTATCTCTATGCTTCGCGCCTTTCGCATCTCAGGCAAAGGGGTAGAGAGAGAGAGAGAAAGAGAGAGAAATAGTGATGAGCTAGAGATTTGCTCTTTTAATTGTTTACAATTTCTCTTAGAGAAATTTTTGGATAAACAAATAATGATAAAGATAATCCAATGGTAAATGAACACAATAAAAGTGGATTGCATTTTATCAAAATCATCAAAGCTGGCTGTGATATGGATTTACTTTCAATAAACATTTCACAACCTCTTTGATGACTCGGAGGAATGCTATTAATTCAATTCAATTTTAATTCACATCATTTCACAATCCATGATCTGTTGTTCATTCACAAAATTATATTACATTAGATTTACTGGTTTAAGAAAATAAGAAAAGCACATATTACGATGATAGATTTTATGATGAAGATGAAGATGAGGATGAGAGGATGGATGTGATGATGATGATGATGATGATGGTAAAGGTGAGAAGATGATTTTATATTGTAAGATTGTTGATATTGTTTCAATTAATATTTACATTCACAATGATTGTTGTTGATTAATGTTTGAATTAGCGCCAAAGACAAAGTAGTGAGATGTTAATTAATCCGTTACATCTCACTACCCATGTCTTCACACTAACAGAACCAAACAATTTAAATTAACAATCAATTTTTCATCAATCAAATTCTCCATCTTTTTAACAAACAATATAAGAACAAGAAAGCGAACAAATTATCATCAATTGATTCTATGGATCAACAATTGCCATTTTCATCGTAACATTTTACAATCACTAAAATGATCACCATTAAAGAAAAGATGCTAAATTATAAATATAAATGGACATTAACTTAAAATATGAAAACCAAGTCAAAGTAAATAAGAGTAACACTCACAAGTAATAGACAGACAGAGAGAACGAGAGAGAGAGACAGAAAGACAGAACTCGAGAGAGAGAGACACAGAGAGAGAGAGAGAGAGAGAGAGAGAGAAAACGACGCATACAACAACATGGGTGTAACTGTATAGTGTAGATCAGAACTAACAGAAAATTGTTGAAGGAAAAATAAAAGTATAAGGGATGATGAGGATTATGAACAAAGACAGAAGATGAAGGAAAGAGAATAAAATGAAAGAGAAAAAGAGAGAGAGAGAGAGACAGGAAAGAGAAAAAGAGGGAGGAAGATGAAAGTAGAAAGACAAAAAGAAACACAAAATCTTAGATATAAGAGAAATAGAAAGAGGATGAAGATAGAATTTTTTTTTCTTCAAAGATGATGAAGAGAAAATAGAAAGAAAGAGAGAGTCGAAATGAGAGAAAGAGAAAAGAAAAAGAAAGATAATGATGTTGAATCACCATTAAGAGTCAAGATGGAGAAAGAAAAGGAGAGATGATGATGATGATGGTGAAAAATGGTGAGAGATGATGGAGAAACAAAATCTGTATTTTTATTTGTGTCTTAAGTCTTTCTAATCAAATGAAAGAGAAAAAGATGATTAAAAGAAAGAGGGAAAATAATGCGCAATCTCTTTTATTTATTCTCTCTCATTATTTTCATTACTTCTCTTCTTCTTCAATCTCCATTTTGTTTTTTCTCTTCATCTCTTCATCACTTATACTGTTACACACTAAATATAAGCAGCATTTTTAGTTCTCCATCTTATCTCTCAATTCTGATTCATCATCATCATCATCTTCCTCTTTTTCATTCTTTCATCTTGATCACCACACATTCAACATCATCATTATCTTTCTTTCTCTTTCTCTCATTTCGTTTTATCTTTCTTTCTATTTTCTCTTCATCATCTTTGAAGAAAAAAAAATTCTATCTTCATCCTCTTTCTATTTCTCTTATATCTAAGATTTTGTGTTTCTTTTTGTCTTTCTACTTTCATCTTCCTCCCTCTTTTTCTCTTTCCTGTCTCTCTCTCTCTCTTTTTTTCTCTCTCTTTCATTTTATTCTCTTTCCTTCATCTTCTGTCTTTGTTCATAATCCTCATCATCCCTTATACTTTTATTTTTCCTTCAACAATTTTCTGTTAGTTCTGATCTACACTATAAGTTACACCCATGTTGTTGTATGCGTCGTTTTTACGTGTTTTCTGTCTCTCTCTGTGTCTCTCTCTCGAGTTCTGTCTGTCTGTCTATTACTTGTGAGTGTTACTCTTATTTACTTTGACTTGGTTTTCATATTTTAAGTTAATGTCCATTTATATTTATAATTTAGCATCTTTTCTTTAATGGTGATCATTTTAGTGATTGTAAAATGTTACGATGAAAATTGTGCAAAAAAAAATGGTCGTTTAGCAATTTAATTGATCCATAGAATCAATTGATGATAATTTGTTCGCTTTCTTGTTCTTATATTATTTGTTTATTGTTTGTTAAAAAAAGATGGAGAATTTGATTGATGAAAAATTTGATTGTTAATTTAAATTGTTTGGTTCTGTTAGTGTGAAAGACATGGGTAGTGAGATGTAACGGATTGTAATTAACATCTCACTACTTTGTCTTTGGCGCTAATTCAAACATTAATCAACAACAATCATTGTGAATGTAAATATTAATTGAAACAATATCAACAATCTTACAATATAAAAATCATCTTCTCTCCACCTTTACCATCATCATCATCATCATCATCATCCACATCCACATCCTCTTCATCCTCATCATCTTCATCTTCATCATAAAATCTATCATCGTAATAATCACGTTGTGCTTTTCTCTTATTTTCTTAAACCAGTAAATCTAATGTAATATAATTTTGTGAATGAACAACAGATCATGGATTGTGAAATGATGTGAATTAATCAATTGAAGAAGTGAATTGAATTAATTAATAGCATTCCTCCGAGTCATCAAAGAGGTTGTGAAATGTTTATTGAAAGTAAATCCATATCACAGCCAGCTTTGATGATTTTGATAAAATGCAATCCACTTTTATTGTGCTCATTTACCATTGGATTATTTCTTGTTTACCAAAAAACATTCTTTTAATTGTAATCGTAAACAATTATAAAAGTAAATTCTTCATTTCTTCTCATCTCTCTCTCTACCCTTTTTCTTGAGATGCGAAAGGCGCGAAGCACAGAGAGTGAGCTTAGTATTAACTTTTTCTTCTGTCAAATTCTGTCTTTTATTTCTGAATTTTCATCAGGTGAGAATTAGTCATCACATGAACTAATTAGAAATGATTCCGTAAATAAGGAAACATTTTACTCATAAAATGTTACTCATTTTGTATTCTATTCACATTTCAATACACTTACATTATTCTGATCACCAATTCACTTTCTCTTAATTACTTTTAATTGATACATGAAACTTGATTTTCTCGTTTACTGTTTATCCTTTAAATTGTTTTTCCTATTCAACTAATTAAACGCTTTTTTATCTATTTTCCAGACAAACAATCGACTCTCATGTTCCATGATTTTGTATCCATTGAAAAGGAGGGAAAATTATTCAATTTCTCAATTAAATCAACCAACAAACTAATGTTATTCAATCTAATCTTTTATTTTGGAGGCAAAACCTGAAACCTGAAGCTTTGATGATACATGGGAATACCAAACTAATTGTCCAAGGAAGGAAAAGAAATGAAACAACAAAAAAACTAAATCAAATTAAAAGAGCAATTAAAAAATATATGTAATTGTCTCTATTTATTGTTATAAAAACGATATGCTTTCTGTCGGGCATCATAGATACTGTCATTTACACCTAATCCACCAAATGAGTTTCCAATTAATTCGAGATTCAATTGATGCTTTTCAATTTCACTTCTAATTGTTTCTACCTTGGAACTATGTCCAACATAATATTGTGGAATACATTCCTAAATGGGAAGAAAGAAAAAACGGTAAATTATTTACAATTAACACAATCGAAAAAGATTAACTCACCTTATGAATATTAACAATAGTTCTCACTGGATTAACATTAATATTGAGATGATTTCTAACAGAATCTTGAGCAATTTTCAACATTAATTGATGGTCAACATTCACTGGGTCACCAAATTGATCATCAAACCATTCGCCACCCATCATAACCTTGATTACCATCATTTGGAAAAGAGAAACACGTTAATCAATCAAATTGGAAACAAACAATTAAACATTGAAACTTACCGTTAATCGAGTTATATCTTTATCACCATCATGATCTCTAAAGCAACAAGAATCAAAAACGATTCCTAATATTGGTGAATTACTATAAGAAGGAGTTAAGAATCCAAATCCCATGTCTCTTGGTATAATTGTTCCGGAATATTCAAGGTTAACTACTGCAACTGTAACTGATTTAATTGATTTTAAATTGTTGTGGATAATTGGATAACCTTTGGCGGAGATACATTTAGCTAAATTGTTGGCTGGAAGAGCGGAGAAAATGTGATCAACGGAGATTGGCTTAATCGAATTGCAATTAGAAACATGTAGAACGGCACTTCCATCGTCTTTGAACATTATATGGTCAACTTGATGACCTAAATGAACTTCGACATTGGCACTTGTAGAATGTTTAATTAGATTAGAATAAATTGTTGCTGGTAATTGTTCAAGTCCATTCTTTAAAGACCAGATACTCCATTTTTCACTTTTAACTTGATTTAAAAGTGAACTTGAACTAATTTCAGAGTTAATTGTCGATGGAGTTTCTTTATTCGGAGAGAGCATTCCCTTAATTACCGATCCTTTTGACCTTTCAGCCCGATAAATTGGTGGAAACATTGATTTAAGTGACAATTTCTTACTATCCCCTGCGGCGATTCCCCGACACATTGGATCAAATAAATATTTGGCTACTTCTTCACCGAAACGGGAAACCATAAAGTCATGGACACTAATATCTTCACCATTATTTGGATCCAGTGTTAATCGAGGTGATTTGAAATCTTTGTACATTGATGAAATTAACGGTTTGGTAAATGGCGGACAATTAAAAATTAAACTCTTCAAACTATTTGGTAAAGTGTAGAGTTGATTGTTAACACAGATTAGTCTTTTCTTAGCCGCTGGATCACCACTCTTCACTTTAATTATATCTGGTGTTAGTTTAATTTCTTCAGCCTGATTGAGGAAAAGAGAAGAAATTAAGAATTAAAATCAAATTCTATTCTATATCAATGAAAATAAATTAGATTCTTTTTTGGAAAATTTTATTCATTCAACTAACCAATAGAAGAGTATTGAAAGCAGGTAATCCGGATGCTCGGATACTCTTAGGCCCTAATTCATGGATCACTCCGTCGTCAAATTGTTGAGACTTTAACCAACCACCAACTGAATTAGAAGCTTCAATTAAGATAATCCGATCAGATCTACCAAGTGATTTACCTAATTTAGCCAAATAGTGAGCACATGATAGACCAGAAACACCACCGCCGAGAATTGCTATTTTTTTCATCGCCACAAATTCACAGGGTCCAAGTTCAAAATCTCAATGATTTTCTCGAAAGCAGACGATAAACTCTAGTGATTAAGGAAATTAAGAGAAAAAAATAAAAGAAAAATTCACAATTAGATGAAAGAAAATTAAAAATCAGCTGAGAAAAAGTAGACAAAAATCAGAATGAATAAGTTACCATAGAACCGGCAACATGATCACATTTACTAAATTAAAGACAATTAATCAGCCAAAGAAGGTTAATGAATAGAAAATTGTGTTACCGAACAATTAAAACATACTTTTAATTTCGATGGTTAAAGTTAATCAAAGCGAAACGATTAGCAAGTAAAATGAGAAATTAAATTGAAAACATTTGGAAGAGAAAAACATTTTGCTGTGAGAATAAAAGTCTAAACATACAGCTGATTAGTTTTTCTAAATTGTTGCAACAATTAAAGTATTTTGGTAAACTTTAATTGCTATGACTTGGAAATTAAGATTAGGATAAATTGTTAGAATATATTGAAAATTTTTCGGGTTTTAATTAGTTGTCGTGTCTCAGGTTGAGGTTAATCATTTTAAGTTGTAAAAGAAAAGTAAATGATTGAATCAATTGAATGATTTTCATTTTGAGATGTTCAAGATTAATTGTGTGAATTAATTTTCTTAAGGTAACTTTTGAATCCTCGATGTTTAAATTCAAGCAGTTTAGCTAATGGATCTTCCGATTTCAAGATTCCACTCTCGACAATTATAATTTCAACTTGATGGTTGATTACTACTTCGTATTGTTGTTCATGATCACCACAATTAACATCGATATTGTGAATGAAACCAGGATCATTTTCAGTTCGATGTACAAGATTCCCTCTGATTGACATTATTGGGATTAATTAACAGCCTCTCAGATCACCATTGGAATTGAATCTTCTCTTTGAATCCTCAATTGAATCAGAACTGGTAACATGAAGGTTGATTAAATCATTGATTTAAATTTGCTATCAGCAAACAATTATAAATTAGATCGCCCAGTGTCACCAAATTTAGAATCTCCAAATACAAGGAATGGGTATTTCTTTTTAATTTTCCAATATTCTCAGTAAATTGTTGATAATTAAAAGCTTCAATCATGTTGACGGTAATTTAAGAGCCACGATATGAGGTCCAAGTCGATCAGTAATGTAATCAGCAAAGGCCACTCTTTGTTAATTTCCATTAATAGTTTGGCTTAAATAGAGAAGTGAGAACATTTTCTCAGTTGATCAATAAAAATAGAGAAAGAAAATAAAGATGATTAACTCAGAAACGAAGAGGATTGAGTATAAGTGCCAAAAATAATGGACCAGGTAAATGAGATTAAGTGACCATAACAAATAAGGGAAATTTTGAAATAAACAAGTAACTTTTGTTATGTTATTTGTTTCTTGATTGCATTGCCATTTAATGAATTTCTCGAGCTTCTGGTTAACATTAATCCAATTTAGAAACATCAGAAGATGAAGTTAATTAGTTATTCACAAAGATTTAAAAGGAAAACAATCCAATCTCGTTTACGATACCAATTATTGCAAAAGTGTTCAAGAGACAATTTGTTGACCAGAATTTAGACATCGATGAGAAAGAGAGAGAGAGAGGAGCTCAATTTGATTTAATACTTTGGTAATTATTGTTATTGGTAGTAAAACCCTTTATTCATTTTGGGTCAGCAATAATCAAAATTAGAAATTGAATCCTCTCCAATGGTGAGCTATAGGAATGCTGGAACTTCACGAACACAGTCATGTCTTAGAATAGAATAGAAATGAAGTTAGAAAATTTACCCATAGAATAAAATCTATGATAATCAATTATTTCCTTTTCTTTTTCTCATGACGATTCCTTCGACCATGACCATGATTATGTTTAGATGTTGGTTGACAATGATGACCAGTGTGAGAATGAGTACCACCGCCACCACCACCACGACCATCATCATCCTCTGTACTAAAATCAGAACCAGATTTACCATTTGAACCACTGGAGCTAAAAAATATAACCGCAAGAATACAAGCAAATTGAAAAATCGCCCCAATACCTAAGCCATAACTCAAAAAGCGATCCAATAAAAAGTCTTTAGTTGATTGACCACCAAATGAATTGACAGACATTTTGAAGAAAACTAACCAACACACTGAGAGAACACAATCAACTTAAATTGTCACAATCAAATTACCAAAAAATTAGAAAATAACAAAAGAAATACAAAAGTAATTGTGACAGAGACAATTAAACAAAAAGAACTTCAAATTCAAATGTAAACAAAAACAAGAAAAAGAACAAAAATTTGCTCTGTAAATAGCCGATTCTCTCTTATTTCCAGAGAAAATTAGTCAATTTAATTGAATTTAATTTCCATTCTTATGGAACAATTAAAAAGTAATTTCAATAGAAGGAGTGAATTTCCAATAAAAGAAAAACAATTAGAAAAGGTTAATACAATTTAGAAAATAAATTTGATTGTCAGTTGATTAATTGTCGCTTTTAAATATAATCGATTGAAGTGAAAACAAAAAGAGATCACAATTAGTTTGTGATTAGTTTTAAATCAGTTTGGTAAATCGTAAAATTGATTTACTATCAAATCGAAAGGAAGAAAACTTTTTAAAGTGATTCTAATCATTTAATTGCAGGGAAATCAAATAAGTCTAACAATCTAAATTAATAACAATCAACTAATAGGTTTGAATGTTTCACTCTGATTAACTTTTTTCCCTCTCGACCTTATCAATTAAAATAAATTATGATGATTATCATGGTTCAATTGTTTATCATTTAATTTATTTGTCTGTCACCCAATCGGTTTAAATTACAATATTTGATTTACAATTAGTAAATTGTTGTTAAGAAATTAGAAATAGACAAAAATTGAATCAATAATTAGAGGGAATCAAAGAGAGAGAGAGAGAGAGACAATTAAATCAAAATTTAAATAAAACGCAAAAATTTTGATTAACTAACGGGAAATGATTATCAAGATAATCAAGGACAATTTATCATTGATTAATTATGACGATGATGATTGTTAATTAGTGAAATTATTTAACGAAAACGATTAGAAAAAACTTTTTCTCGTTCCAAACAAATAATCACGTTAACTGTTGGTTATCGTAGTTAGTTAATTGTTGTAAATTGTGATTAAACTTTTACTCTAAACTTTGACTCCACTTAACAAATGAATTTAGTTAATTTTGATTATTTAGTTAAATGATAATTAAGCTTTTACCTTTTACTTTGGCTTCAAATGATTAACGTTCATTATTATTATCATAACCTGACAATTAACGTTTTTTTTAACAGTTAATCTAATCAATAGGTTAATCATTTTAATAATTTTGGGTGTTAGTTAATTTTTCAAACAATTTGTTTGCCACAAAAACAATTAAACTGATAGAGTAAATTAACAACAAAATTTAATATAAAATCAATCACATCGGTAAATATTGTTACCACAAAACTTTCAGTACTTCAACAATCAACTTGAAACAATCAACAAATCAAACAAAATCAACAACAAAATGGTTTCATTCAAATTGGTAAGGAAATTTTCTTATGTAACAATCAATAGTTTGTGTATGTGTATGTGAACAATTAGCAAATTGTATTGGATTAAATCAAAGAAATTACAATTGTGTTCGTCACTTCAATTGATTATGTTAACGAAAGTGTCTTGATTGATCACAATCGATTGTGGGGAATTTACAAATCAAATGGAAAGTTAATTGTGTAACTAATTGTGTTTTCTTTTATTTTTTTTTTCTCTCTTGATTGCAATTTAATTAGATCCTCTGTGTTACCTTAATTGCTACAATTGTCTCAGCTCAAGATTATGATTCTGGTGATTTCGATGGTGATGTTGGCGGAGGTCCAGACATGGGAGGTTTCGGTGACTCGGAAGCGGGATTTTCGGGCGGTATGAGTGGGTCATTCGATGGTGCCGAAGGTGGTGAGGCCGGTGCTTCATTCGAGGGTGGTGCTGGTGAAGGTCTCGGCGGTGGGGATGATTCCCGACGCGCTGCCGCTGCTTCAAACAAAGTACCTTTAGTTTATAAGATCATCTCAGCTTCTAAGAACTAAATTAATCTCAATCAATGATTAAAACTTTTATATATACAAAACAATTAACTTATAAATCTCATACATATCATATTCCTAAACAATTAGAAAGCTCAATGTTTACAAAATTAATCAACAAATTAACTAAAATTAAATGTTAAACTTTTATATTGAATAAAATTTGTCTTTTCGTCTTGAAAAATTTTAATTGTTGACAAAATCAATTTGTTTCTCTTTGAGTTGACAACAATTAGTTGATTGCACTGAATCTGCTCTAATTGTGTTGAATTAAATTATTTGCTTTTCACTTGTCATTTGAAACAGGATTAATAATTGTGATTAATTGAACCGACCATTTAATCATTGACTGTATCCAAATTTTAACCAAATCAAGTCGACAACAATTAACATTTGGTTAGTTGATAAAATTTCTTGGTCTTAATCAAGTTGTCCAATGATCACTTAATTGTTAATCTTTAGTTAATTTATATGATTTAAGAGATTATCTAATCATCTTTACCTTAATTACCAAATTGAATCTTCAATACAATTAATCTTTGGTTTAATTATTATGATGAATTTTAAATTGAAGGTGAAATTTATCCAGCAATTAACTAGATTATCATCAACAATTTCAATTAACTCAGCTAATAATGTATTAACAACATCAATCCCAAGTTTGTCATCTTTTAATTGTAATTGGGATAAAGTGATTAGTGAAAGTAAACAATTAATTAATTACTCGTCAACAAATTTCAACTCAAAGTGTTTATCAAATCAAGAAATTTTCAAAATCGTTCAACAATTAAATCAATTAGCTGATTTTAATCATCCAATTCAAGAGGATGCAAAGTAAGTATAAAATAATTTGATTGATTCAATTGTCTTCATGATAATTTACAATTTACCTAACAACAATTTAGGAGATTAGTATTGAATGGAAACAATTCAATTGGGATTCGAGGATTAATTGTCTTGTTAATTGCTAAAGCGATTGGAATCAAATGTTATAACAATTTAACAGAATCCAAATTAGTCCAAAGACAATATTCATTGGCGGAAATGACTGAAATGATTTACTCAGCTCACCAAATTCACAAAGGAGTAATTAACCTTAATTCAAAGGTTAATTGTGATCAACTGATCAACAATCAATCAATTGGTAATTCAGTTTCAATCTTATCTGGTGATTACTTATTAGCCAATGTATGGAAAGGACTTGGTGAATTAAGAGACACCAAAGTTGTTGAACTTATGGCAAAAAGTTTATCTGATTTAGTGGAAGGACAATTTATCGTTACAACTGAATCAATAAATTGTTTGAAAGATGTTCATTCATTGATTGATTATTGGACATCAATTAATTTCCGTTTGAATGGTTCATTATTAGCTAATGCTTGTCAATCAGTTGCTGTTCTTGGTAATCATAATTTGATAATTCAACGTAAAGTTTATCAATTTGGTTTAAATTTTGCATTAGCTTTACAATCAGCTGATGAGATGAAACTTTTTCTCACTAATCAATTTAATCACAATCAATTTTATCCAATTCATTCAGCTCCAGTTTTAATGTATTTCTCATCAACACAAGATGATTATGAAAACTTTAAAACAATTGGAGGAACAATTAACCAAAGAAAACTTTACGAAGCAATTAGATCAAGTTCAGCGATTGATTTAACTCGGGACATGAAAAATTCTCACACAATTAAAGCTCTACAATTACTTGAAAGTTTACCAATTAACGAAACAATTAAAAGTTTAGAAAACATTTTATCTACATTGGTGATTTTATAAATTCTAATCAAATTAAACAGTCGATTTACTCAAAATACCTCAGAAAATTTTCTCAATCAATTTATAAAAAACAACAACAAAGAATAAATTCTCTAAAAAAATTGATTTAATTGTTACAATTCAAAGTAAATTGTTAACACAATTAAAAAAAAAAAAAGCTTCTATTCTTCGATAAATTGATGTGAGAATAGCTTATTTGGCTATTTTTCGATTGGAAATGTTTACCTTTATTTAGAAATGTGATTTTGTTTTTCTTTCTGTTTAATTGTTGTTAATTTTTACTACTGTTTTTCGCAATTTTGTGAGTTAATTGTTGAAATGTTTCCACGATTGGGTTCATGTGGATCGTATTCTGTTAAACAATTGACCTCTTGTAAAGATGTCGTCTTTTTTACTCACCCGATCAGAGGATTACGTTATTGGTATAAGAATCCGGGTTTACCTTTTCCACCAAATTATTTTAAATCTCATCAAATTTTTTATCCTTCATTGGAGGTAATTCTTAAACAGAAGGAGCTTAATGAGAAGGGAATTTATTTGGTTAAATTAGGCTATGATTTACCTACAATTGAAGGTCCATCTCGACGTGAAAGGAGACAAGCCACCGCTAAGGTCAATTCAACGATACCTCTTGATAAATTGAATGAAGATGAACTGTTGGAAATTTTGGAAACTCAAAAAATTGGTCTACCCTTTTCTCATGATACATTAAATTATCATTACTCTCGAAGTGCTCAAGGTATTAATTCAACTGTTGACTTGGCTCATCATTATGCTATTTATGAACATCTATTTAGGTTTGTTTCTCATTTTTCTGTTTTATTTTGAGAATTTGAAATTTTACTTTACTCAATTTTTTTCTATTCCCTTTACAATATTTTCTAGTAATCATTTGGAACGAAAACCTGATAAAACTGTCCCTCATAAGAAAACTGACCACTGGCCACAAATGGAGCGAGAATGGACTGAAGAAGAACTAGTCAAACACAGTCCTGGTTCTAGGAAAATCGACCCACCAGCTTTATTAGAGCAGAAATATTTTCTACCTATTGTACCAATGAACATTGAATTTACGGTGGATGCTGATGCTAAATCGGACGAATTGACAGTCTCACCAGTTTACAAAGGAAATCATATTAAACCTTTTTTCACCAAAGAAAAGCCAGACATAATAATCGATGCCAGTCTTTTAAGTGGTAAAGTTAAACCATTTGAAGAGTATCAAAAGATCACACCAAATGGAATTAAATTGATTGGTGATGAGAAAAATTTCTACACATTAGCACTTCTCAATTTGGATTCACAATTTGGTAAATCTGATCCTGTTTGTCATTGGTTAGTCTCTAATATTAAAGGTAAACCCGATGGGACAACCTCACATAAAGAAATCATCTCGTTTATCCCTCCCTATGCATTCAAAGGATTTGGTTATCATCGTTACGTTTTCCTTTTACTACAATCAAAGGAGGAAATAAGTTTACCTGAAATTACCGATGTCAATCTAAGTAAACGTATTCTAAGTATCAATGGGCTGGTTGATAAAGGTTTTATTCCCGTTGGTTTGTCTTGGTTTCAATCGTCCTGGGATGAATCATGTCGAGATATTTTCTATAACATTTTAAACATGAGAGAACCAACTTTTGAATATATTCAACCTAAGGAACAATTAGCTAAACAATCTTATTTCCCGGTTTCGTCTGCTTTCAATATTTACCTTGACGCTTATCGTGACCCCAAAGAGATGGCTCAAGAAGCGCTTCTGGAAAGATTAAAAGAAATTGACCCATTTGATTATAAGAATATTATTCAACCTTCTAAATTACCACCTAATATTCAAGAAAGAGTTCCAGGTAATTCAGATAGATTTGCTATTCCATCTTGGATGTGGACCACAGTTTGGAAGAAGAGAAATAAACTTGGACGTTGGCGGCATCTTCGTAATGTTTCAGCCATCAAACCGCTCAACAATAACGAAGATCTCGATTATCCTATTTGGCCTTTTGCGACAGCTCTCCGTTACCCAAGTCGATACCCTTGGATGAAAGGACCCAAAACACCCCATAGAGACAGTAAATGGGCTCTACCGATAACTGAACATTCAAGTTTACGCATACAAGATGAGGACATTAAAGGTTTACGTCGACAGGAAATTGCGGAAGATTTGCAAAATTTAAAGGACATTGAAAATAAGAATTAACTGATTCGAAAGGTTGTAAATTAATTAATCATTTCTACTCGAAAGTTACTAATCTGAGACATTTAATGTAATATAGATTTAGACAAATTTGTTTACCCACAATTATAAAATTGTCACCAAACAAATTGTTTCAACACTAAACATTTTAATTTGTGTGTTCATCTGTTGATCACATTACAATGATTTAGGTAATTAACCCGATGATTTAAATTGGTGTTTCACTCGAAGGCATATTGATGATCGCAGTGATGATTGGGATACACTCTCCATCTCTAACCACATGAATCTAAAAAATAACAATAACAATTAATAGAAAGTTTTATCAAATGATGATTAACTTTTTCTCTGTTTACCTTAATGAAATCAGATAAATTTAGTTCGTTAATTGATTCAACCTTAGTGGCAAAGGTATAAAGGTAACCAGGTTTTAAATAAGGAATCGGGATGACGTTACGATTGATTCGGTAAATTTTAACATCGCAATAGAAAAATAGATTTAAATTGTTGGAAGGTTGATCAAGTGAAGTGTTTTGAATTTCCAAAATTAACTTGAATATCGGTCCAAGTCCATGAACCTATTTGAATAAATGGTAATCAACAATTGTAATTGTAAACATTATTAGTAATTAACTCACTTGGGCCGATAATTTTAACGGATCAATTGTATTGGTTGACATTGGATTTAAAGACGAAGCGATCGCTTTAACATAAGCTCGAGCGACAGTTAATCGTAATCGATACAAATCTTGTTGAAAGATCCGATGAATCGCTAAGCAATTAAGAAGAGAAAAAAAAATTCAATAAAATTAGTTAATTGTTTGGGTTTTGTTTCTTCTTATTGTTTTTACCAATCGCTTCTTCGCGTTCTCGAACTGATTGTTCAACAAATAGCTTCGTCTTTTTGGGAATGTTCATTTTAATTGTTGACCTCGAGTTGGTTGAATTGTAATCATTGTCAATTAAAGTAAATTTTGCCGTTCGTTTGAGTATACGAATTGACAATGACCCTGATCGTGAGACCATAACCAAAGTATTATCCTCACGACCGTAACGACCAAATTTCATTGAAGTTATCACATTGTCCGTCTCGATTAGGTCCACTTTTGATTTCCCATTGTAAAAAACGATAACCCGTGATTCCAATGCCACAGCAATTAAGGTTAAACCAAGTATTTCAATCTCAATTGCTGCTAAACAAGTAATTCCAGCGGATTGATTAATCTTCCAGACACAATTACCGTTAATCGTGTAACAGGCTAAACACTGATCCATCGTGCCCACAATTATGTTATTATTGTGACGGATCAAGCCAACGGGTTGAGAATTAAGTTGAACACAAAGTCGACCTGTTTTAAATCCTCTCTTAATTGTATAAATACAAGCATCTCGACATGAGACAATTACCCGATATTCAACGTTGAAAAGTCCACTGATTTCAAGAAAAACTGGAATCGAGGGAAGTTGAACCTTCGGCGAGAAAAAGTAATAAAAAGATCGAAAAAATTAGTAAATTGCTAAAAATGAATTCGAAATCTAATTTACCGATGTTAGAATCGTAAATGCATCAGGTTCGATTATGAGAATATCTTTATTCTCTGTGCCGATGATTAGACAATTAAGATTATTATCTTCATCAACTGTCTTCTTAATTGTCGCAATACAAGTGATAACTGTTGACCTTTTTAACGGTTGATCTTTATATCGGCCGATAAAATCCTCAATTGAACTGGAATCGTTGAGATCAAGTAAACACTGAGATCGAGCGGTAAGACCCGATTCACCAATTTCGACCTTTAAATTTTCAAGTAAAACCTTTAATTGTGTTCCATCAATTTTATCATCAGTTAATTGTTTCCAGGCTTCTTGTTCCGTTGAATTAATCTCGAGGCTTGGAAGGCCAAACTTATAGAACGGCTTTAGATTCTTGTAAATGTACAAATAAGAACCCGAAGCGACCCCGATCGCCGGGATTCGAGGTGAACTTGAGTCCATATAGAAACTGACCACACCCGATGGACAATCGATTAGCGTTAATTGGGACAAAATGAATGTTCCCTTGTAGACATTTAACTTCATTCCTTGAATCCCGTTTCCAAGGTCAGCGATCACTAATTTCTGATCTCCGTCACCATTTAAATCAACGAAACAAATACAAGAGGTCAAAGTGTACAACGAACATAAATTGTCGTTATAAGCGATCAACCATTTCGACTTAATTTCTGGTTTAATTGTTGACTTATCACCGCCATTGTTTGATTGACTATCATCAAGGGTTAATTGATCGTCTAACAATCCACTGATTGTTTGATCATCTGAATCCATCTTAGTTAAACAATTTAAAGAGTAAATTTGTTTTTTTCCAATCTTCGAGTTGATTTGTTATCGGTAATGTTTATTTTCATCGTAACCATGGAGATGAAAATCTAATTACGATCACAATTAGCTAATCAACACTTGATCAATATCTTTAATTATCTTATGTACACTTTTCTCATATCCAAATCTTAATCAATAAGATTTAGAATTTAATTAGTGGTCGAAATCGTAATTTCGTTAAATATAAATTATCGATTGGACTCAAGTTTCTCTTTGATTGTCATAATTGTTTCGCGATTTGTAAACATTGAAATTAGATTTAATTCTCATCGAATTGTTAATTTTCTTAAATTGTTCAGTCGATTTTCGGAAAATTTTCGCGTTTTTTGTCATTTGATGTCGAGAATATGATCCATAGGTTTTCACCAATTCGACAGAATTGTGACTATTTTCCTTCTTCTCTTTCTCTCTGTCAGAGTTTCCTCTTTTTCCAAGTACAGTCTCTAGTAAATTACTTCTTCGGTGAACACGCATTCGCAAATAATCAGAGAGAAAGAAATGATTTGCTTTTTTCTCCCAAAAACTGTAGATGGAAAAGGAGAACAGATAGAAAAGAGAAGAGAAAACAAGTTCATTGATCTTTTTCTGTTCTTCTCTATTTATCCTCATCACTTTTCTTATTCTTCTCACTTCTCACTTTTAACTTCTTCTTTTCTATTGGAAATTAATTTCTTATGTTATATTCTTTCCACTATTAACTTGATTTCCATGTGAATTTTGTTGATTGTTTGGTTACAAATTCCAATCGATTGTGTTTTCTATCGGTAAGTTGATTTCCTTTTCTAATTTTATTTTCATTCTCGTTCCTTTCTCCAAGTAACTCACGCAGGCTTCATGACCTTAATTTCTGCTTTAATTCTAATTGTCTGGTGAATTTGATAGATGACAATTATCTCTCATATCAGGTACATTTAATTAATTCCATGGAAACATTTCCATACCAGTTTACTTGATCTCTGTCTCTCTCTCCATCTCTAGAAAAGTGTACCTTCAGTTTTGTTGACAATTTGTTGACTTTTGTGTTGTTATGATTTTAAGAATCATTTTGATTAATCTAAACATGAATTTCTAATTGTTTTGTTCTTTTATTTTTCCAGAATTGGGTGAAACTTTCCAAAATAATATAATCTGCATGATAATCTTTTCTTCAAACATTCAGTGGAACCGATTACGAGAAAGGAAAAGGAATAGAAAAAGAAAAATTTTTTTTTCTCTTTTCTATTTTCGTATATAGAGTAACCGCTTTTTTGAAGGTTCATCTTGATCTCTCTATTCAACACCCGCCATTCACCCGAAAACCTCGTTCTAATTACCATGGATAAAAGTGAAAGAACCTCAACTCGTACCAAAAAGTTAACTGGAAAATCACCAATCAAAAAGAGTCACAATACCAATGGGAAAACCAATGGTAACAATAACATTACGACTGTTGGTACTTCCAATAACAATGGTAACAGTGGGGATGTTGGCGGTGGTGGTGATGATGGTGATTTAGTAATTGAAGATGAAAATACATGGGAATGTTCAGTGTGTACTTATCGTAATTCACAAGAGACTTTTAAGTGTTTAATGTGCGATGTTTGTAAAGGAACCAGCACCAGAAAACCAAGATACAATCACGATTTGGTTGCACAGAAAGTGAAGAAACAACAGATTCAAATTCATCAGAAACTTCTTAAATCATCTAAACACCAACAATTTGCCACCAGTGATACAAGAGATTCGAGTGATTTCAACTCAAGAGATAGTTCTGATAAAGTAAATTCTATTTGTAGTTTGATTTGGAAAGTAATCAACTAATATGTGATAATTTATATTTTCTTCTTATATTTTTCTTAATCTATGTTTAGGTTGCCGAAACAAAGGAATCAAAGTCCAAAGACCATAAAGAAGGTAAAACCTCATGTAAGGAAAGTTTAGATGATCAGTTGATTGAGAGGAAAGGTCAACACCATGGGAAAGAATCAAAGGTCCGTGAGTCCAAAGATGAGGTGAAAGAAGGAAAAGAGACTCGGGTCAAAGGTGGTAAAGGCTCTGGCATAAAGAATTCTGGTAAACAATCTAGTGATAATTTAGAAGAACCTGGTCCAAGTGTAAATTCTAACCAACATTCTCAAAATGAATCAACCATTAAGTCCAATAATCACAATTCCTCATCATCATCTCCCAATGGCTCATCATCATCTCTTTCAACTGCCAATAACCATTCGTCCAAATTAACTAAATCTCGGGAAAATTTGGTTAAATTAAATAATAAATCATCTTTAATGAGAATGAAAAATATTGATAGAACCAATTTCTTGGCTCAAGCAGTAACTGTTAACAATGTAACTGTTATAATTACTGAATTTCAACCCAAAAAGAAGCTGAAAACAACAACATCAACCAAGAAACCAAATCAGCGTCAATCAACTGGTACAAAGGAAAAAGATTAAACAAAAAATCCTAAACAATTAAAACACTTGTAACAATTAAAGCTTTCAAAAGCAGAATGGACTACAACAAATCACTTAATCACTGCCAAAGTATTTAATCAAAAACAAAATGGAAGCGTAAATTTCTCGTGCAATGATAATCTTCAAAAGGAAACACGGATAACCCAAAAAAGGACAATTACAATTACAATTATCCAATTTCCTTTCTCTCTGTGCTTTAAATTTCATCTTCTCGCTCTACAATTTATTAATCGCTCTCTCATTTCCAATGATTAAGAGGAAATCCAAGTGAAGTTTCAGTTTTCATCTAAATTAACTTGTTAAATTAACTTGATTTGTTTCAACCCAAACCCGAGAATCATTTTAATTACACCTCAGTACAAATGAATTTTTTTTGTATCATCGTGATCGAAACTAATACTTAAATTAATTTGATTGTATCTCATTTTATGTTCATTTTTATATGTATATATATATTAATATGTTTCTTTTTGTATTATTATTGATAAAAAGTGTAACAATCTCATCATCATAAAATAAAAACTCATTAATACACAAAATTGAGAGAAAAAGATTGACAATTAAGATGAGATGAGGAAGAAAAGTAAATTACAAGAAACGAATCGAAAAAAAAAGTTGAGTTATTTTCTTTTGCTCGAATTTGTTTTGTTCTCTTTCAATTCGTATTTATATTAATTCTCTCAATATGAGAGTTCTAATTCGAATGGCTTTGATTTTGGAGTGTGAAAAATAACTGGATTAGTGAGATCATTAGTCGAGCAAAATGGATAAAGTATAGAGAGAGAGAGAATTTTGTCAAAAAGAAAATCGAAATTAAGATGTGTGAGTAGAGAAAGGAAAGAGAGGAGAAAAAAAATGGCACCGAACAGAAATACGGAAACACTTAGTTAGTTAATCTAAATTAACTTGATGGTGATGAAGATTTTGATGTTGATTTTACACAAAGATGAAGAAAATTATCAGGATAACTAAGATGTTCTGACATCCATTGGATGGGAGTTTCAAATGGAGGTTCAATTCCGTGGGTCATCACTTTCAATTTTAAATCGTCACAATTTTCTGAATCATTTGATTCGGTGAAAATGTGCTTAACTAAATCGCCCAAAGTGTTTGGTTTACTGTCTTCATTGAATGGTTTAAATAACCTTTGGATATACGGTTGATCGAGCTGATAAAAACGAAATGGAATACACCTAAATAGCTCATTATTTGTGTGTTCCATTAATTTAACATTAACAGACCAAAAATCTTCAAATTTATCCTCCTGAATTCCATGCCATAGTTGATTGTGTTCCTTTTTCTGCATTGCACTGATTATTTGACTTCGATGTTTTAACGCATCCGCTTCTTTGATTGTCGACATGAACGTTGATTGTACCAACGCTCGACTATTACATCTCACTAATTTGTCCTCGGGAAAATTCTAGAAACGAAAAGAAGAGACAAAAGCGCCAAAGAGAAAATAATTAAAATTTGATAACAATAAATGATAATATGAAAAGAATAGACTTACATCAAAATGGAGAATCAAATTCCATGGTAGACTAGCCTCTTCAGAAATTAGATCCCATGATAGTCCAATTGGAAAGTGCCTGCGAAATCAAGGCAAAGAATCAAGGAAAAAAAATAGTGAAAACAATTAATCAAAATGGAAAAAATTATTTTTTCGTCCAACCTTAACAAACGAAAAATATTAAAAGCAACAGGCCTTTACTTCATAAGACATTGACATGTATCGATCTATTCAAATGCATTGTAGACTTGATTGAAGAAGGGCAATTGAAAGTAGACAATTAAATTTACCATTTAATTGGAGTTCCTTCATATTCAATCCAAATGTCTGTTCCTGATTGTTTACTAGAGTCAACAAATGAAGAGAAATATTTAACCACCTTATCCATAACCAGAGAGAAATAAGTGATCCTTGAGCACATTAACTATATAGAGAAAATGGAATAACAAAAAGATTAGATTAGAAGTATTTTCAACAAGGTAAATAGTCAACATGACAATAGTTAAAAAAAAGGAAAATTTCTTAAATTTAAAAGATAAACAATTAGTAATTAGAAAATTAGAAAATACAAAAAATACTAACATAATATGGATCAGGTTTTTGAAAGTTAACTATTTCCTCGGAAGCGAGATGAAAGCAAACTGGAATCTTTGCTGTCCAAATCTGACGAAGAACCTCTTTATCTTCAGCCATGATATGTTAATTTAATAGAATAGAATAGAAATAGAATAATTAATTTACTATTAACAATTAAAGAAAATTGGAGAAAAAAAAATTGGATCAAAATAATTTTAGAAAAAAAGAAAAATTTTTGTTTACACTTGTAGTGAATTCTAATGACAACAGATGGCGCTCAGTTCGAGAGACGAAAATTAACAAAATTAATTAGTTAATTTAATCAATTTAGAAAATAAAATCAAGTTGGAAACTTTCATCACACACAACAATCAGATTGAAGGTCATCATTTAATTGATTGTGAGGGTGAAGAAAAAAAAAAGTTAAAATGATCATTCTAATTGTCACTAATTAAATTCATTTCAATGTAATCATTTTAATTGTTGATCTTTAACACAATTAAAGTTTTACCTAAAAGTTAATCACTTTATCAATCGTCATCAATTAACTGACATATATATCAAGGTATCTATTTATTGTTTTAATCACGTAAACATGTTAATCAATCCTCTTAATTGACCTTTAATTAACTCTCTAACAATCGGTTAACAATCAATTAAACTACAATTAGAGGTCAATTAATTTGAACTTAATCAATTTTGTGTCTGTGTAAGAGTAAAAATTAACAGTTAATTGTTTCAGTTTTTTAAACTCAATAATACCAATTGATTTAGTTAATTTTCCTAAATAAATTGTTAAATTTTCATCATGTTAACCAAAAAAAAATCATATAACTGAATTAACAATTTAACCAATAACATAGTTTTTTTTTCATGATTTAACAACTATTTAAGTTGATTGTTGATTACCTCCTGTAACAATTAACTCGGTTCAATGATTACCTGTTAATTTCACTTTCTAAATTGTCTGTAACAATTTTTACCTTCATTTCCTTTCAATTTAATCAACAACAATTTAAACCGAAAAAAAAATTCAAACCAACAAAAATCAAGGATTAAATTTTTTCTTAAACTAATTTAGTTAATCTAAATATCAATTGTTGTTCAATCTGAATACAATTAAATTGAATTGTGATGATTAAAATGATCGCAGGGAAAGATGAAGGAGAAAAAATGAAAACCGATTGTAACTGTTGATACAAACAAGTAAGTTGATTATCATTAATTTTAATCATCATTATTATTAAATTGGTGGTTGACAATTAAATTTGTTAACATTATTATGATTGCGAGAAGAGGTGACAAGCAAAAAAAAAGGAGAGAGAGAGATGGACATTAAAATTAATTGTTATCGTAATCAAAAATAACCAAATTTGATTTCTTCACGTTTTTCTAATTGTCAAGGAGAAAAGAAAATCAATCAATTATTGTAAATTATCAATTAATTATCATCACTGTACATGAAAAATGAATTAATCATTTGTTTTAAAATGTTATATTCCAATCATGTTTAAAATTATGATTCTCATTAAAAGTATTGATGGTTATTCATGTTAAAATTGAAATGTTGTATTTAAAGATGTAATTAGTTGTGTATATGATGGCGATGATGATATTGATGATGATGATGAAATTAGAAATACAATTAAGAAATTAGAGTAGAGCCTCCTTTTTAAATTGTTCATGTTAATTATCAAGATTATTTTGGATACTTAAAGTATCATAATTGATTGATCAACATACACTTGAAATGTTATCATTTCAAGTTTTGTCTCTGTCTTTTTTTTGTTTTGTTTTGTTTTTGGTTGATTAGGTTAATTGTTATTGGAAATTGTTACTGTTTAGATTGTAGACAATTTAATCAACATGATCTTGGAAAATTAATCGCACGAATCCCATTTTCCCGGAAACTGGAGTACCACAGAAAGGACACATTGCGTGGAAACCATTGGTTCCATGAGGTATTGCAATCGAAGACCAAAATCTAAACAAATTGTAAACAATTAATTGTTAGTTAAAGTTATATTGTTGAGAGAATGATAATAATAATCATAATTAGAACATTTAATTTGTAATTCCATTAACAACCTTTCCAAATGAATACATCTAAATATAAGATTCTAATTGTTGTATTGTCATTTTAGGAAAGTTGAGCAATTCAATTTGATTGGAAGAAAGAAAATTAAGTTAATTGTTGATTAGTAAAGTCTATGATTGTTATTTTGATTGATTTAAAGTCTTTTGTTCAACATGGAAACATTTACATTAAGAAAGTTAACTTTGTATTCATGATTCGGTTTCCGGAAGTTGGTGAAGTAAAAACTGAATGAAATCAAAGTTTTCTAAGTGATTCAGCAATTAGTTGAAATAATAATAGATAATTTGTATTATTATTATCGAATCGAGCTGAAGGTTAGACATTAATTGTTGTTAATGAAGATCAATCAAGATTTTTTTTCTTCATCTTCTCATTTTTTTCTGTGTCTCTATCTCTCCATCTTTGTGATGTTAATTCAAGAGTAGTTGCAAGATAAAATGAATGCAAAAAAAAAATGAATCAAGGACAAGATTGGGAGATGATCAAGTTGATTATTTTAGTTGAGAACCAAGGAAAAATTAATCATTGAAAAAGTGATCGAGAAAAGTTAATCTGATTACCTGACTGTCCGTTCAGATGCCATATGACCGCAGGGATTAAATGCAAATGTTGGAGATGAACAGTCAACATAAAATGATGATTCAATTCCCATGGTCAGTTTTACCACTGGACCGACACTTAGACACATTGGGCAAGTTCGTGCGTTAGAGTTTTTACTTTGGCCCCAATCGTGAAGCCCTTGGACATGGCCACAGTTTAGATAAACATAAGGCTGTTTCTCCTTTTCACAAAGAGTTGAGCTTTTCCTTGGTATTACAAGGGTATTAAGACCCACTGGACACTGGGGACGAGCGGCATTCAGATCATCAATCATATCCTCTAAACTTTTCTTGGTCGGTGATCGTAATAATCCTTCAGCTGATCGCCAAATTAAGGTGGCACCACAGAGATCAATTAGTGTACCATCTTTAAGGATGTTGGTCTCACTCTCAATTTTGTCACCTTTTTCGGAAGCTGATCGAGTCTCCCGAATGGCATAAATACCACCACAAACAGAAACCTCTCTCCAAAGGCAATATTTTTGATTATTGTTTGACGGATCGCGATCAATAACTGTCCCATTAGGACAGAAAGTTGTCTTCGGGTGCATTATAAGGATTCCATTGGTAGTTAAACCGTCCATCTCTCCATCGTGTTGCCATTTGGTTGCTTTTTCACCAAGGAAAATATTCCTCGAAGAATCAAATCCCGCTGCATAAATACGAGCCGTGTAGGGAGGTTTACGTTCAATTAGGATTCGACAGGCAAATCTTGATATCGTACTTTGTTGGACCAATGTATCTCCCACAGGTTTATCGGGTGAAACAGTATCAATGACAACGAAATCAATTGGACTTTCGGATGACCGACCAATCTAAAAATAGTTCAATAGAAACAGAAACAGAACAAGAGGAAGAAATCAAATTAAGAACAGGATTAAAAGAAATAATCAAATAATTAAGGGCGATAAAACCAGGTAAGGAAAGAAATACGTGTATATTTAAAAGTAGCTGATATTTTTTTTTCCTGATCTAAGACCAGCATCTTGTCAGAATCAAGTGTATACACTGAACGGAGATCAAGAAGGAGATCAACAACAACAAGAAGGAGAGGGTAAACAAGGAAATATGAAGATCAGGAAGCGGAGAATGAGAATGGAAGAGAAAAAGAAATGAAATCGCTTTTGAGTAGAGATTTTAGTTGATTGGGCAAGTTTGGAAAAAGGAATAAATCAATTTAGATGAATCGCCATTCTAACCTGGAACATGTCAGTCTCATTGTCAGGAGTGTATTCGACTATCACAGCTTGGGTGCGAGATAATGTATAAGAAATTGAATGTTTTCCTTTATCCTGAATAGCCTGTGGTCAAGTGAAGAGAGAGAGAGAGAAAAGAGTAAACAATGTAAACAATTGGTTAGTAACATGATCAATACATTTGTATGTTTATTTACCTTTGTTTGTTGAGGCTGTTTGACCACATAATGTTTTGACTTTTTAACACCATTGGGAATATTTCGTTGGGTTAAAATGTATTTACTACGACGACGACCTTTCTCTCCATGATGAAGATTACCGTTATATCTGTGATGATGAGAGAGAAAGACAAGATAAGTGATCAAGTTGAAGTTGATGATTGGTTGGAAACACTGACCCTAAGATAACCAATTCACCATAAATTATTGGACAATTGGAATCAATTAAAGGTGAATGATGTGAATGGTGAACTTGTTGATGGTGGACTGAGGCATTGTTGCTGTGGTTTTCATAGAGACTCATATCCAATCAATTGAGATGAACATTGCCACAGGTAGCAGGTAGAGAGAGAGAGAAAGAGACCACACTTATTAGATCACTTGGTAGTAAGAGAAACTACTATAGTGAAAATTTAGAAGAATGGAGAGAAAAAGAGATGAAGATGATAAGATGAGAAGATGAAAACTACAGAAATATGGAATCAGTATTCATGGAGTAGTAAAGGAAAGATTATGATTTGGTTACAATGATCGTAGTAAAAATTATGCTAGAGGAAGATGCGAGAGACAATTTATGATGATAACTGTTTGAAATTGATTAGAAAATGAAAGAAAACTGAAAGTGGGAGAGAGGAAGAGAGGGAGAAAGGGAGAGAGAGAGAGAGAGATGAAGGAAAAAGGAGAAAAAAAAATCAAAACAAAAGAGAATGGATTAGCTTAGTGAATGGAACTAATCGAATAATCAATTTACCTGAAATCTCAATAGAATATGAAAAATTCTGGTAATCGAATTGTTGTTTGGTGTGATGAGAAATCAAATGTATACCAAATGAGAAAAGATGATGATGATGATGATGAGAGAGAGAAAATTGAAGATGGAGAGAAAGAGAAAGAAAATAAAAGATGAAGTGAAAAATGAAGAAAGAGAAAAAAGTAAAAAATATTGAGCGTGATTGGGATTAAGATGATAAGAATCGAGTGTTCATTGAAAGATCATCATCATGATTAACCGATGAAAATAAAAGATTGATGATAATTGACACAAGTTAATTGTTAGAAATGAATTTACAATTGGAAAGATTTAATTTTTTAAAGGTAAACATAAACACTTCATGTACAGTTACTGACCTCTGATGACAATCATCATCAACAGAACAAGTGAACAATTAATTGTGGATTTTTTTGCGAAATTTTAATCAATGATTAAGATAATTGTGATGATCACTCTCCTTTATAAGTTGGTGATCGTTTCTCAATGAAAGATTTCATTCCTTCAACACGATCTTTTGTCGGTGTAACTTGAGCGTAAGCTAATTTCTCAAAGGCCATTCCAGCGTTTAGATCGACCTCAATTCCTTTGGTGATTGCAAATTTTGCCCAACGAACACCTAATGGTCCAGAATTGCAAATTTCTTGAGCCAATTTAATTGATTGTTTAAAAGCAGCTTCGTCATCATCTTCCTCTGCCAGGTAATCAATTAGACCTAAAGAAATTGCTTCCTTTCCGTTAACCTTACGTCCGGTGAAAATTAAATCTTTTGCTTTGGATAAACCAATTAATCGGGGTAATCGTTGGGTTCCACCAGCCCCTGGAATTATGGCTAATTTGGCTTCCACAAGGCCTAATTTAGCTCGTGGTGAGGCCACTCTTAGGTCACAAGCTAAAGCCATTTCCAGTCCACCTCCGAAAGCTGCACCTTCGATGGCGGCGATTGTTGGATAAGGTAAATTGGCAAGAGAATTGGTCAAGTTTCTTAATCGTTCTACAAAAGGTCCAACCTCGTTAATCTCCATTTTAAATCTTTCTTTAAGATCAGCACCGGCACAGAAAACATTTTTCACCAAACTACGAACAATTAAACATCTAATTGTCCGATCATTGTGTAGATTGGCTAAATTGTCTTCCAATAGAGAAACCAAATTACCACTCAGAGCATTTCTTTTCTTTTCATCATTTAATGAAAGTATACACAATCCTTTGGGTTCTTCTAGTCTGTCAACTTTTAATTGTTGTTGTTGTTGTTTATCAGCTGATTCGATGAATTCATCTCGACGATTTGATGATGAACACAAACGAACACAATTTAAATTATTCCATCTCAGAGAAGAAGAGAAAATTATTCTTGGTAAATTGTTTCTAATCAACATGGTGATCGTAAATTCAATGGAGGAGAAAACTACTTGGGATAATTTCAGATCAATTATCTAGTTGTTTGTTGTTAAGTTGATGAGGGAAATAGTTAATTGTTAGCTAATTGTAATTGTAATTGAACTTTAATCGAGAAACTCTGCCATCTGTTGTCATAAGAACAAACTATTTCCTTTTAAATTTTTTTTTCGCAATTTGGTCACGTGATCATCGCTTGAGATTTTAATATTAATTGTTTTTGTTTTTGTTTTCGTTTTTTAAATTTTTATGAAAGTTTATCTGTTTAGAATTTGATTGATTTTGATTTTTCGTTTATCAATTGTTTAGCTGTTAATTTGTGATCATGGCTCAAGGTAAAATGAAGGTTAAAACTGTTATTCCAAAAGGAGTTAAAGTAAAAAAGGTTGTTAGTAAAAGTGAAAAGAAAATGCATACAACAAGAAAAGGTAAGTTAATTTTTCATCTTCTTTTGTCAATGTTACCTTTAAACGATTGAATTAACGAAATGGTTATCATCCTTTCACCAATGTTTAGGTGCTCCAGTTAAACCGAAACTTAACTCACATGGTAAAAAGCTTTACAATCAAGTGGAAAAAGCAATTAGGAAAAATCTTGAAGATGAAATGAGATCCAAAGCTGGAGATAAAGTTACTGATGATAAATAGGTTACAATCTAATCTTCTAATTAACTTAACTGACCAAAGTTATTGACTGAATTTCATTCGGAAAATTAAACTAAATCAATTAATTTAAATTAAAACAAAAAAGACTCAAAATTTAAACGGTTGTGGTAAATTCAAAAGCGGTTGTCATGGTAACCATAACATTTTCCCAACAAACGGTTGAACCATTTTGAATGTTCACTTGAAGGTGTTTGGTTCATTTTTAATTCTATTTTTACTAATTAGTATTTTTTCTAATCCAATTTACATTATGTTATTCTCTATGTTCAATCAACTATTTTGTTGATCATCTTTATTCCACCGGAAGATCTGTAATATTCAAATGTTTGTGACTCAGTTAACTGATACATATTGTTAATTGATCATTTCGATTCTCCTATTTTGATCATTCATCTTGAGTGTTTCTATTATTTAAATTTGGTTTATTTTTGTTTAATTTAAAAATAACATTATGGACGAGGAGAGTTATTATCGTTTTAGTATCCCTGCTATGGAGCTTGAAGGTAATAGTGAATATGTTGGTGTAGATGATGAGGAAGAATCTCTATCCCAATCAATATCTCTTCCCTCATTGACTGTATCCCTTCAAGAGCAATTGGTTAATCCTGAGATTGTTTCATCTTCAACAAAGAATCAAGTAATGTCCATGAAAGAGATTGACGAGAAATTAAATGCCCTAAGAAGGGAAAATTTTGACCTTAAATTGCGATTATATTGTTCAAGTCAGAATAAAGGTTTCCCTCGTTTCGGTGATAAATATTTCAACTCATGTTCAACTCAAGTGGATGGTGATTGTAAATCAATTAAATCACTAATCAGATTATCTCAAGGATCACAAACCATGGTTAAATTAACAGCTGATGTTGCAGTTCAAACAAATCCAATTGAAAGTGAAGACAAAATTATCTCAACCGATCCTTTAATTGTCTCATCAGTGTCAATGCAAACAGAATTACAATCATCATCAGATGCTAGTGTTTCCTGTACTGATTTAATGACCAATTCTAACTCTGATCATCTCAATCAGTTCAAAAGTATTCAATTAAGATTGAATGAGCAATTAAATCAAAAAACAAACCATTCCCCTCGACCACAACAACAACAACAATTACAACCCAAGCCAATTGTAACAACAACAACAACCTTATCAGAATCTCATTCCAGTCGTGATTTAATCAATGGACCTTCATCAATACCAAGAATCAAGAGTTCGGTTAATTTACCAATTGGTGGTAACTCAGATTGTGATTTTAGTTTAATCATAAACCAATCGCCATCAATACTCAAAGAGTTATCATTTAATTCTGATAAAACAATCACTCCAACCACCAAATCCAAACAATTAGTGAATGATTTTGGTATCTCCGAGTGTGAATATCTCGCTGGTGAGATTAACTCGAGAATCTCAATGTTATCTAATTTAGCGAGTTTAAGTAAATCAAAAAATCGTATTAGTATAATTCACTCACAACGGAATCGATTAACTAATTGTGATGAAAGTGATTCCATCTCAATTAATCATGACCCACTTGAAAAAAATCCCAAACAATTTGACAATCGATCGACTGGTAAAATCTATGATATTATTAACCGACAAATTAGTGGACCAATTAGTAGTGATAAGAAACGCGATCCAATGGTGAAACTTAATTGTCACGAGAACAATGTTGATATTAATCAGAATTTAATCACTTACAAGCCAACAAGTAAACGATTAACTCGAATGTTTGATGATTCGGAAAATCATCATTTCGCTAGTCCCGATTTAGGAATCGGTGATTCTGATCAAGATCTTAATAGTGATTTAAAAGCTTACATTCCTCTTGGATATTATCAATTACTCCGATGTAATTTACATCAATTATCATCTCATCTTAATTATCTTGACAATTTATATCGTGATTGTTTCCTCCTTCAATCAATCAGTTTATCTGAATACTCATCGGAAATGAAACCAAGTTTAACTCATTTAAATCAGACAATCAACTCATCCAGAAATATTTGTAAAAATTTTACAATTGAAGATGAAAACTCAATTGCACTTCGATTGGAAAAAATTAAAGCTAAAAAGGAATCAATGGAAAAAGCAATCACCCGACAATTAAGGAAAACGGATAAATTGTTACGAAAAGCGAAAGCCAATTTAAGACCAAATTAAGAGACAAAATGATCATCAATTAAACAATATATTCCAATCTGAGAACCAAAGAAACTCATCATCAATTCCAACACTCAACTACTATTCCGAATACCAAATGATGAAAAACTGAAATACTTAATTGTAATTATTAATAATCACCTAACAATTTAATTCTCAATCATTTTTTTTTCCAATACAATTAATACAAGACTACGATTTCCAATCATTTCCAAGCATATATATATCCGAATCTCGACTAATTTATTTTGTACTTCCAATTATTAATAAAATCGTTCTATTAATATTAATGTGTAAACATAAAAATCAGCTAATTGTTCACATTTAATTGAATTAAATCAAATTGTAAAAAATTCTCCCAAATTAAACTTGGCGCCTTTTCTTTTGTCCAATCACAAGTTTGGATTAGAAAGTAAACAAAAGTGACATTTATTAACATCATCAGTTTGAGTTAAATTGTTGTTAATTTAATCTGATTTTGTTTTCAACTAATTAAGTTTTTTTAATTATTTTTTCGTTTCAAACTAGTTTTTTGGTTAACTATGCCTCTAATTCCAGATGAATCTAAGTCAACTAACAAAGGAGACAAACAAATGTATCGTAATTTAAAAAGGAGACTCAAATTGTTGATCTGTGTAAGTGTCTTAATTTTTGATATTTTTTAATCTTAACGATTATGATTATGGTTTCTTTTGATAGTTTAACAATCAATTTGATGAAAATATGCTGATTATTAATTGAGATTATTAACTTATTTTCATAAGAATGGAATTTGTTTTAATTTTTGTTGATATTAACTAATTATCTTAATGATTGTTTCTCGTTCTGGTTTACTTTACAGGAGAATGAAAAATTTAAAGAAGAATTGAGAAAATGTCAAAAAGAATTACTTATTATCAATCGAGATAAATATTTTCTTATGGATAAATTGATGAAATATGAGAAACTTAGTTCATCTGATTCTGATTCAGATGCTACAGATTCATCGGAATCAGAAAAGGAGATTAAACAAGAACGATCTACAAAAAATCGAAGGTATTTTCGAATTTTTTTTTTCCTTCTATTCTTTTCCAACTAATATTTTCTTTTCTCTTCAATATAAACAAAGACGTAGATTAGAGACTACAATCAAGGAAACAACTGGAAGTACACCAATGGTCACAAATTCAACAAACAAAAGAAAAAGAATCAACAACATTAACAATAATGGAACCACCAATATACCACTTCCTTCATCTTCCTCATCTTCCTCTCCCTCCCTGATAACTTATTCCTCTTATCGGAGTAATAAAAAGTCAACTACAAGTAAATCAAAGGCTGTTGATAAAACAACGGCAACTTCAGTATCAGTTTCCCCATCAATATCCTTGGTACCATCAAAATCAATCTCATTCCCACCATCACCAACTCTCTCAGGGAAGAAAAAATCAACCCCAACCCCAACCCCAACACCAACATCATCAATACCTTCAATCTTATCCGCCACTCTGACAGCGGCTACAAAAGCAGCCTCATTACCCACCATAACTTCAACCTCGGTGAGATTTAATTCCAGTGCTTTAAAAGCCGCTTTATCATCACCTATTTGCAATAGCTCTCTAACCATGGCTCTTAATTCATCTAATTTATCATCATCTCTATCTTCATCTTCATCTTCCTTCACATCTAATCTTTTATCATCCACATCTCATGTTAACACTTCCCTCACAAATAAATCATCTTCTTCATCAAAACCTCAACCATTTCAACCATCAAAATCAAATTCAGCATATTTATCAATCTCATCATCATCATCATTATCGTCATCAACTGTTACTCCATCAATTATGGTACAATCAATCACGACAACTTCATCGCAATCAACAGTCACCGCTCACAATATCTCAACATCTAAATCGGAAAATCTATTTAATTGCTCATCTTTACCTCAATTACCAATCATCAAAACGGAAGCAACTCCGTCTATCTTATCCTTAGGTAGGCCGAACGGAGGTCAACTTACATCGGAAGAGATCGAGAGACACTTTGAATCTCGACCACTTCAACCGGCGCTCTTGTTACCTGAGAAAACGCCGTTAACGGTTCCAGTCGAATTGTTCAGCAATGAATCAACCAATTCAGATATGAAATTGGAATAATGTTAATTCCTCTTATTCTCAATTGTAAATAATTGTTATCAATTTAATTTATTCTCTTTATCCTGTGCAATTATCGCTTCTCGTCATTAAGATGATCAATTAGAAATTTAATTGTTGATTAATTAGTTTCGATTGATTATTTTTGCTCAGTATTAATCACATTATTACTGTAAAATTGATTTATTGTATAATCAATCATATTTATCGATTTAAGTTAATATAATTTAATGACTATTATACAAAATACAACAATTAAAATAATGATTGACCAATTGTTACTTCAACCATTAATTTTAAAGGTAGTAAAATTATTTAAATTATGTCTGCAGTGTTAATCATGTTTGATTCTATATGTTATATTGATTTAATCAATTAAATACTGATGAAGTTCATGCATTCATTTCAGTGATTATTGATTGTTGTCAAAAATGAGTATTGATTATTGTGATTTCTTTGGTTGAGCATTTTCCATGGACACAATTAGTAACCAAGTTAGTTAGCGATCGATCAATATATGCAATTGATCACATTAAATTGTTGATTATTTGAACTTTTGAAATATCCTTTTGATCAACTGCTTCATTAAAATTAAGCCAAGTAGTTGATTTAACAATAATTTGCGATTTCTCATCGGGCTGTAAATTAGCAACTCGAATCACATCTCCTATTGATTTAAAACACAAACAAGATATTAATTAATTGCTGAGATAAATTGTGAGTACAATTAATAGAAACTAATAATTTACCTGTTCCAGGATTAAATTGAAAATATGAACATGATGAATCTTCTTGTATTTCTAATGAAATAGTGACACAATTAACTCCCAACATACTTAAATATCTGTAACTATTAGCCATTGATTGTAATTTATTCAATACTTCATCATCTGGATTACTTTTTGGTTGATTAGCTGATTCACTTGAGCTATAATTAACTAAATTATTAGCTTGACCATCAGATATACCAAAGTAGCCTTTCAAAGCTTTAACAACATGATTAACTGGCTCAGCTCTGGATAAAACTTTCATTGTTGGTCTATGGGAAGAGCAAAAAAAAAGATAATTACAATTACAAAGAACAACAATTAACATTTGAAAATTACTTACAATTGGATAACAACCACTGACCAGCCCCATTTATTAATATAAGAATTACATGTTTCCATATATTGTTTAATTATGAATTCCATTTTTCTTTCCAAATCTTCAACATGAATACCACCGATTGTATTTACGAAAGATAATTGGATAAATTGTTCAACATTTGAACGGGAATTTTGCATTTGAGTTGATGTCCGAATTACATTGGAAACTGTAATTTCCACGATAAAATCGACAATCTCAATTAAAGATCCATCAGTGGTTAACATTTGATCCTTTTCAATAACATTAAAACGATGAGGATTCAAATCAATATAATCAATAACATCAACCAAAGGGATGACAATAATTAATCCAGGCCCTTTAATAGGTAATCTTTTACCCAAACGATAGACAATACACCTTTCCAATGGTTTAACCCTCTGTAAATATTAAAGTAAAAAAAGGAATAAGAAAATTTTCCAGAGGATTAAATTTAATCCAAATTGTTAGATGAACAAAATAAACAATCATCTTTTTTTTCACAATATAGAGAAAAACTTACCTTCAATGTAAACCAAATAGAGATCGGAAGTGTAAACAAAATGATTAAAAATGCGAAGGATAAAATTAACTGTCGCAAGATAATCTGGCTAAATGTTTCCTTCTCAATTCGATCATTACTTCTAAATCTATAATAATTATCATTTATATCGTTAATTTCGTCAGCAGGTAAAGATGAGTAACGGAAAATTGATGCGAATGATGTATCACTATAAGTATGGTAACTATTGTAATTCGTATTGAAAGAAGAGCTCGTTGTTGGTATTGGTGTTGAGAACATTTTCTTTTTTTCAATTAAAACTTTGCATCGACATTATAACCAACTAATTTGATTGGAAAATTAATAAAAAAGAACAATTAAATTAACTCATTTTAATTAGAAACAAACAGAGAACAAGACAATTAATGTTCATCTTTTTCTCTCTTTGATTGTTTATGTTTTTCTCTTTCTGGTTGCTTAGCAACGCGAAAAGCGGCAAAATTTAAATGGACCAATTTTCGAAACAAAATCAATTCCAATCAACTAATCGATAGATTTTCCAACAATTAAAATAAAATAATAATGTCAAAGTGAAACCAGATCAATAATTAAGTGAACGATTTAATGTTTGGTAATAAATTGTTTGAATAAATGTGCCAAACTATTGATTTATTTTTGGTGTTGAAAGATGATCAAGATTTTTGATTTAATCAAACTTTTCGTAATCATTGTTTTTATTAAAGTAAATCAATTCATCTTCATCATCTAATCATTGTGATTAATTGTGATTTGGAAAGAGAGAGAGAGAGAGAAAAAAACAAAGGATAATTGGAAATTTAATAATCTTAATCGTAAAGAGCAAATTGACTAGACGACACAATTTCGTTTGATCATGAAACTGATTGAATCAGTAAATTGCTTTATGATATTCAACAGATAATCAGGAAAAGGGAATAGATTAACAATTAAAGTAGATGCAAGAGAATTAAAATAACATTAATTCCAAAATATGATTTAGAAACGAATACTGAAATTACGATAAGTGATGGAATCAATTATTTGCCAATTGGTAAAGTTTGCATGTTCTATTCGTGATCCTGGACTTCCTTGGAGTCTCAACCATAAAGCCCTGAAGTTAATCAAGAAGAGAGACAATTAATCAGATTTGTAACAATTTAGAAAATCAATTGACACTAATTAACTTACATTTCATCAATTTTTTCCTTTTCTCCTTGAATCTGGCCAATTACTGTTCCTCGGCGGGACAACATGACCCAACCCTTGAGTCCAAGTTTCTCACTCATTTCCTTGGCATACTATTAGATAAATCGAGAAGTAAATTGTCAACAATTAAGATTATTACGATTGAAAGAGTCTCTCAATTCGGACAATCGTTTGTGATTGTTTCGCCTTTAACTCCTTTGGTAACAATTTAATTAGATTATAACAAGAATGAGGTGATAGATACTGTCAAGGAATGATTAAAATGTTGACAATTTAAAGGACAAGGTTGTAATTGTAATTACAATTAGTTGTAAACACTTCCTGAATTAAGGTTGCCAAGAAATGTGAGTAAACATTGAAATTTAAATCACTCAACATTTTCCTTGCTTTGGTGACAGTTTAATCTGATTGTTTAATTGTGTCTAAATTAAGCTACAAATCATCAGAATTATAACTTAATTCAATTAAACATTAAAAAAAAAGGGATTTAACAAATCAGATCAATCAATTGAATCTCCATTGATTGTTTTGCACCAATTCAACCTAATCAATGAAATTAAATGTTTTCAAAACCTAAACAATCAACTGATCAACAGTAACTGTTAACTGTTTATCCAAGTGAAAGTTTAATTTAATTATAGTTAATCAGTTGATTATCTTGGTTGAATAAGATTTGTTTTCATAAACTTGATTCTCAAATTGTTTACTTTAATCAAGCTAAATACCTTAATTACCAATCAATTAGTGTCTAAAATAATTACTATTAATCATTTTTTTTTCTCGTTCAAATGAAAACTAAATTAGAATAACAATTAATTGATTACAGAATTAAAGTTCGTACAATTAGTTTGATATTTTCATAATTTAACACAAAGTGTCCTGAAAATGATTAAAGGAGATAATTGAAAATTAATTGAATCATGTTAATCCTGATTCTGTATTCTCATTAAATTGTTAATTATCATTTAAATTGACTAATTGAACAAAATCATGTCAATAATTGTTGTGATAACAATTGGATTACCTTGAAAGTTTGAATCTTAATTGTTACCATGTTTATTATTATCCATTTTAATGGATAAGATTAATTATTAAATTTTTGATGATGTTTAACAAAATTAAATTGCAATTACTGTGATGAATTACCATTAGGTAAGTTAACTGTTCACAATTAAACAACAATCAACCTTCTTGATCCAATTTAACAAACATTTTTAGCAACTTACACAATGGACCTTATCCAAGTAGGACAACTACATATGATAATCATTGGATGAAAACAACAATTAACTAGGTGCAAACTGATTAATCTAATTGTTGATAAATAATAAAATTTGTCTAATTAGAAAACAAATCAAAACAATCAACACAAAAATTGAGAAAATTGAGAAAATTTGACAAAAACAAAAAGTTATTGACAAGATGCAAGAAAAAGGGACAATCAGTTGATTGTCTTGAGACAATCAAAACAATAAATTGATAATTACCTTGGTGAAATAAACTCCTGGACAAATGGTAAGTGAATTAAATCAATTGTAATTAGTAAATCACAACCAAGAGACAGAGACAGAGAAGGTAAAGAAAAGACAACAATCAATAAATTAGTAAAATCATTAATCAGATGTAAACAGATAAACCGTTTGATTTGTTTTGACATCGAAAATGGTTAACAATTAAGGTGAAACAGTTAATTAACAATAGAGGAACAATTAGATTACCTGAGAAATCACCGAATACCTCAAAATCAATCTGAACAAGAACTTTATTGATCAATGAAGATGATGAACTTATATTTGCATTGGTGGAAACATGATAATAAGAAGATGAGTTTGTCGTCGATGAGATTGAAGATGTATACATGATAATTAATTGGTCGAAAGGTCCAAAGGGTTAATCGTAATTGTGTTATGAATGAAAAGAACAATTAAAAAATTGGAACAATTAATATTCACTTGAGAAGGAACAAATTGAGAATGAATTGAAAAAGAAGAGGGAAAATGTGATACTTGATGAGAAGAATGGAAAACAAAAGATGAGACAAGATGGAAATTCTGAATTCTTGATAAGTTTTCAATGTTCAGGGAGAAAGTAGAAGATGAAAATGGTTACAATTAGAATTTAGAATTAAGATTATGCTTAGTAAAGATTATGATGATTAAAATTTAGTTCGGATGAAGGATAAATTCACTGGGTTATCTTAATAGTTTAACTATAAATAGATGATAATAATTGGCAAGAAACTTGAACAGTTCTCAATTTCTCTTTGTTTTTTAATCCAATTTGTTTTCTGTCGAAATTATTATTAATTTAGTTAATTGCCACCGATTGTTATTGATAATCAGTCAGATTAATTTCACTTTCAATTCAATTTTCATTGAGTTAACATTAATTGTTGTGCTTGTTGTTATTGTTGTTCATCATTCATTGAGCTTGTTGGTTGAAATGTTCAATTTACCAGTGATTAGTTTTAATTGTAATCACTTATGGATTAGAATTAACAATTTTGGCTACGATCAGGGATTAGATTGTTTTTCCAGTTGCTTTGGATTTAATTCAATTGGTGATTAGTTTTTGTTTCATTTTTCATTCATTATAATTCATTCACCTAAATAAATTTATCAAATTTCATTTATTGATTGTGAATAAATGTTAACAATTTAACCTTTATTGTTACAATTAAGAATTAGCTTTAAATTTGGATTAAAGGAGGTGAATGGTTGTTAATTGTTTCCATAGATTTTCATGATGATATAATTTACATTACTAATTAATTGGTGTTTTTGATTGATGATCTTGATTATTACTGGTGATTTAATTGTTGTAAGTTGATGAAATTTATTTAATAGGAATTGTCATCATCTTCATCATTGTTTTCAATTGAAATTTCGTAAGTTTTAATTGGCTCATTTGATTCAATTAGTTCACGTCGTTTACGGCCAACGGCGGTTCCTCCTTGCTGACCAGGGACTTGCTGACCATTGGAATGGACCATAAACACAAAAGAAAATTAAAATAATATTATTTACAATTTAAAGGCGTTTAATTGTTATCCAAATATTCAGAATGTTTCATCTAAGTGTAGGCTTGAATAGTGGATAGATTTACTTGGAATTAACCTTCAACTTGAATTGGAAACAATGAAAAGAAAAGTTAATTAATCTAATGAAATATTATCTCTTACCCTTAGGCATGTACTTATCAGGCAAAATGCTTGTTCCTGTGTTGTATTAGCAGGTACAGTGTACTAAAGGCATGAACAATCAGTAATTAACGAGAAACAATTAAAAAAATACAGAGAAAAGGGTAGAAAAAGTTTCAAATAAATGGTTGATTGTGATACCATAGAAAAGGATATTTACCTGACCAGTGCAGATGTAAGACTGGAATTAACAATAAATAATAATAATAATGAATTAATAAACAATTAAAAAGTAATCGAAGGTTTAATGATGATAACAATTAAAAGTTAATTCACTTACCATGGTTCGAAATTGTTTGGAGTCACAAAGTAAACACATACTCTAATTGAGAAATTGAAAGATAATTAAGTTAATTGGATAGTTAGATTAGTAGAAATATTAATTACCTGGATATTTGGTCGATCAGAATTAACACACAATTGGATATATCTCTGTAATTAAAGGTGACAATTAGTGGATTCACTTATTACAATTTTCTACTGTTAATTATTTACCTGGAGGAAAAAAAGTCCACTGGAAATTGAACAAAATGTGAAAACAATTAGAAATGAATTCATCTTATTCTGAAGTCGTAACATTTTGTTTGATTAACAATTAATTGTTTCAACACAGATTAAAGTTGGATTGATACTTGATGGCGACGATTGTAATTAGTTGTCAACTTAATTGCACAGTTTAAATTAAAGATTGTCCATCATTAGGTAAGTTTGTTATTACTATTGGTTAATTTGATTGTCGTTATCTTGATGCTTTCAGAGTCAATGACAAACTAACAAGTTGATTATTGTTAGTTGACCAAAAAGTACTAATCAGTTGGTTAGTTGATTTAATTCAGTTGACTTTTCAATGGTATTGCGACTTTAAATTGGTCTGTAAAGTGTTTGAATATGACATTGAATGGGTGGAACGAAATTGATATAATGATTGAGCAAAAGAAGAAAAAAAATCAACAGAATAATCAAAATCTCTCTCTATTTAAGGTCACCCATGTAAATCATTGTGTTAGTTAGTTAATTGCTATAATGAGAAGATCAAAGAGAGAACAGTGTTTTTGTTAATTGTTAGCCTCATTAGGTTAGATAATAGTTTTCATAATGAGATTGTTATTACCAGAATACGACAATTAGCATTATATTATCAGGTTATCTGGTTGAGATAACCAATTGAGACTTAAATGTTTATCATCATTTAATTTAATTTAATTCATCTCTCGATTGTTGATACTTGTGTATTTCGTTATTTCCGTTCAAGAGGAAACAATTTCAATCCAATTGTTTGTCTCACTTACATTTAATTGTCACTCTTTCTATTTTATCAAGGTAATTGTGACAACAATCAATTGCCAATTATCAAATAGCTTTGTCCAGAAAACAAACATAATCATTCATTGTATTTATTGACCATTACCCAATTACCTTTGTTTATATTGTACTGATGAGATTATCTGATTGAGATTCATCAGCTGAAGGGAAATATTATTAACATTGTCCAATTTTGAGTAACATCGTTGAGGGTAAAATAGTTTTTTTTGATTGTTATTGTTAATTGTCCTTGAAATTGACAACAAATAACAACAATTAGAGGAACATATTTAATCCAGTTCATGGTTGACGAATTAAGGTAATCCATCAACCTTACATAGAGAAAATAACAAGATGAGTTTTCGATTGGCTCTTTTACTATTAATCAAATAACAAGGAGCTTAATTAATATCAAGGTAACAATCTAATTAATCTTAAGGTATATCTATGGGGTGAATGATCGTATTTTGATTAAATCTAAAGAGAATACAAGAGAAATAATAATCAATTGATTAGGTAAAAGGAAAATCGTTTTTATTAATAAGAATTACAAATGACTGATTCTTTATATCAAAACACTAACTTCACGTATTCATAAATTTGAGGAACTGGAATTCATGATAAATGTATATCATAATAGTCCATATATGGTTGTATTCTATCATGACTAGTTCAAGATGTAATCGTTGACTCAGGTAATTTAAGGTAGAATCTACTTGGTAGATTAAGAGATTAAGAGTATGGAAAGTTTGAAAAAACTTTTCGTTCGAAACAGTTACCAAAACGAACTCTAGATGTCACTAGATGAGTTGAGTTTCTATGGTTCGGTCAATTCAATGAACGTGATCGATTGCGATTAAGTAGCGAAATGAGATGAAATAAGACGAACACTCAAATAGAGGTTATTCGATCTTCGATTGAAAGGGGTATGTCAACCCTAGAATCGACCTCCGTCAAACACAAAATTAACATCTATTTTGGATAGAAGATTTGGATAGAGACCTTTTTCAAAAGTTCTGTAAAATCTCTGGTTGAGCCACAGTCAGCGATCGAAGTTTTTTGTTTTTCGATTTTAAAAAATAAACCGAATCCGTAAAATCCGAATTTAGTCGTGTTTTTCAACTTTAGTTTTTATTATGGTTCATCGACTGACAAAAGCTTTTGGATTAAATATTTTCTATCTTAGGATATAGACTTGAGGTCATTTTTCTTTCGAAAAGTTCTCATTTTGTCAGCTCACCGTCAGGAATTTACTTAAGCAGCCAAAACTGACTCTCAGACATAGCTGGACTCGAGCTTTTTTCTATGGCTACTTAGAAGGAAAAATACTCACAGAAAAGTAGTTAAACTCTGAGGTTGAGATTTGGTTAGAAGGTGAGGTTGAGGTTATCGGTTAAGTTAGGTTAGGTTAGGTTAGGTTAGGTATGGAAATGAGCACATTCCAAATAACCTGTTAAGATCATAGTGTAAAAATTCCGGATCATTTCGAATGTCCACTCTCGTCCATTAGCATATTCTAGTTTGGATTTCAGTAGTGGGTAATTGAAGGGCATGTCGAATTCTTAAAATAAAGGTTAATGCAAATAATAAGATATAAACTACATGTATACACCAAGGAGGCAAAAAAAGAAACGCTTATTAATCTGACTGACCGATTGTTTCACTCTCCACTCGGACCATCAAATGACCTTGAAATCGTATCCTAACAGAATGACCGGAATGACCTTGAAATTAAATTATGAAAATTTAGTATCGCTTAAAATTTGCCAAAAATCGGGTCTTGGGTCTAGGAAATACCAATGGACGAAAAAGTTATCCAAGAAAAGGTGAAACCCTCGGTACTTATGTTAAGTCCATTGGAAATTTTTCATTAGGAAAATCACGTGAATCACAATCGCGCGTGAGCTGCAAAAATTCTGTAAAATTATCGATTCCTATCTGAGCCATGGCGGTTGAATTTTTTTCTATGACTCATTATTCTTGAAATACTCACTTGTTACCGGTCACCGATAACATCAGATGAAGAGCAAATATAAAAATCTGGAGAGAGTGAAACAGTTTCTGATCAGCTAATTATCCTTGAAATTGACAGCAAACAACGACAATTAGAGAGGGAGCATATTTAATCCAGTCCATGGTTACAAATTAAGTTAATCCATCAACATTTGATAGAAAAAACAACAAGATGAGTCATCGATCAACACATGTTACGATTAATTCAATAACAAGAAGGTTAATTAAGTTCTAAACGAAAATAAACTTACTCATTAGTAAAGAAAAGTATGCTAATTAAAAAGGAGCGCAGAATGTTTGAAAATTGAAGAGAAACAATTGATCAACTAACGAATAAAAAAAAGTCGAAAGTTTGATCAAAAAAGTTTCGTTGTTTGTTGTGGACTTGAAGATAATCAGAAATTAGCGTTTTCTTTTCAAATGGAAACTTAATTGTTCCAAGAGTCTTTGAGTTGATTAAAAAGTAGAGTAAAAATGACATTTGACTAGTGAATTACCTGAGATTGTGAAGGTTAACTGATTGAAGATGATTGTTGATCTTGGAACGAAAAGTTAATTAGGTGTGGTTACCCTGAAAGAGAAAGTTGTGTCTTCTCATTTTCCAAGTTCTCGGTCCAATTGTTACTTGAAGAAGGAAAATTCTGGTGAGATGATTAATGTTCCCCCTTTGGTGAGTAATAATTAAACTCTTCCATTATTTGATTCTCTGTTGATTAACAAGATTTAAAGAGAACCTTTAGAATCTTTTGATTAAATTGTTCTTTGTTAAATTAAAACAAGAAGAGAAAACAGAAAACTGGTTAAGAGAATCAAATTTAAAGACCAACCCTTAAGGATGAGGGGATCAGTTGAGATTCATAGTTAGTTCATTGATCGCAATTAAGTAGCAACAGTTTTGATTTATTAAGATGGCGAATAAGATGAAATAAGATGAACACTTGGATGGAGGTTAATGTAAGTGACCATCAAGTGACCATTGGAACAACAATTCAAATGGAATCAAATTATCTTTTTGTTCACATTTTGAGAAGAACAAGCAAATTTGGTCAACCGATGACCGTTCAAGTTAATCTCACTTTTTTTTTGTTTCTCACATTTTTCTTAATCCTAATCCAGGTCGTTTGTGTTTTACCACCAGAGAGATGAAAACAAATTTTGTTTACCAGACTGTAGTTTAAAGATGTTGATGTTTACCAGACTTTAGTTTTCTCTCTCTCTGGGCGATTTTGTTTACTGGTTCATGTTGGTCACTTGAAGATCATTTTGGCTACTCACTAATGGATCTTTGCTTTGGAAACAAATTTGAAACTGGTTTTCTTGTGATTAATCATCAAATACTTTGGTCAATATTTTATCTTCTTCTCCATGTAACCAAATTGGACGTTGTTTTTTTCTCTCTCTTTTCTGCTTCGCTTTAACTATCGGCATTTTATCTCTCTCTCTCTCTATCTCTTTGTCCGTGGTTGTTATTTTCTCTCTCAACATCTTTTTTAGTCCGTGGTTGTTTTCTCTTCATTGCTTATTCTCTCTCTTTCTCTTTCTTTTTTTCTCTTCTTCTCTCTCATTCAAAATGGAGGGAATTTTTTTTATTGTATTCGAATTGTAGAATTTTTTTTATATTCTTTTCTCTTTCTCTCTTACCCAATTGTGATCCCTCCTCTTCTCAAGCCAACACAACCAATGACAGAAGAGGAACTCGCCCTCGTGAGGGACAAGGGTTGGACTTAAAGAGTTTAATTGGTTAGCGGTATTTTTAAATTGTCGATAAAATTACCAAAGATCCTGAAAATGATCGTTTGCGCACAAGGGGGAGAATCGATTCTTCCCTCTTTTCTCAAACTTTCTTATGAGTTTTAGGCCCTAAAGTTTAGGGTTTGTCTTCCATCTTCGTCTTTATCTTCATCTCTCTCTCTCTTTCTGCTTTTCTCTTTCTCTTTTCTCTTTTCATCTTCTTTCTTTGTCTTCTGCTCATCTTATTCTTCATTTTGATTCTCTCAGTTTATTTGGTGAACTTCAGTAACAGTTTTCAAAACTTTTTAAATTCTTTACTCAAATCAGTGAATCAACTTTTCTTTTTAAATTTTTTTATTCGTTTATTTAAAATTATTGTTTCACTTTTTCTTCTAATTGATTATTCAATTGAACATCATCATCAAGTAATTTAACATGGAAACCAACAAAAGTGCCTCAAAGACCAATCTCAACGAATCTCATATTCCTTTGTTGGAAGATGAAGGTAAAGATTCAAATGCCAAGAAGGAGGAGAAAATTGAAATGGAATCAAAGAATGACGGTGACAAAGATGAGAAACCAACAAGTGAAGATAAAAAGGCTAAAAAGGAAAAGAAGCCTAAAGAGAAGAAAGTTGGACCCAAGAAAACTCCACTTACCTGTGCACAAAATTGTACCATTGGATTGAATGTATTGGATCGAGATGAGAAACACATCAACGACCATATCAACATCAATTTCGAAGATATTATCGCGGAAACTGATTCTCTTCATGGTTTCGAATTTATCTGGAGAGTAACCTACCTTATCTTCAACAATTCCCGAAATTGGTTCTATGGTTTAATCACAGCAATTCTTGCACCATTTTTAGCCATTTTCTGGGCACTCATTTTCTCCGTTTTCTCAGCCGCCATGGTTTGGATTCTCATGCCACTATTCAAACTTTTCGAGCTCACCCTCCATTACGCACACAAGGTTTGTAACTTCAGCTCATCATTATCATTACATTTTCTTTTTGGTCAACGTTTGACAGCCAATCAAACATTTACATCACACACACACCCTAAATCTTTCATCACCCTTCCCCCTCCGCCCGTCGAAAAGTTTTCTCTCTTTCTCTCTCTCTTTCTTCCCTCGTCAGTTTTTTTTCTCTTCTCTCTCCTTTTAAATGAGATAGAATCTTGTTAGCTCAGTTTGAATGAGCTCATTATTTTTACCAGTCTCTCTCTTTTCTACCTTTACTTCTCCTCCTACTCCTCCCTCTCGTCTTTTCGCTCCCATCAATCTTCTCCTCTTCATCGTCATCATCATCGCCATCATTATTGTTGTAGAAAGTAAACTAAATTTGGTTCCACATGGAATATTTTTGGTCAGGATTTCCGGTAGATAACCAGCCCTATGTATTCAAACTAATTATTATCTCCTTTTCTCTCTATGGTTATACTTTCACTTCTCATGATGATTACATCGCACTCGTTTCTTTTTGTTATTATTATTCTTGTTCATAGAAACTCTCATTACCTATTTCGTGTATTGTATTGAGCTGGGTCGCCACAATTAACGCTTCTTTTGTTATTTCACCTGCAGAATAATCTATCCCTAATCCAATTCCTCTTCTCAATCCAGAAAAAAAAGAAGTTACAAAACAACCTAATCATCATTAAATCATTATCTTCATCAATTTACTTTTAGAATCTAATAGAGGAGAAAACATATTTATCTCTCTCAAACAATCATCGTGTTGTTTGGTTTCCTCGCAAGCTCAATTTACTTGTTGAATGAGGGATAAAATTACTCAGAATTTGAGAGATATTTTCTCAGATAGTAATCAACTCAGACTATTAGTTAATTATCTTTATATTTATTCTCTTCCCTGATCATTTCACCAGTAAAAATAATTTCTCTTCAGGGAAAAAAAAGAAAATGTTAATTGTTACTCTTACATATTATTTATGAATGAATTAGATGCTTGACTTGATCGCTAAATTTTCATTTGAAACATGTTGATTTTTCATCCTTTCTTTTTAATTACTAGTTATTAAATCCTAAGATTATCATTCACTTTACTAACCTTGATTGTGGATACACATTTCCTATCAATAACTTTTAATTGCGATTATCACTTTATGTTGTGAGAACGTGTCACTCATAATATAATATGGCGAAGACGATGATTTAATATTGACCTTCATGTCCCAATAACATAGTCATTATTGTTAATTAACACAATTTTCTTCTTTTGTTGACTTGATCAGAACAATTTAAATTTTAATTTTAATTACAATTCTTTTTTTGTATTCTTTTTTCCTTATATTTTCTCATGGACATTAATCAGTACTGGAATGCTGTCGTTCGATGTCTATTGGATCCCGTTTTCGCCGCCGGTGGACTATTGTTTGGCAACATTCGCACTCGAACTGAGAATCACAACCATTCTCATCATTCAGTCTAAATTAGCTCAATTAACACCAATGGATAATTATACAAATCAACGCAACATTTGCCACCTCTTTTTTTCGCCCGCCTTATTTTCGCTTTAATTTCCACCTCCCGGTTCTTTTCTAACCTTTTAATTACTTTAGAAAATTATCATTACCTCGTAGCAATTAAATTTCTCCTTAGGCTCTCTCTCTCTCCCTCTTTATCTAACCCTCTATTTCTCATCTCTGTCTTTTTCTTCATCTTTTCTCATTCATCAAACAAAAAATTCTATTTTACTCTTGAAACGTTTTTTCTTGATGAAAAAAAAAGAACAAAATTTTTTTCTAACAAAACATCTAATCACTAATTCGCGATGATCATTTAAAACTCATCCAATTCAATTACGTTATTAATCAACATGCAATTCAAATTGATTTATAAACATCTTAGATGTTTAGTTAATCATGAAAAGTTCTGATTGGTTGATGTTTATTATTCTCTTTTAAATTGTTCTTTAAAAGTTTATCACGATATTATTATTAATAGTTACATAGAAAATGATTACAATGATGATTAGTATACAATTAATTGCGAAATATAAGTTAATTGTTGCTTTTAATTAGTTGCTCCCAAAATGATTCCTGCTGATCGGACAAAATGTTTCCTCGAATAGTCTGAAATTGAATGTGACGGATACTCGGTAAATGGCCTCATCCAGAAAGGTTTCACTATTCCGTAACTGGGCCAACCATAGGACTCAAAATAAGCGATGGAACAATTAACTGAATTAATTGTAAACATTGAAAGAACCGCAGTTAAAACAACAATTAAACCGATTGACTTTAAATAGGAAACAGAAAGAGGAAGATGAAACAAAGAAAAAGTCAACAATTAGAATGACAATTTATTCAGATGAGAGAAAGAAACAATTAAATTATTATTACCTTGATCATCATTAATTCATTCATTGGGAACAATTAAAAGCAAACAAATTCACAATGAAAATCAATTAACTTTAAATTGTTGGTTAACAATTAAACTCATAAACTTAATCCAAATGGTTGTTAATATTAATCTGATCACAACGAAAGTCCAACGAAAAAGTTAATCACAATTAAAAGTCACAAAAAGAGAATCAAAAAAACAAATTAATCGTCACCAAGTAAACAATGAAACCTTAATTTAAATTGAATGACACTGAACAATCAAACGAAACAATTAACGTTTAAAACAATTAAAAACATTTTCATCGTTACTAACGATCGTAACTATCGATGACTATTGATGATAATTTATTAATTGTTGAAGTATTAATTGTGAAAAATATCTGACCTAATGGTGGATTCAAGGTAAACTGATGTTGGGATGATGAAAGTGAAAGTTAATCATGAAGATGATTAAGATGAGAGAGAGCAATTAACAGTTAACTGTTAACTGTTAACTCTGACCCAAGGTTAAGGTGTAACCATTGAACTAATAATAATTAAGGTTATTATTATATTTCAAGGTAAATTGTTGTTTATTTGTTGATTAACTTTCACTTATTAAGGTAAGATGAGAAAAAAACTTAATTGTAATTAATTAACTAATCACTGGATAAAGTTGTAAGGTTATTGGGTCATGGATCAAGGTGATTTCAATTGATACAAATGACAACAATTTATATATCAGGTTACCACAATTAAATGGTTTCTTTTTAAAATGATAATTGTAATGATCTCAATTGTAAATTTGTTGGGATCAATTTTTTAACTTCAATTTAGTAAATTGTTACAATTAAACTTTGCTTGGAAAAATCATCTTTCATTTAATTTAATCTTCAATCTGTTTAATTAAACAAAAACTGTCACAATTAATCAAATTGCTACGTTTCCATTGGCACGTATTCAATAGACTTGTAATTGTAACAATTAATTAATCAAATTAATGAATTTTTTTTTCTCTCCATCTTGATTGTTGTTAATTGTTTGTTTTTATTTGGGAAGTTAATTCTTGGTCCTTTAATTGTTGTTAATGTGTCTCCATTTGTTTTTATTGGCTTATTATTTGAGAGTTGGGCTTAATTGTTTTGATCATTTTTTTGGATTTCTATTAATTGTCAACCATAATTTAACAAATTGTGACTTTAATTGCTGCGTCTTTTGATTATCATGGTTAAATAAACAATGAAAAGTTTTACTCTGGCAATTTAAACCAAATCTCATCAATCAATTTATTTTTGGCCTACAACTATTAATAAATTGTAATTTATTTGATCAACTTAATTCCTCTTCAAGTTTAATTTAGTTTGTCTGTAAACAATCAGGAGATAATTTAACTAATGCACAATTTAAATTGTTACTCAATTAATTCTGATCAGAGGAGGAGAAAAACCTATTCAGTTGATTGTTTTTACTTCAAACAAAATCTGGTTAATTATAATCATTATGATGATAAATTAATTCTCGTTGATTGTTTGGATTATATCATTGATTAGATCAAGTATATTTATTGTAAACAACAATTAAAGTGTTGAAGTCTAAGAATAGGAAAATAAATGGTTAACCATTTGGTAACAATTAACCATCACTTAGGTTGTATTATCAATAGAAGAGTGGAAGAAAAAAAGTTAGAAACATGATAATTAAATGGATTTGATTGTTTTCTTTTAATTAAAATTAAGTTAATTGTGGACAATTAAATGTCTTCGGACAGAGGAAGAGAAAGTGAGAAGCACAAAGAAACGGCCACTTCGGCGGGAGATCAGCAGTTTACATGATTAAGCCAAAAGATTTTGAGGATTTGATCATCAGATTTAGTTAATTGTTATCAATTTGGTGTAATTGTTAAATTGTTTATTCAATTAGTTTCATCTCGATGGCTTTTGAGTAAGTGTGTTTAAGAATATCGTCAAGCTCTGGGAGAAGTGATCTGAGGGCTTCGTCAAATTTGGCCATTGTGCCTCGATCGAGAACGAAACGATCAGAAATGGTATATTTGGGATCGACGGCGATTGCGACCTCTTCGTCGACAATGGTGGTTAAGTTAAATTGTGACACTTTGAACCATTCACGGAAAACATCGGGGAACATTAAGAAGGAACCATTTACCTTAGCGTTTGGAATAGTGGCCTGGAAACATCCTTCAGAAATTCTCAATGGAATTGAATCAAACAGATGATAATCGACGGTGTAATTAGCTCGAGAATCTAATTTAGGAATCGTGTGGATGAATTTAAGGGTTGGCCCCTTGTTCTCAACTTTATCGACTCGGAAAGAGGAGAGACCAGAGATTTGAACATTCGAAAGGGTGAGAACAAGTTTACCAACAACGGGAGATTTTGGGTCACGATGTTCATTGATCGCTGGTGTTTGTAAGAAAAGTGGATCTAATTTCTTGTGGATTGGTGAGTATTGAGATGGACCAGCGGGTTGACCTTCCTTTTTATCGGCACCTTCAAGAGTAGATGATTCTTGGATTAATCGACGGAAACCTTCAAATGACATCATCACCAAATCGGTGAGTTGTTTATTAGAAGCGGGTGTCGATTGGTCAGCTGATGCCTTCACCTCAGGTTCGGAGGTGGAAAGGACTGAAGACACGAAAAGAAGGGACAAAATCACCGAAGAAAACATGGTTAGCTGAATCACTATCGATTTCGATTGAACAAAAAAAAAGAAAAGAAAACTAATCAACAATTTAAGCCAATTGGACCCAAGACTGAATCAAAACTGATGAATCCAACCATCGGTTCGGGTGCTTTTTATATAACCACTGGCCAATGGCCCGTCAACAGGATAAACTTTCACTTTTCTCACCCTCCATGGTTTCCATCATCTCTCTTGCTCTCTCAATCTCTATCATCTTCATTTCTCTCTCACTCTCTCACTTGGTAGTAAATTAATCAGTCATCATGATTAAATTTTCCATCTCCATGAATCTCCATCAACATCATCTAACCCACTGCTTCGTAAGTTCCTCTGAGGTCAATTACTTTGTCGGACGACCGATAATTTAGTGAATTCATCTTCATGAAATCTTCTAAATTCATCATTTAATTTCTTCATCTTCATCTTCATCTTCTTCTTTTTCTCTTCTTCTTCCATCATCCAAAGGTAAGAGTGTTTTCTTTTTTTTTCATCAATTTCACTTTAGAAAAACTTGAATTTTCTCCTAAAAACTAATCAAATTCACTAATCAAGGTGAACTTTCCAGGTTACTCACTTTCTCCATCTCATCATCATCATCATTATCATCATCTCCCTTCCCTTAATCATAATTAATTTAACCATTGAACTTTTCTAATCCTGTCATTCCCTTCATGTTATTTTTTATATTTCTCTCTCAAATTTATCTCCATAGTTTCTTATATAATATATTTTCCTTTTTAATTGATTATCTCTTTTTTTGTTGATTTTCCTCTTTTCAGAATTTTCATTTCTTTTCATCATCAACTCAATCATTTCAATCATCATTAGAATCATTATTTTCTTCATCATCATCATTAGATCAACAAGAATTGTGTTTTTCGTCTGGTTTGACTGGTACATCAAACATTCAACATCTCCAATGTTCATTTTGATTTGATTGCTTTTGATTTCGTTTTTTTTCTTGCACTTTCCATCCCATGATAATCAACATAATCACCATTTCATGATTCATTATTTTCCATCATCTGATCTTAATCTTTCAAGTTTAAACCAACACTCTAATTAAAATATCCATCCAATGTATTAATTGTTTGATTAAATGTTGTTGCTTCTTGTTTATAAAACACATTTTGATAGTTTGTTATTGTTTCTTGTTGATGATGATGATTAAAGTTGATCTTCAGGGACTTCAAGGTAATCCGTTAATTAATCTGTATTTTTCTGGTTAGTAAATTACTGTTATCGTTATACTGAATCAGCGAAAGTATTGTAATCATAATTAAATCAGTAAAATTATCGCCAATTTCCAAAAATAAATTAAAATGTTTACATTAATGTTTACATCGGGTTAACATTATTTTCACTTGATTAAAATTATAAAAATGAATTTGGAAACTCAATTGGTTACAGTAAAAATGAAGCCATCATTAAATCATCCTTCAAGATGATTAGTTAAATTGTTGTTGTGTCAGGCCTTTCAAAAGTGATGATGATTGGGATTATTTGATTATTGAACAATTTCAAATATGATGGCACAAAATGATTAACATCTTATATGTATTGTTAATGGTAGAATTGAGTTGAACATGTTGTAATAAATTGTAGCTTTTAACATCAAGACAATATTGGTATTTATATAATATTAACAACAATAGAAATGTAGTGATGACAATTGATGATAAATTAGATGATGGCCACAATTTAGTGGTAAATTAAGGAACTGATTGTTGATTATTAGATGTAAAATTGGTTAATGTTCATCTCGTTAATCACTTCAATCACAATACAGGAACAAAAATCCGTTAACATAATCATGTAACTGTTGTGTGAATTTAACGAAAAGTACAATCAATTTTTGATGGATTATAGTAATTACCCTGAATAGATGAATAAAATAACATAATAATTAAGTAATTCTTCTGATTGTAACTATTTTAGAATCAAAAATGAGAAGAAAAAAAAAGTAAATCAACAATTTAGAAAAAAAATTTTCTCCAATTATGGATTAGGAATCAATGGATTTAGATATGGATCCATATTCTTATTTGGATCCTAATTAATTTTTTCTTTTCTTTTCTTTTGTTTTGTCATTTCATTTTCTTTTGATTAAATTAATTTTCGACAATTAACTTAGTAAATGTTCCTTTGATTATGTTTCTGTAACTATCGTCATGTGTTTCTCATGCTTTATGAGTAACTTGATGATTCTCTTGTCATCATCTCCTTAAAAGGTAACAACTCTCAGTTGTTTCTCTCTCTCTTTCTATATCTCTCTCTATGTTTATTATTACTCTTTGAGAGGAAACAATTTTCTCTGATTTTTTTCAATCTCATTCTGTTGTTTTCTTTTTTTTATTATCATGGTAAGTGTTTTTTATTCTATCTATGGTGATTAGTGTTCCTTAATTGTTGGTTATGATTCTTTGTTTCATTGTGTTGGTCTATTTATTGGTGTTTTTAGGCGTCTGGTACTGAATGGATTGATGCATTGGAGAAACGAGGAATCATTAAAAAAGATGAGCCTTTGGAACAAGATTCTGATACATTTGATATTGAGGGTGGTTTCCAGGAGAGTAATCAGGATAAAATAGTCAATTATTTTGATCCATCAAAGAATTCAAAGAATACTGATCAAGATACTGCTCCTTTAAGTGATGATGATGATGATTTTCTTGACCAATTAGGTGAAGATGATGAGAGAGCCTTTCTTGAGTATCGACAGAAACGTTTGGCTGAATTAAAGATTCTAGAGATGAAACCAAGATTCGGTGAAGTAATTGAAATCACCAAACAGGATTATGTTGATCAAGTTAATAAAGCCGGTGAAGGTATTTGGGTTGTGGTTCATGTTTACAGAGAAAGGTAAAGTTACATTGGAAATTCCAATTGTCACAATTTATAAATTTTACACCAAACAAACTCAATTTTATTTCAATTTTTTCTCTCTCTTTTCTTAGTGACACTCTATGTGCTTTAATCAACAATCACCTGAGACAATTAGCGATGAAGTTTCCTCACACTAAATTCATTAAAAGTTTGGTACAACTTTGTATTCCCAATTTCCCGGAATCAAATTTACCAGCAATTTTTGTTTATCATGAAGGAGAATTGAAGAAACAAATTCTAGGATCAGATTCATTTGGTTCCTCTAAACTCAAGCAAGATGGTAAATTTAAATTATCTATTAACTGATTGTTTCATTGATAGCAACTAACATTTTTTAACCATTAATTTAAACAGAATTGGAATGGATTATCTCGGAAACTGGAGCAATTAAAACAGACTTAGATTCAGATCCTAGAAAGAAATCATTTAAAGCTCGTAAACATTACACTTGCCTGGGCGTTGATCGTGATTCTGACAGTGATTAAATCAAGTGTGGTGATTAAATCAATTTTCATCTTTTCAACAATCAAAATTTGCAACTTAAAATAACCAAAATGGAAAAGAATTGTCAACAAACTTGATTCATTATCTTATAACAATTGTTACTGTTATCTCTAGATTATGAATAAGAGTCCAAAATAATTTAAACAATTAACTTATCGTCAATTTAGATCAAAAAAATTAAGAAAAAAAACAACTTTCATTGGTCTATAATCAAAAGTGTGTATACATTGTGATTAATAACTTGATTGTAAGTGACAAACAGACCAATTGACAATATTAACTATTGTTGGGCTTAATGTTACAAGATAAATGGTTGACAATCAGTTTGATTTATATGGAAAAGATGAAACAATTACAATTTTTATGATTAAGAGCAGGAGTTAAATTATTGTGCTCAGAATTAGTGTGTTCATTTTGATGGGAAAAAAATTATTTTTTGAGAAGAAATTTGTATTAATAGGAAAGCGAAAATATTTCCAGATATTTAGATCATAAAGATGATAATTAAATCATCGTGAATTTTAATCGGCGAAAAATGTTGCTATAATTATCTTCTTGAAGAATAGGTGTAAGCGGCAATCACCTCTTCGGATAAACGTTTCAAAGGAATAATCGGATTATCATCAGTACATTCAATCGGTATGTCGGGATCGAAAATATCAAGTTCGCTCCAGTCTTTCGTGTGCCTCGGTGACATTGAAATTGTCGCATCAGAATCGCAGAGAAAATCTAAACTATCAATTACTCTCGTTCTCGTTTTACTGTTGTTTACATTTGCACGTGTTCGCCTGATGGGTTTTCTTCCTCTTCGAATTGCTCTGTTGTTCCTTGCGTTTGTCTTTGGTTTGGCCTTTGACTTTGATTCCTCTTCACTTTGTGATTTCATCTCATCGTCGCTGAAAATGTTCCGTTGATTAATTGAAGATCTTCTGTTTTTAGAATCGCGACTAATTTCGTAGGCATCTCCACCATCGTGTTCTTCAGACCGATGGATTGAAAGCATAACATTGGAGTGGAAACTTTTGTCACATTCTTGACAAGCATGAGATAATTTTGGACTTCGAGAAACGGCCAAGTTTTTCTCTAACTCAAGACTGACTGGATGATCAAATTCGAGATGTTTGGCAAGTGATATTTGTTTGAGGAAAACTTTGGTACACAATTCACAATGAAATTTACCATCCGATGGATTAGGTTTATCGGGAACTTTTCTTTCCTCCAAAGGAGCTTTCGGAACTTCGACTTGTATTTGAGGTGGTGCCTTTTTCGCTGGTTTTCTTGGTGATCGAGGTTTCGCTTTTAAAATGGAAATTTGTTTCTCTGCAATGGGAGTTGTTTTCTTAAATTTCTCATATTTTGCCGATGGATCATCAGTAATTCCTTCCGCTGGCCCAATTAAATCTTTTATAATATCCTCTGTTGATCGTAATTCATTGTTAGGAGACAATTCAGAGTATAGTTTATGCATCGCATTAACTGCCCAATCTAAACGCTTCAAATCGGTTTCATATTGTTGCTGGAAATTTGTTAGACGAGTGTACATTTCTTGAACGTTTACAGGTGAACCAGAGATGGTCAATTTATATTCAACTTTACCCATTGCGACGCAACTTGTATTTAAATGTTTGAGTAATAATTCTCGGCGAGCAAACAGTTTCTTCAGCTCGTGAACAGCGGTATTAATAATTGCTTTATCTGAGGCTTGAATATTTCGAGAGGCGATAACTTCTCGAACCACTCCGGGGGCAATTTTAGTTTCGTCAACTTTTGGTGACTCTACTTTACTTTTCTTTGCAGGCGGCAGGCGTTTCGTTTCATTTTTACGCTTAAGATTTGGTGTAGCTTGTGGTGGAGCTGGAGGCAAACTCGATCCAGGAACAATATATTGCATTGGTAAATTGGCAAGAGAAACTTTCGTTGGTTGAGCCGCCGGTGGATTGACTACCGCAGGTCTAACAGGTTGACTTATGAAAGTTTTATTTACTTGATTTGTTTCATTTGTAGATGTGATTGTTGAATTTATGACATTAGCAAGTGTCGGTACTGTGCCAATTACTTTGGGACTGATTTTCGAGTAGGTGAAAGTTGATTTTACGGGACCTGGAGAAACGGTTTCAACGATATCACTCACAGTCATATCAAACAGCGTTGGTGATTTTGGTGGTTCTATGATTGTTAAATCTTGGGCATCTGAATCGGCCTCACTTTGGGTATCATTACTATGTTGTTTGTATTCATTTTCTATCTCAGGAGGTTTTGTATTCACAGTCTGGGGAGGTTGAATCTTTCCTGTGATAATCGGATGTTTTGTTGACACTTGAAGATTCATTTTACTTGGTTGTATCATTGGTTTATTGCCAACCATCTGAGTTAATGACGTGCCTGAAGGGAGAGTAATTGTTTGAGTATTAAAAGTACGAAGCCCTGTAGGGTTGAAAGACATAGTCTTTATACCAGAATTTGAGATGATACTTGGTGTTGTTTTGGTTGTTACGTTAGATTGAGGAACCAGAATGTATTTAAGTGGTTGATTCTTATTTTGAACATTTGGTGTTGTAATTAGATTGGTGAAAGGTTTAATGGTTGAGGTTGCATTTTTAGTGGCCATTAGTTTAACGGGAGATTTAGGATCATTGGTTGATGGTGGACTGCTAGTCTTGGATGGAGGGTTCGACATGAATACTAGAGTAGGCCGAGTGGTTCCTTGATTTGGTGATGGCTGATTCATGATAACATGGCTTTTAGTGGCTGATGCTTGAGGTGAGGTTAACTTTTGAACTGCATTGGTGTTAGTAAATGTCGGTGTTGTAGCTACTTTACCAATTCGGGAGATATTAGAGGTTTGCAATGGTACAGAGAAAGTAGGAGAATTACCAAGTTGCTTTGGTGTTGAATCAACTTGAGGTGCTGTTTTTGGTGGTGAATTTGTGATGGTTGTTGTACTGGTAGATGTTGTAGGTTCTAATCCATCTATAAGAATATAACTATTATCATCTAATTGGCAAAGTATTGGACCACCATTGACATTAAAGTTTGAGGGTAAAACTATAGATTGATCTTTGAATGTCGAGTTGGAAGAAGAAGGAAGTTGATATGTAGTTGGTGAAGTGGTCACATTGGTTATAGTAAACCGTTGATCTGAAGGCTTAACCACAACTTCCGATGAAGATTGGGGGTGTGATGGACTGATAGTAAATGTATTCGAGGGAAAAGAATTCTCTAAAGATGTTTGTATAATATTACCTAAATCAAACTGATGATTCATGGTGAAGATGATGATTGCCCTACACTAAAGGGATGCTATTGGTGATGGCGGGTAAAAGAAGCAGGTTGAAACTGAATAACCTCCAATCGATTCACTTTAAAAACAAAAGTCTATTGTAACAATAGCCTTTTAATTAGTAATTTGTCAAAAATTATCAAATTAATTAGATACACATTGAAAATCTAAAAATTAACACGAAAAAATTCAAATAAAAATAAATAAATTGTCCAAAGGTAAATCCACAAATAAACAATTTTTTTTTTGTTCCAAGGGAAAGTTAATAAATCTACAAGTGTAAACAAAGAACCAAATTTAATATTTTTACTGGAAAATTAACTAATTGAAGTAAATTGTTTTTCCAACAATTAAGATGTGATTTTTTTCCAAAAGTTAAATCTGATTGGATTAACTAAATTTTTCCATCCAATTTTTTTAATATCATAGAGATTAAATTAGAGACAATTGATGCGTTTTTACTCGTTGATTTAATTGTCGATTTGATTGTCGACTAATTAACAATTAGTGAGTTTTAAAACGCTAACGAATGATTAATTATTATTATGTACTCGTTTTCTATATGTGATTAATTAATTGTGCCACTTGTCAATCAAATTGTTGCAATTTGATTTGAAGAAAATTGTTGATTTACTGATGATAATTGTTAAATTGTTGATTAATTGTGATTGACCAATAAAATGATTTAAATAAATTGGTTAAAATTTTTGTTGTTGTTTATAATTATCAATTGATTTTGATAATTTGTTACCTAGTTTAAGTATTCAGTAAATTGTTGATTCAGTTGATTGGTTGATTGTTGTTACAATAATGATGAATTGATTAAATCTTTTGTTAAAGTTGAAAACAATTTACAAAAGTTAAATTGTTTATTTGATTAACCACAATAAACACAACCAAATCATCATGACAATTATATTTACCTATTGATTGTTAACAATTTGATTAAAATGAAAACAAAACAATTTCATTTCTTAATCATCAACTATTTAAAAGATTGAATTAACTAATTCATCAACAATTAGAATCAACTATTAATATTTTTCATCTCAAATCATAATAACAATTAATTGATTTTCTACTTCCTATTTAATCAATTATTTAGTTGATTAATCTATTGTCACGTTTACTTTTGGATTGGCAAACACAATTAAACATAATAACAGTTAACAATTTATTTTTACATCAGAACCAGATTTAAATTTCATTTAATCAAAACAGTAGTAGTGAAAGTACACAAAATGACACAGTCATTCACCCCATGTGACAAACATTTTAGACATTTTAATTAGATCAATTATTGTCAAATCTATGAATAATTATTGATTATTGATTTCCAATTAAAACTATTTATATCTGAATTTGACCTACTAACCGAGTGAGCAATTAGTATAAAAAGAGTGTTCAAACTTGGATCAACATTCAGTTTCAAAATGGAATCTTGTAAAGCTTGTGGTTTTGGTGCTAAAGCTGATTTCGATCAATATACCATCGATTATTATGAAAGTATTGGTTATCAAACTTGTTACTCTGAAAAGTATAGGACTCCACAGAAACGAATGGAATCATATGTCAATTGGCCTAAACCAGAATTGGATATAAAAAAGTTGGTAGATGCTGGATTTTTCTACAGGGGTGTAAGAGATTTAGTATCTTGTTTCCATTGTGGCCTCAACGTACATGAATGGCATCCAGATGATGATCCATTAATCGAGCACTTGAAGTATAACTCCAAATGTGACTATCTATACGTAAAATGTGGTACAATGTTCTTGGCTAAGACATGCTATGATCTTAAAGGAGAGTTACCATTAGCTGAACTATCAAGAACCGAAATTAATCGATACAACTGTAAAGTTTGTAAAGAGATGGAAGTTGGATGTATCTTCTATCCATGTGAACATGCAGTAGCATGTACAAATTGTACTGTCAAGCTCTCGAAATGTCCGATATGTGATCGTCTAATCAGAAAAGTATTAAGGTTAGCTTTTACTGATTAATCTTTCATTTAACGAGGATGACTCTTTGTGAAAACATTACAGTTAATAATGTTGTTATGTCATTTACTTTGAACTCTAATCTTTCTCAGTATAATAAAATGTATTACCCATCAATAAGGTACCCAGGATTCTCGGGGAATATTAAATATGTTGATGGTGTTTATTAATTTTGATTCTGGTAAAATTATTGTAACTGGAATTAAAAACTGTGTAATCTCTTTCAATTTAATAAATCGTTTTTGTATCAATTATCCATCAAAAATTGATTACATTAATTTCAAAGTTGTCAACATCGTGGCTCACTCAAGGTTATCAAGTGATTTTGATTATTCAATACTCAAAAGGTTTCCAAAGTACTCATACGAGCCAGAGTTATTTCCAGGAACACATATCAAAGTGGACGATACCAAGGTTATTTTTATCGTTTTTAAAACAGGAAGGATAACAGTAACCGGTATCAAAGATTATAATGATGTTTCAAAATATTTTGAAAAGTTTAAATCTTTAGCAGAATCAATATAAAGAGACAGGGCTATAAATAACCTAGTTATTCAAAACCATGGATACAAACGAAACCTACAGAATTTGGTGTAAAAAGTTCTTTCACTGTACAACTAGTTGTATATCAATGTTGATAACAGCTATTGTTAACATTGTCTTAAAAACAAATCTACCGTTATGGACAGCTTTACTTGGATCTTCACTTGGTTATCTTCTTCCAACTCAAGGTTTCGATCGGGCAAGAGTTCAGATAATGGTGCTACAAGCTCAGCTCCTTCCTCAATTGTATCATGAGAATTTAATATAAAAAATAAACTAAACTTGAAAATCATCATCATGTCTTATTCAATTTATTTAAAACACCCTTTCACAATGTACATATCAGGGCCAACTGGCTCTGGTAAAACTTATTTTGTACGTAATATGATAAATGCAGCTGGTAAAATATGTGATCCAGCACCAAAGAAAATAACATATTTCTATGGTGAATATCAGAAAATGTTTAATTCTATGCCTAATGTAAAGTTTATAGAGGGACTATCAGAAGAACATCTATCTAATGCCGGAGGGGATGAACCTGAATGGATAGTGATAGATGACTTAATGTTAGAAGCCAGTAACCAAACATTGATAAGTAATTTATTTACAAGAGGTTCACACCATAGAAATATCTCTAATACTCATAACCCAAAACTTTTTGTTAGAGGAAGGAAAGTCGGAACATAAGCTTAAATAGTCAGTATGTTGTTTGTTACAAGAACAAGAGATAAATCTATGATAACAAACATTGCTAGGCAAATGTTTCCATCAAAGATTAAAAAATTCCAAAACATTTTTGAAAACGCTACAATTAAACCTTATTCATACTTATTCATTGATCTGAAACCTGACACAGATGATAAAGTAAGATTAATCACCAATATTTTCAATGAGAATGATGATCCAATGATAGCTTATTCTCTTTGAATTTATATAAAAGAAATTATCAATTATCAATCAATCAATATGTCTATCGAAGGCGTTAAAAGTGTCTTCCTACATTAAGAAAACTTGCGCCAAGACAAAGAAAGAGAAATATTATAAAAAGGCAAAGTCGTGTATCTATTATTCAATATCAGAGATAAGTAAAAATACATTAAACGGGAATATTCAATAGATCAACAACAGAAGATAAAGATTTTACCTACAAAAACAATTGAGAAGACTTTCAAAGATCTGGTGTTCCTTTGAAAGAGAAAAGAAATTATTATTCAATCAGGAGGAGCTTTTCTTCCTGCTTTACTTTGGCCAGCACTATCTTATCTCGGTGGTAAACTGGCAGATAGATACATGTAATGAATGTACTTAATAAAATGGTTTTGATACCAGAGAAGGATATCAAATTCTTAGAAACAATGAAATAAAAGTAGACCACTCGGAACCAGCTGAACAAGAAAAACAATCAAGTATTGATAAAACTGTATTGAAAGATTATCAAGATTCATTATCCAAAGCAATTAAAAACTTTAAAAGAATAAGGTCATAAGAAAGTCAATAAAAAGGAAAATCACAACCGGTTCCTTCAACTAACATTAAATGGAGCGATATCAAAATCTTTTAAAAGTGTTTACTATGATATCAAGAGTAAAGGAAGTTTGGTGGAGCTGATAGATTGTTCAATGTTGCTAAACAAATCGATTCAAGTATACAACTTCAAGATGTAAAGGAGTGGTTGAAAGGTCAAGATACATACACTAATTTTCGAGCCAAGAAACAAAGGTTTTTACGATTACCTATCTTGGTTGATAGAGTCGATGAGCAATGGCAAGCTGATTTAATGGACATGTCTTATTGGAGTTCGGAGAATGATGGTAAAAGATACATTCTTGTAGTTATCGATGTCCTTAGTAGATACGCTTGGACAGAACCTGTGGTCAATAAATCAGCCAATTCAATTATAACAGCATTCAATAAAATTTTTTCAAAAGGAAGAAAACCTGAAAAATTACAGACAGATCAAGGAAAAGAATTTAAAAACAAATTTTTGACCCAGTTCTGTTTAACAAATGGAGTCCATTACTTTACAACGACTGACAATTCAGTTAAGTGTGCTATTGTTGAAAGATTGATTAGGACTTTACGTTCACGAATATATCGTTATATTTATTGGAAGCATACACAGCGATATATTGATGACTTACAGTTGATTGTTGATAATTACAACGATTCATATCATAGAACAATAAAAACATCGCCTAGCTCTGTCAACACAGAAAATCAACAATCGATTGTCACAACTATCCAATCATCATTGAAATCAGATAAGAACAGAAAAAGAGGTTTCAGTGTAAACGATATAGTTAAAATTCCTCTAAATGAGACATCTGATAAAGGAACAACACAACGATGGACAGATGAAGTATTTAAAGTGAAATCTGTTAAAGAAACACCTACCAAGTTCGTATATAAACTTGAAGATCTAGCTGGAGAGAAAATATCATCAATTTTCTATCCAGAAGAGCTCCAAAAAGTTTCATTTGACAATGCAAGATTTAGAGTATCAAAGGTCTTGAAAAAGATTACGATAGAAAAAAGATTATATAAGTACTTTGTGAGATGGGAAGGATGGCCAAAAAATTGATAGTTGGGTCTGGGATCTGGACAATTTATCTGAAAAGAAATGACAGAACAATCATCATTCACAATTGACTTAGTTTCAAATGGGTCAATGGACATATATCCCAACAACACAATTTCTTCTTTTCAAAACCGAATTGACCCTCCTTTAGAGTTATCTGGTGATTGGGAAGTTGCATTAACCGAAATTTATTTTCCTCTCAAGTTCTCTGGAGCTGAAATAAAATATAAAATAAAATCCAAATACTTTTACAAGCAGACTACAGGACGTCAAATCCTATTCCAGGATGCTGAATGGGTTGATGCTTCTCCTGAACAAACGATTCGTTTTTGTATCAGAGCCCCGTAAAAAGTGTTTGAAAAGTTAAATCAGAGTTTTAAAGAAGCATTCAAACCTCCTTCCTTTGCTGAAATGATGTCATAAATCAGAATCTTGAAATAAGTGAAAATCAATTGAGCTTGGGGATGATTTTGACAATGAATCATCAACACATATAATTGAAAAAGTGCTCCCAGAACACAAAGACACAGTTTTACTTGACACTTGGCTTGATGGTAATTATACGAAAGCAAAGCAGTTTGCTTTTGTAAAGCTCCATATCAGTGGGTTTACAGCGGTCTAATTTATGCTCCATTTTCACTACAGAGGTGAAAAATATTTAGGAATGAATCATGTCCAAGATTCAGACCTCAACTTTCATAAATCGAGTTTTTCTTAATCCTACAGAAAAATTTAACCTTGAAGCCAAGAAAAATGACGCGATATTTCTAATGTATCTATATACTGATATTATCCAAGATCATATAGTAGGTGGGACTCAATCACCTGTGTTACGTGCTTTACCATTAACAAGTGGTATCTACAAAGATACTGGATATTGTACGTTCTCTCATCGAATATATTACCCTGTTCGAAAAACCACATTGGTGAAATATCAGTGCTTGCTACTCATGACTCTGGAGAGCAGGTACTTTGAATCTGGTGGAAGAATGTTTTAAGTTTAGATTTTAGAAAGAAGACAAAAGTTGTATAAAGAAAAATATCAACTATTTGTCATCTAAACATGTACCGTAAATCATATTGTCCTAAAGATAGTGATTTTAATCACTACTACACAAATCAAAGTGGTTCAGGGTTCAATGACATAAGAATTGTACGTGCTCCTAGATATCAAAGAGGTTATGGATTTGGAAGTTTTTTCTCAAGACTAGCCATGCCAATTTTGAAATACATTGGAAAAGAAGCCTTAGATAAAGGTGTTACTCTTGGTAAGCGTGTTGTACAAGATCCACAGATTCAGAAAGCTTTCAAAGACAGTGTTTCTGATTTGGCCACAAAAGGTTTAGAAAAGATAAAACAAAGTCACAAACCGGTAGTGAAACAAAAGATTATATAAAAGAAAGAAAACTGTCACAAAAGTAACTTTACGAAAAGTGAAGAAACGCTCACCCAAGAGCGTAATCAAAAAGAGAAAGACAACTAAACGAGACATTTTCAATAATTAAGATGGAATTTATTCACAACTCCTCGACACCAGCAACAATAGCTGAACTAGATTTATTTAGTGTTCCTCCAACACAAACGGTCGTCGAGACAATGTATGATGTAGAGTATCGTCCAGTTGGGTCATTAGACAATTCAAAAATATTTGAATTTGTAGTTCCCGCTTCTGAACACTATACTGATCTTTCAGCTACATATTTACATGCTAAATTAAAAATTGAATACAAAGATCCAATAAAAGATGGTGACAAAATTGTTCCTGTTAATAACTACGCTACTTCATTGTTTGAACAATGTGATGTTTATCTTGGTAGTGTCAATTTAAATCCAGGTAATAGTTTATTTCATTATCAATCACATCTCGATGACTTGTTCTTCAAACATGAGTCACCAATTGATGCTTGTCAGCTGATTGATGACGATGAAAATGTAAGAGTTGAGCGTGTTAAAAAGGACTTTGATTTGATTCTTCCGATACATGCCCCAATGTTTCAACAAGAAAAATTTTTGATCGATGGTGTACCGATAACATTAAGATTTAAATTG